GCTGAACTGGAAAAACTCAAAACGATCTTCTTGGACAACGGCTATCCTGAAGACGTCATTTTATCTTATACTAAGGAAAAGATCGCAAGTTTTTCGGCTGTTCAAAAGTTTGGTCCGCAAAAGTGCCCAGTTTATTTGAAACTACCATGGATTGGTAACACTTCCTTGCGATTCGAGAGTCAGATTAGGCAAACCATAACCAATTGTTTCTTTGCTGTCAATCCTCGGATTGTTTACAGCACTAGGAGAGCCCTTCCATCCATTCAAAAGGATTGCGTCCCTACCAAACAAAAAAGTTCCGTCATTTATGAATTTACGTGCCAGTGTGATTCTGGCTACGTAGGGCGCACAACCCAAAGATTGGGGGATAGGATAAAACAGCATGTTCCTTCCAACATACGAAACAAAACTGCCCCTCAAAGAGAACAGCCTCCTCGATCTTGTAGGTCTAGAAACACTGTTAAAACAAGTGATTCTGCCATTGGTCAACATCTTTTAGACAACCCAGATTGTGCAAAACTCTATAATGACGACATGTTTCGGATTATTGGCAGAGCCCGGTCGTCCTTCCATCTAGCAGTTTTGGAGTCAATCTACATAAAAACGAAAAAGCCGCCATTGTATAGACAAAAGGAGTTCGTTTTCTATCTTGGACTCCATTGGTAATTTTTCTTTAGGCTCGCGGCACTGATTGGTCAACTATACCGGTCTTGTGCTTGCGTTTTTCTGATTGGCCTATTTCGATCCACAACTGGGTATATATTTTTCAAACGTGTTTTTTTCGGAACCTATTCTGACGTTTTATGCTCTGAGGAGTGTCAGACGAAAAAGCTTTAAGTATGTTGTAAAATGTTTGCTTTTTTCAAAGCCATTTTCAAATTCTGTACCGCATAAAGTAATTTACTTACATTTTTGTGAAGTCCTAGATAAAACAGAATGCTTTTGATATCCAACCCTTTATTCTTAGCAGAGTTTTGATTCTTTTTGTAAACAGTAAAATTTCGACACAAGATTATCCCATCAAAGTGATAATTGCATCTTCTGCATTTTTATGTTAAAAAGACAGCATAATGCTAGCACTAAATGTTTTGTACACAAGATTGACGTTTTGCAGGCTCTGGTAGCGAAGCTGAGCTGCTAGCACGTGAATATGCGAGGTATGTCAATGATATGAAATAATAACACTTTTATGTTTGAAGTTTCGTTTTTATGTATCATTAAAATCCTCAAGCAATATCAAAAGACTTCTTTTTCCGGTTTTCCTACTCCCTTTTAGGGGTGCAATCGCATTGAAAACGATAAGAATGTTCGGGTGCGAGGATGGCTCAGTTGTTGGAGGCGCTGACTACAGACCCAAGGGTCCGTGGTTCGAGTCTCTGGCGTGACCAAACTTTCACCCAGAGTGGGAAAGTCGAGAGGAAGGACCAGGACACTGCTCGATAAGCCTACTTTCTCAGTGTCCTAAACACTACCTTCGGATGCTAGGTAGCAACAGATACAAATAAGAATGTTAAGAAGCTTTCAGTGCTCAGCGAACATGAGAATTTCCAAGGTGATATTTTGACTTTTCGGAAGCTATTTTTCTTTCCATTTTGCCAGTTATCTCATTAGAAACAGAGTTTCTAGTGGCTTGTTGCTGAAATTTTTGCGTTTACGTTTTTCTTAAGATCGTGTTATCTTTTGCTGAGTAGCTCCTTTAATCCATTTTTTCTCAATATTAATCCAATAAAATGATTATGTTTTTAGTTGTCACGTTAAGCCCCATAAAAAAGATTAGTAGTACTGAACAAATCAAATTTACTCGTAAGAAAATTCGTGCCCTGTTAAAATGCTAAAAAAATTCAAATTAGCTGCTATTTTTCATTACCCAACCTTTAGCTATATTGAGAAGCGGAAAGATTTTCGATGGGAAGTTAAAATAATTTATTTTCTGTTTTAATCATTTTCAGCAATTTCAATGAGGGCCTATTATACAAAAGCAATCGCAAGTGCAAAGTCCAAGGTATTTAGAAAATTATGTTGGAATACTTTAGATATCGTCTTAGAAAATCTGTTGTTATCAGGTATCAGGCCCCCCTTCTTTTCAACGTTTTCTCCATAATTTTTACATTTTTACATCGATTTATGGCTAGATATTGAGAAGTTAGTTTGCAGCATTTTTAGTTATATACAGATTTTAAACCTTCATTTTGTCCTATACCCTTTTGTCTAGAATTTCAACGTTTTATTGTTATCATCAGTTGGATTTCATATTATAAATGGGAGGCTCGCCAACTAAAGAGCTGGTCCGTTTACACAAAACTTGATGGCTTAAGTCTTTGATGCCTTGTAAAGGGGAAACCCTGTCCAAGAGGGTATTATCTGAAATATTCCCTAAAAGTAAGGGTACTTTGACACCCTGTGGGTAAAGCTAGTTGTTAGGGGTAACAGATGTTAACGGCAACTATTTTGGCAATGGATTGGATGTAGGCCTGAAAAATATTGTTAAAATATTTAGTCCTACTTAATGTTATTTAAGACATTTTATCAATTTGATTTTTAGTCAAGAATATCAACTGGGGAGGAGGGAGTTATTTGTACCTGTGCCCAATAACAATTCTAGAAAAGAAGGGAATGCATATTACTTATGAAAGATTCAACGATGGAAATGGGGTCTAGGTATTGCCAGGTAGGTAGAAACGATCGCAAGAAAGTTTCGGATTCAGGCTCTTGCTTGTTATAAAATGAACTCTGAGGTTTTACTAAATGGTCCTCTTACCCAAACAGATGATATTCTTTCCCAGATCAGCCACCAACGACAATTATTTCTTGGGAATTTTTTGGCAGTTTTGGAGACCAGTTTGAATACAAGGTAGCTGAAGACTGACAAAAAAGTTTGACGAAAGTGACAAAGAAGCTGACGAAGGTGCGGGCTCTTGGTGGATCCCCGTGTTATATGATTTCTAGAGGCTTTAGGTCCATGACATAATTTGGCTTTTACATAAATCAATACAGAGATCCCTGAGCTTTCTTGAATCATAGTGCCGAGGGTTTGTTGCCACTTTCTTAACAGCTTATCTGGCACAACGAGCAACGCTTTAGTGATACCAGGGGTTGGGGTACGTGATCCCAAACATTGGAAAATATGTTTCTTGTCATAGAAATGCCTCCTTTGAAAATTTCGGGAAAGTGCCCCTTTTTATTTTGCAAAATGCCCCTTCCTACCCGTTCTCCTCCAACTTCGCTTTGCTTCGACGTCCCTTGGCACCAAAGAGTAACTTTCAGCGTTTATAAATCCAAAGCATGTGATAAATAATATACCAGAATGTTTGTTTAGTATGCAGAATATTTGTCGTACTATGAGAAAACATAAAATTAAATTTACGTTTTGTTTTCTTGAATTTCTGAATGGTTTAGCTTACAAATATGTTTCAAAGGAAAATATAATTACTGAAAATGCTTTCTTGAAATACAAGTCAGTTCGTTAATGTTGATTACAAAAATTAGCGGCAAGAAGAAACGAAACTGGATACATACGGAGAGATCTGGACAAAACTTTCGCGAAAAAGTCCCGTTCGAGATTTCGTCAACAGTGAACTGTAGCATTTATATGTCATCAAATCGGGGGTGCAATAATCGTAGAAATGCTGCAAACTGACGGTTGTTTTTAAGTAATCACATTTATATAGAGGTATATCGCTTTTTGCAAGGGTAATTCGACCTTTTCTTGTAGTTATGAACTCATAATGGTTTAAAGAGGGCAAGAGTCTTCTTAGCCACTCGTTGGAGTGTTTATTCCGCCTTGCACTCTTGATCAGGTCTGAGAATTTGAGTATATGTTTGCTTATTCGTGTGCCTACCATGTTTTTTTGTTTAACAAATTAGGGAGATTAAGAAGGAACTTTTTATCTCATTGTTGTATTTTGAAGCAAAGCAGGGAGAGTCAGTGGCTTAGGACTCCTTATCATAAATTTAAAAGTTGAGTTTGCACCGAAATTCGTAGATTTATTTGCATCATCTAGAAGACTAGCTGCCAAGAAATTGAAAAAAGTAAATAACATCTTTTTCTGTGGTTTGGCCAAGGTATGAACCGTTCTTAAAGCTTTATCTACTTTCTTTTCTTGTTATTATGAGTTCATAAAAAAAAGGAATTTATCCAAGAAGAGGAATTTTTACCACTACTATGCAAGGAAAAATTGTGAAGATTTTGTCTTTGTCGAAATCTTTTACGCTCAAACTGTAGAATTTACTTTTTTATATTCGTCTCTTCCTTACAAGTCAAAATGATGAATTTTATAATAACGGAAGCCAATTTGTGGTAAAGAATGAAGCTTGGATAACACTGTAAAGTTAATCAATTTATGCATATAACTCACAACTTATAATGACTAGATTAAGGCAAAGGTCGATGAAGATATAGCTACAAAGAATTTATCTGATAAAGTTTTGATTGGCAGGATTGGAGTCCGTTAAACCTTTGGTCAATGAGAGCTGTTCAAATGTAACAAGCAATGATCCACCAGTAAGAAACATGAACATTTCTGACAGGATGATGCTAAGATGGATCCTTGCTGTTGTGCCCTGTTAACCCAAACATCTAAAGGTACCACTCAACATTGGACTAAATTATTCAGAGATGTAAAATGTGTTTAGCTGTGTTAACAACTGATATTTTTCGAAATTAGGACTGCATCATTGAAGTCTTTTTTCATTCGCTTAGATTCTTCAGAATTCCCATGGCTTTTTCGACGTTCAGAAGTTGCATGCATAGGCTTTGAGTTTGTGCATGTATACAATAGTTGTATTTTTAGGACAAGATCCATCATATACTACTGCTTCAAATTCAAATCTACACGTCAAGTAATAAGTTATGCTTGTTTGTTAGAAGCTAATATCAATTCACATTGCGTTACTTTGAATTTAGGACCGAATTTTAAGAGGACAACCAGTAGCATTAGCATGATCTCTCTCCATGTTGATTCTGGTCAAATGAGAGACATATCGTTGAAAACTAAACTCACCTCAAGCAGTGAAGAAGCTGGCTTCACTAGGTCCCTTTATTTTGACTTTGTTAAAACGGCCCTGAATATATCTTTGGTATCTGTTTTACGCAGAGGCGCTTCGTCATAAAGCTCTTGTGAAGATTGCCTGTCGCACGAGAACAGGCCCAGACCTTTTCTGTGCATAGGTCGCTTTGTAGGTCCCCTTGGTATCCTATCATGTCAGTTCTGTTGTCACGTGAGCTGGATTTTTGAGAAGTTCCTATGAGGAAAAATATTTAATGGAAAGACCTATGGCTTGACCTGCATTTTATTTGACGTCACAAATATATTTCAGCAGAAAGGTGTTCGAATCTATGAGGAAAAGTAAAATTGCTGCTCTGCTTTACAGGTTTTCCATGCTGATATAATAAAGGTTCCTTATTGCGACAAATCCTTTTGTAGGTGAATAAATGCAAGCTAATATGCTAAAGATAGATCAACATTTAAGAAACTTTTAAGATTCAGCTTGCTTTCAGGGCCATATTGCAGTTCCTAGGATTCCCTATGTACCAGCGTTTTATGCAAGTACTTATTTTCAAGTAGTTTCCACCTATTACCACAAGCACAGCTCCTTGCCCCAAATTTATATGCTATGATTAAATTTTCAATTTCATTGTCTGGAAATAGAGGATAGTATGTTAAAGAACCTTTTTGGCACTTGAATGCATTTCATTTAATTGGAACACTTTAAATTTTTTGCCATGGGAAGTAGGACGAGACCTCCACCACAATGTTGTGCTTCCATAAAGTTACTTTTTCCGTGTGGTAAAACATCAAACGTTTCCTTTTTCAGCTCAATTCATTCGTTACTTATGAATTCAGCATATGCTGCGGTAGGACAGTGATGACTTAGTAGGGTTTCAGCTATTTGTTGGCTAAAGACCAAAACTACTTCGTAATAAACCTTGCTGGTGTGGTTTCCTGAGAAAACCAAAAAAGACACATGAAAGAAACTCTCTCGATTCTAAACCAAAACGCGGAACTAGGTCGTGAAATACAATACCATAATAAAACGCATATAACGTCACGGCGAAGTTTAATTGACAGCTTGTTCCATAAAAAAGATCCTGTTCCTGGTTCTGATTTTCGTAATTGCCGACACTAAATCGTGGCAAAGTATAGAAAAGTGTAAACACTTCCAGTGCAAACATCAATCAAACAGAGACCAACCATAATGGCAAACAAGCAAAGATTAACATTTAGGTACTGAAATAGATTTTGGAACTTGGAAGCAGTTTCAGAGGATGTCGATTTTAACTTTAACGTGACATTTAGGCTTCCGCTTCAGTGAACGTAGCTAAATGAATGTAGCTCTTTTGTTTCAGCTTCAAAAACCATAGTTTATGCGACCAGCATTTGTGTTTAATTACACTCTTTTTTTTATAAGAACAATTTTATAAGAACCCGAGCCTCAAAACTGGTCAAAAGTTAAGAACAAATTAAGAACAAGCTGAGGCTGAGCTTCTGCAAAACGCCATTTTGAACAATGTTTTTTCTCAAAATCGAGGATTTTTAGCGATGTGAGGGTGCTTTTTCGGTGAATATTAAAACATGGCGGCAAATTGAGTTTGTCTCTACGCACTTTGTTGGCAAATGAGGCTTGAGCCATCTTTAAATCAAACATTGCCCAATCAGTGAGCGTAATGCCACACACACGCTCATTGATTGGCTAATATTGATTGACAGATGGCTTAAGCCACTTTGCATCTGTCGGTTGCCTTTAAATGTGAAATAGCCATCCAACGAGGGGCAACTCACTCTTGCAATTAGCGTACGAGATTTTCAGGGATTTTTCGATAAAATAATAGGATTTCCACCCCAGCTATACGAGATTTCTCTGAAATAATTCCACCCGCGCCACCAAGGATGTTAGAGTAGGGGCAGTTGTACGATTCAAAAATTTTATGTTAACGTTAAGCAAGTTGGAAATACTAGCAAAAATGCAAATACAGCAATCACTGTCATGAATGGTATACAAAAAAGACATTAACTGTTGGAGTTATTTAAATATTTAGCGAAGTCTGATGTACAGGGATAATTAAAACTCCTTTTAAAGATTGTTGATGGTTGAGAGAGAAACGACTATTGTTGATGATAGGTTATACTACCAAATGACTGGTGAAAAAAGATGAAAAGCTGCTTAGAATAACTTTCATTCAAGTCTCAGATTGAATCCACATGTGAAGAGAGTAGAATATCAATATTGAAAGCTCTCCACTTCATGCCGTAGCATGACTATCCATATATACGGATACAGATAACCTTGAAATAACCACTAGAGCTTCTGTCGTCTAGATGTCATTTTTTGGTTTAACTGTGGTACTATCTTATGGTCAGTCATTATTACAAGTCATTATCAATAACATTCATAATAGTTATTGACTGACAAGCACATTTTTTGTTTTGCTGGTATTGTCATGCAGAAAAATAACATCAGTCTGTATTACAGGCCAAAATGTTTTCCTATTTCCACTCATCAATGTGTAGAATTATGTGATAGATCTTTGATTCAATTGCTACCTTCTTTCATCATTTGTCCCAAATTAGAAATTTATTTCAATGCCTTGTGAATCTTCAAGAATTATCCTAGTCATATTTTCATTTCTTTTTTCTTCATGCGTCATTCTTGTTTCTTTGATGAATTGTGTTATAGTAGTTTGACTCTTTTATGATTATTTGACAGTTCTGACTTTTCTCTTGATCATTCTGTTTAAAAACATTGATTACTAAATGTCATTCATTCGTTCTTTTTTATCAAAATTTATCATTCATAAAAATTGATCGCTAAAATTGTTTCGTAACCTTTTGCTACTAACTGACCATTACTGATGCTTTTGGATTTTAGTAACTATTTTTCTTTTACTTTAGGCCAATCACTTTTAAAATGTGTGTGCATGAAATGAACCTAAGAGGAAGATAGAAGTCACCATTGAACACAAGCCGCGCTTATATAAATGTAAGAAGCACATTTTTATATTGTCAAGTACTTTTAATTAGTACTGGCTCTCTCTGATTATGGGCCTTGAGTAAAAGTTTCGTCAAACATGCATGCTGAAATGCCAACATGCTGAAATGCCAACATGCCGAAATGGAAGTATCGTCATGAATGTTATAGAGTTCTGAAATGTGACGTCACCAAAAATTTATTTCTAGAATTTTTGAATTTTAACAACTTAACCTAAAAGAGCACCATGAAATACTTCCAAAGCTGCCAAATTAATCATATATGTCCAAAATCAGTTGAGATGTTGCCAATGAAAGATTTGAAGTTTGCTAACGAATAATTGTTAATAAGGCTCTGTTCATCAAGTTATGAACATGTGGCCATATCTCAGCCAATTCGTAACATATTTGACTGGTGATGCATATTTAGAGGTATTTTATGATGCTGATTCTGGCTATGGGATCCAAATTCAAAAATTCTAAAAGTAAATATTTATGACGTCATAACTTTAGAACTCTATTGGTTGTGAATCTTATCGGGAAACGTTGACAGGTGGCAATATTCTGAAAAAACGTATTTCTTAAGTTAAATACCCTCCTGACAATGAACACCTCCTTCTGGTCCCACAGGCCCTACAAGGTTTAAAATTGCCTTTTTAGAATTAAGAGGGATTTAAGGAGGGCTCAGCCCCCCTTAGCAAGGGTCAGTACATGTTTGGTTTGGTGAATTCCTTAATTGGCATGGTGAATTAACCCTTATCGTGCTATTGACTGAAGTCTTTTAGAGTCGGTGAGTAACTTGAATGATTTCATGCACGCAACAGAGAATCTTTAACACAAATGCACGTATATTGGGTGTGGTCATAGGTGTGGCTCACAGACGTTACCTGTAGAACAGCTACCTTTTTGCGAACGGGGTGTCACACCTTCCCATGCCCCTCATTATTGTTGCCCTGCTTAAAATGTTCTAATTGTTACTATAGGTACCTGTAACCAGAGGATTGGAATTCTAGTTCGCTATGAATTAACTCTTTGCTCGTTTACAAAGACACGTAGAAGGTTAAAGTTGATAGAAAATTGCTTGCCAAATGAATAATATTGAGGAAAAGAAAAACTGTATTTCTCCAAACCTCCTTCATTTTCTCCCCTTCAGACAAATGTGGTGAATGTTTTCAAGTCTATTGCTGAAGCTGATTCTTTAGCAAGTTAAACTAGCAGGCCCTTTCATATGAAAAAAGATAGCTCAGCGTTCACAAAGCCAACGAGCCTAACAGCCCAAGCTCTGTACCTCGAGGTTACGAATCATTTTGTTCACTCGATAGGCCTGCATCTTTTACTCATTTTTTGTCGCTTGTCATTTAAAACTTTAATACTTTTGGAAGTGCCATATTTTAGGGCCTCAAGGCTTTATGTACGTTATTTGCATTTTCCACAACTTGGTCTTAAACTAGCATAAAAGGAAACTTATTAGTATATTTGCTTTGTTTCCTAATTCCTTGTTTGGCTGTATTAACTTTGGCTATATTTCTTGTTTAGTCATAGGCATATTCCCTTATTATGTTCCCTTGGTTAGCCAGTTCCGGAAGCAAAGTTAGCTGTGCATCCTACCCTTTCCGACAGACAAGGGTGCTTTAAAGATATTCACATAGGGCCATCGGAATGGATATATTCACCCCAGTCACAGAATAGCCCCAGTTATCCCTAAAATCAATTCTATATATTTCCGCGAAATCCTTTAAAGTTGTCTATCGTTTTATTTTTTTCTTGCTGTCCGAGTGGTTTGGCTTCTAAAGCACAGCCCCCTTTCGAACTTTTTAGGATGGCCTCCTTAAGTTGATGCATATTTCGTTTTGCCTTTTTACTAGGGTGCATTCCAATACAATTTTAGACCATATTGTAGTTTGCTTGAAAAATATTGAAGATCAAGAAAGTATTGTATAGGAACATACAAGTGATAGAAGCTTTTCATTGTCATATAGATTACTAAAATTTGAAACTGAAGACCTATTTAACGACGATAACTCGTAATTAGCTTTCCTGTTTATACGTACGCTTCAACAATTATATAGAAATAGAATCCAGCTCCTTTTAAACATTTTCAGATACATCGTTTGAGATTTCAACAAATCCTGATTTTTTCTTTGTCAAAGAACGTAGTAGCAAGAATAAATGGTCTTTTTTTCGAAACTTTATTGATGATGTAACGACATGTTTCTTCGCCTATTCATTCATCGGACATTTGAAAGAAAAAGTGCCTTATTGTCAAGAAGCGTAAATGCCAAGTGCACTGAGGGGAAGGTTGCCAATAAGAATTTTCATAACAGGCACCCCTTTGGTCATGAAGAAACTATATTTGTTTCACTTTTTGTGGCATTACAGTCCAATGGAGTTTCAGTGCAACTGTAAGCAGGGACGCCAAGAGGTCTCTGAGGCCCTGGGCCAAAAAACGAAACTCCTTGCGAGCCAAGTGAGCAGAAAATTTTGCGCCCAAGCCTTTTAGATTAGCTTGAAATTTCATTTCGGAAAGTTTCTTCCAGTCCTTTATTGCAATTGTTTAAAACGTCTTACTAAATTTAGGCATACTTTGTGAAGTTTGACTAATCTCCTTAGAACTTTGGGGTCCTGGGACAATTTGCTCATAATTCCTGAGCGATGAATAGTACTGTAATTTCTTCTCTTCAAAATAATTCTTTTATGTTGGCATTGCATTAAAAATACATTTTTCATTCTTGCAAAACAGTGACACCCATTTGAGATCCTATTTCGATTTGCTGCAATTTTTTCACGATTCCTCTCAAGCAAAATTACAACCCATGTCATCTTCCTTAGGGTGTTTGAGAGATGACAGAGGGAGACAACAACACATGGAACCAATTATTCCTGCCATGCTGTTTCTATATGGTTTAAGAAAATGATTCATATGAGCGAATGACACGCAAAATACTCGAAACAGCGACACTGCACGTCGTTGCTCTAACAACTGAGGAAATGAAATTGTAGAACAGGTATTGATTTCAACAGCTATTCATTTAACGGAATAAATCTACAAAAATGTTCTGTATTAAATTAAATACCTATAGATAAAAAGAGTGAACTTTAATCAAGATGAATTTACCTGTATTTGAGATGAAAGGAATCTGTATTTTAATATCTAACAGCAAAGGCTATAAATATTGTTGAATGCTTCCTAGTATTATACCAACCTGTTGTAATTATAAAGACTTTCCACATTCTCTATCAAAATGATTTTTTTCCAACATTCCAAAAATAGGCCTAAGCTTATCACTTTGCAGCTTTTTTCTTCAGTATTTCAACAGGTTTAATATTCTTGGGTTTATGATGCGCATAATTCGACTCGGGTGCTCCAATCACAATCACGTGATTATTTTTTATCCAAAACCTAATCAATCCAAAATGAAAATCGCGCATATCCAGATCCCATAGACGAAAACACGTTGCAACTCGAAGCCAGTTGTCATACCTCTCCTCTTTAGTCATTTTGATGTACAGCACATACGTGGCATCTGTTGTATTTGGTATGAAGTCGTGCTCATTCTTGCATGTTGTTTTTGTGTAGTTAATTACCACAGCATCCCTAAGTGAAAATGACAAGGCACTGTAATTGAATATTATTATGAAAAACAAACGATGTACTAGGCCTAAATATTATGTTCAATCTATTACCAAAAGTATTAAAGTGCAAAAGCCAGGTGATTTTCTTCAAATTCCACATGAGTTCTATCCTACACAGTGGTTTTTATTTTCAGAAATTTTAGAATAATAAAACCTACCAGGACAGAAAATTATTCTCCACTGGAATTTTTCTTACTAAAATAAAAATTTCAAATTTATGAGTAGCTCTTACCTGATGAGTCTTTCGAGTTCCTTTTCATAATTTTCTTTTTTCACTTTTTCGACGTCAAATTTCACTCCTGATTTGTCGTTCAGTACCCTGGTACTGAAGTACATTTTTTGGAAATTCATTCTAACATTGAGACCTATAGCACCAAAATGGTACGTTCGCGATTTATCTGGAACAATGCATTCTCGACCTTTTCTCATGTAATCTGTTCTCATCCACATGTCCCAATCCCAGTAATCATTGGGTCCAGGCCACTTTGGTTCTAGCTCATTCTTGAATAAACTTCTTTTAAGAAGCCTGCAACAAAAATAGAGTTTGTAAACAACTCCCAAGACCACTGATCGATCAAGAAAATAAAAAATCATCCATGATATAGCCAGGAAAGAAATTTATGCAATTTCAAAGGCACCTCAGGCTACAGTTTAAATTCTAAGTTTGCAGCCCCAAAGTTTTTCCCACATTTTCAAAGACCTAAATTGAGTATAACCAATATCGACATTTGACTACTTCTTATATTAGGAGATGGCCAAAAAGTAAGTTGAGGCTTGCAAAGGATCTATATCGGCAGGTATTGCTTAAGAATTAAGATACTACTAAGATTATTGTGATCTTTTAAGACTAGCAGGCAGGGTGGAGACATTATCGCCTGATGACGTCATTATGGAGCAATGTCAAAGTTTAGTTTAGAAGTATTCAGCATGTGCAGTGTGGTTGTAGAAACAGATATAGAAACATGCAAGATAATATTATTTGTGGCTGTAGTATCAACCATTTTCTAATGGTGCTGATCTCTCTGCAGAATCAGATACAGAGCTGACAGAGCCGGTAGAAGTGAGGTTTGTGCAAAAGAAGGAAAGGGTTATTTTAAAGATGATGTAATGTTATTGTAATTCATGTATGAATATTGTAACAAGGCAGATCAGCATTGATTGGACGCTTGGCTTGTAAGGGAAAGAGATCAAGAGAGAAAATGCAAACAGAAATCAAGCTTTCGAAAACTTGAATTTTAAGAAGCTGGAGCAGAAAGTACTCGTTGTCGTATATACAGATCTTAAAAATCTTTGGAATATAGAATAGGACGGTTCTAGCTTTCAACTGTGTGATTACAAACTTCCATTCTTAATATGGTACAAAAGAAAGCTTTTTGTGTCTAAAGCATGACTTACCAGCCAAGGCCAGGCATCGTTTCCACTCTGTAAAGCAATGCAGGGTCTTTGACAGAATGTTTATAGCCTTGGTCATTCCATGCAGATACGCAATAGAGGCTTGGATCTGCTTCAAGAAGAGGCCATGTTGGACTGAAATAATCGAAAATGTCAATGGATACTTCAAGATCCTCCTCTAGAATAATAACTGCTCTTGCTAGAGGAAAGGCATCAAACGAGTGGGTGAGACTCTTTTTGTAGTGTTGCTGTATTCTGCAATTTTTGGTGCATTCAATCTCATTTCGCACAGCTTTCAAGCCGAAAAGCTCAGCAACGGCTGCTGTCTCGTTGTGTTCACCATCAATATATACAGTTGTTTGGCTCGGGTTAGCGCCTGGGACACTCATTAATTTTCTTAGCATGCGAAACAGATATCTAGGCCTGCTTGATGCAATTATTACAACAGGTATGTCTAATAGCTCACTGAATACCGTATTCTTTTTTTGTGTGTAAACTTCATTTATTTGTTTGCATTCACAGACTCCAGGATACCCTTCATACAAGCTACAAAACTTACGTCGCCTAATAGCAGCAGCGTTTTTACCAAAATCGCAATTCTCTCGACTAGCATCAGCTAAGAACGAAACATGAACTTTAACTGCTGGTGGCCATTCCTTCGTTGTACGTTTGCTAACATCTTCTACAACCCACCCACTCATTTTTTTTGAAATGCACGCCCAGTGGTCTCTGTAAGCCAAGTTGAAGATCATTCTACTACCAAAGGATTTAATAGCATTTCTGCCAATTTTCTTCAGGCCGTGGGTTCCTTCGTCTTTAATCAAGAAAATGAAAATTCTGCCTTCCTTTACATTATCTAGAAAGGCAGCTATTTCGCTGTCTGTTGACCCACCATAGAAATCAAAGGCGACACCTGCCATCAGCTTCCCTGTTTCTTGGTTTAAAACTATTATATGTAAACCTCTGCGTCTTTCGTCGTCGCTATTGATTTCATACACCATCTTCCCGTCCACTCTGACGTATATGTGGAGTTTATCAGACTGGGCTTCAATTTGTATCCATCGCGGAGGTACTGTGATAGTAGAAGGCTCTCGACTCCTCTTCCTTGTAATTTCACCACTCACAAAAGTCTTGGGTGGTTGTGTGTAGTGTAGTTCTGTGCTTTGTGTTGTGGTAGATCGAGTCAATATCGAAGGGGAGTCAATATCATTAATAACTTTCTTCACTATTCGTGTAGACTGATCTTCCGAATCAACAGAGTTCATGGCGTTAAGGTTATACATAAGAAACAAGAAATTAGTCGCCAGTAACAGAAGAAACAGAACCAAAAATCCAAGGCGCAAAAATCGTGTAGAGGAGCTAATCCGGCCTTTGCTAACCATCTTTAATTATGTTCACCGCTCTGATATCACACTTCGAACCGTGAATCTAAAGGGTTTTCATCTTCTTTCCCAATATCGCTGTATGTCTACGTTGACCCAACATTTTGATTGTCCAAACACGTGTCCCTACCAAAAGTGAATTGTTTTTTAACCAGGGGGTCTGTCTGTTCTATGCTGGAAGATCGGTTGCTACGTATTAAAGTTGCTTCTTAAAAAGCATTTTTATTTTCGCGCAACCAGCATTGGAGAAACAGGCATAGGGCTTTGTTTGAGTTGTTTAAAACATTCTTTTATCGTCAAGTTAACATCACGAGAAATGCAATCTTGTAAAGCCAGTGGTTGTAATGATGAAGTATGAATGTGATTGAACTGAACGTATGGTGCTTTAAGAAGAACAAATCAAGTTATTTTTTCAAAGTCAATCTCTTTAATAAGTGTCGACAAATTTTCACTCGAACTTTATCTTTCTGTTTAGTTTTAGCTGTTATAACAAACACAAAATGGCTATCATTTCATTTAGGTATTTCTTCAGTCACTATCTGTTATCTAATGCTCAATTTCAATTCAAACTTAGATGGTGGTGATGCTTGATTATGAATTGCGGATTATTCAGAGAAGTGATAGAAAATATTTCACATTAATAGAAAAGAAACACATTCAGAGAGAAAAATGTTTGATCGCAAAAATGGCATTTTTACTCTTTATAAAATATTCAGCAAACATATACATGACAAACTTACATAAAACCACATTTTTTCAAACTGCCCTGGCATCTCCGAGTCGGATACTCCTGTTTCTTCTCTCTCTAACGTGTTTGGTCCTCTTTTGCATACGTGTATTTTAAAACTAGAATATGATGTTTTTCTGTCGGTTTATGTTCTATTTTATATATACTTTACACAAGCTTCCTTAAGAGGCTTGGGATACGAAATCCTGTTTGTGTATGCCATACACTGAAATATAAGATAACCTTACCTTACAAAAAATTTTAAACCTTATCAACAGGTCAGGAAATACCAGGTTTACTTGGCAACAATAGCCAGTAGGTAAACTATAGATTTTAAGATGAAAAACTCATAATCTCCTCGTTCTATATGGTTATAGTTGTAATCGGGTAGTTTCGAATAAATACTTGTTTTTAATACATATATTGAGTTTTGTGAGTTTTTATGTTAACATTCAGAATACAGCTATCCAATCAGAGACTTAAAGTGCCTGTGACATGATTTTTTTATTCTCTTAATTGAAGCGTTGCACTGCTCTTATAGTAGATCTGCACTTTTTTTTTGAAATAAAAGCGTTTTGATATTGAAATGAAGCAAAATAGTGTGACCTAGCCAAGTCGCTTTATCATCATTCGCCGTTCTCTTGTGACGTCATGGGAGGAACTCGCTATTGTAACAGTGTAAGCGCTACCTTCAAAAATTTCATCCTCGCTGCCACTACTTTCTCTGGAATTATATCGCTCATCTTGGACCTGTTAGATTTCCCTCATTGACTACGATACAAAAACTCGAAGGAGGAGGCGGTCGGGTCCCTCCCGTGACGTCACTGTCTACTCATTCTGATAACAAAGATGGCGAATTTTGGCGTAGAAGATCGCCAATAACTCCTTCATTTCTCATGAAACGTAAAAACTAACCTCAGAAATGAAAATAACAGGCCTTTTTACATAAGAATAGATATATAAACCCAAAAGTACGAAAATCATGTCACAGGCACTTTAAGCATATCTTTTGCAGTGATAAATAGCATTGAAAGTCGAAACATTTGGCAAAACTGATAATCTTTTATGATTAAGCCATATGTGACTATTGAAATAATTCATTGAAATGTTTGGTTGCTTTCCTCCCGGCGTACAAACTCGCGAAAAATTGTTTAGAAATAAAGTAAATACTCCATGGTGACGGATTCCTATGTCTTTGTAGATACTACGGAACAGGTGGAAAATGTCTTCATTCAAATAATGGAAAGGAAAAAAAATAGTAAGGTATCTACAGTCTTAGAATTGCTTGCAAAGCCACGTCGATTTTTTAAACAGTAGGAAATGAATAAGTTCTTCCAGACAGGTAGTTTCATCATAAGGGAAATGTAAGCAAATATGAAACAGATCATTGCTTATTGCTCTAGCGTTTACGACACTTTTGCAGCATAAAAAGTTTTGTACCACGGATACCACCTTAGCATTTGCAAGAATAATGAGTCAATTGGCAACCATATAGTTCAACTCTTCTATACGAGTTTTTCCAAGAGAAGGGCTGTACAGGCTTATTGATAAAGAATTATGATGATTGCTCATACCAAAGTGCTTGCGAAGATGCACAGGGAGAACTTCAGAGATCAATTCTTTAACGGAAATCAATGGCTATTGTTCAAAAATAATTATGGTTGTACTGAAGCACCTTAATTTGGCTACTTTAGGCTGGATGATATCTTCAACATTTTTCGACATTAGGTAATTTTAAAAACAGTTTTCAAGCCAATAAGAAATAGTCTTTTTTAGTCTATTTCTGGAGAATCAACCTCAATTTTTAGAAAAAAACAATCGTCTTTAACAAACGTTTCGGTCATCAATTTATGCAGTGTGATGAACTTTGGAAAGCCCCATCCCGGGTTGACTTCGGATTCAGGCCTCATGAAACTTGGGGACTTTCTATTACAAACCAATTCTTCCATCTTGTCCATGCGCTCATCGATGCTGTCGTTCTGATCAAGCAACGTGAAGAATAGACTCTTTTGAAATGGCCAGCTCAGTATTGCATCGTACTCTCCTTTATGAATGGTAATGTACACAGAAAGGTGTGTCCCTCGACCACTTGCGATGCCATTCAAGTAGATAACCGCCTGTAGTTTATACCCGTATTGGCTAGTGTAAATATAATCACTGAACAGGGCAAAATTGTCTGTCGTCTGGCTCTCTAGTATCAGTTTGCTGACATTTTCAACTTTCCAAATAAGCATGCCATCTCTTGAAGAATTGACCGTCTTTTGAATTGTGTTCAGCCAATCATCAATCATCTCTACTTTTTGCATTAACTTTACGACTTTTTTTTCTTTTAAACTCAGCTGATCCAATTTTAAAGCTACTTCGTTGATCTTTTCTCCAATCCCCCCTGGCACGTTTGCATCCATATCTGCCTCAATTTTGAGAGTGCCTATGATGTTTGATAAATTAAGCAAAAAGTTGACATCTTTGATGAACTCTTAATAACATCAAACATGATAAAATTAGTTTATTCTGACATAAGCGGTGGTTTGATATAATGAATGCTTTCTTCGCAACATCACCATATTGATAAATGCATATATAATGAAATGCAGTAATAATTCTAGTCTGTCTCATTATTCTTTCTATTTCGTTTGTTCAAATGTCCTTACAAACGATTAGTAGATGCTATAACGAAAGCTTATGACAAAGAAACATATTTTGATACATGATGAAATGCTGTTATTTTGCATACCATTCTCCTGTAAATCCTTCTGAACTTCAATCATTCTTATTTCCACCCGATCCAACTTGCTGCAGACATCATTTATTTTCAACTCTTGCTGCTTTTCAAGCTGTTTCAGGCCTCTGACAAGTTTATGAAGATCCTCTTGTAGTTTCATTGCACTGATCTCGTTAGCTTGCTCTTCTTCATCAGATTCCGTTCGCTTTTCCCTTTCTGAATTTTTGCTTGTAGATTTGTCTTTTTCTTCTCTTGCACGAGGATTGAACACGGCGCTAAAATTGATATTATAGTTGACATTGATCAGCTTGTTAACGAATAACAATAATCAACATCATCACCATCAACGTGTTGTCGTTTTTTACTGGTCAATTGTCGTAATTCGGGAAATTTTGGCGTTAAATATCGTTTAAACATGCAATCTTCTGTGGAGCAATATACCTAATTGGAAGCAGCTGCCTGGCTTGAAATGTAGTCAATACCAAAGGGGCCATCTGATTAAATGGGGCTAAACGTAGATGGAGCTATTAATTTTGTAATTTCTCAGCATCATACAGTATTTGCCGCAGCATCAGAAGACCTTAAGACCCTAAGACCCAGGACCCTTAAAGGCATTGAGTCATGATAAAATGGATTGGGTATAACCAAAATGCCAAAATCCTCTGAGTCACGATTTTCATAACTGCGATGCTATTGGTTGACCTTAAACTGGTCACATGAACTCACCTCGTACTGATTGACAAAACAGTTTCCATCAATAGCAAGTTGTCAACAACGGATGCCAATATCACGTGAAACAGCAACGATCACGCCGAAACCAAAGGAACCCCTATAGAGAAGGCCTATTTACCATGACTCAATGCCTTTAAGTACGTACATCAAAAAGGACCCTTAACACCAGAAGGGTCTTCACCTCGATAAGACAATAGTTGATAGCAGTTGACTGCCACCATCGCACCATGGGGACATATCAAATAAGTCAGAAAGTGACAAGGAATTTGAAGATCTTTCAAAGTCGTTTAACCTCTTGGAGTCAACCATAAAGAAGAGACACAGATCAAGATCAAGGCCTGTGTCAGAGATGAAGATGCAGGCACTTTCTTTGGTTGTTGCTTGTCGCTTTTGCTTGATTTTTTTAATTCTGTCCTCCCTATTCTGAAAAAATGGCATTATTGGCAAATCATGGGGTGTGTAAGCAGAAGTATTCTATAAAAACGCTAATGTAAATTTGGTTTGGTGTGCAATATTTTAATTTTGGCATACTTTATGTATGCATCTAAGAGCATACTGTATGTACCCGCATACACTTTTTTTTATAAGAACCAGGAACCAGTAAATTTAAGTTCAGGCTGACTGTTCTTAATTTTTTCGAAAATCTGAGGCTGGATTGTTTTTAATCTGTTGTTAAATTAAGAGGGTGTAAGCAGTGCTATTGCTAGCTTTTTCGCTCTAAGGAGGTGTTCAGGCCTCATGTGCCAACAAAATGAGTGAGACAGCTTTAATTTGCTGACAAATTTGAATATTCACCGAAAAAGCACTCACACATCGCTAAAAATCCTCGAAACGTTGTTCAAAATTGCATTTTGCAGAAGCTCAGCCTCAGCTTGTTCTTAATTTTTTCTTAACTTTTGACCAGTTTTAAGGCTCGTGTTCTTATAAAATTGTATAAGAAACTTGAAATTTTTTAATAAGACAATTCGGTTTCTTATGCACAAGAAAGTGCTTTTAATCGACAAATATCTAAAAGCTGCCTTTTATGTATTGTTTTTGGCTAAACTTTCAGGAAGTCAATATGAATAATAAACTAGATGCTACTCAAAATTAGAAAAAGTAGACGAAATGATTTTGGAACTGATATCTACTAACAGGGGTCAGATTAAAAATTTTCCCTCATTAAAAATAAATTAAATAAATCATTTGATAATTATTTTTTATAGTCCAATGGCAGAGGTTTTCAAGATACATTTTTTAATACCGTAATGCCTCGAATAAGCGCCCGGGCGCTTATTTAATTTTGAGGCTCCAGGGTGGGCGCTTATTCGAGGTAGGCGCTTAATCGAGGGGGCGCTTATTTAAAAAATAGATTTGCAAGTGACTAAAAAAATGAATGTGTTTTCAATTGAAGCATGTTATTATGATGGAAAGGCGAAAAATGAGAACGAAAACTACAACAAACTGTGTTGGTCATTCAATCTTTCTTGGGTGGATTGCCTTCCAATTATGTTGTCGTTGAAAATTCGAATAAGCGCCCGTTTCTGAAAGTTGAAGGATGGGCGCTTATTCGAGGGGCGCTTTTTTGAGGGGGGGGCGCTTGTTCGAAGCATTTCGGTATAAGGATTTTTTGCAAAGCTTGCAGGAAAATATAAACAGTATTGTGGCAACCACTCTCAAAGGGAACAAAAGAAGAGATAACTAGAAGAAGCCCAAAAGGCTGCCGTAAACTTTCTTGTCGCTGTCTGACTCCATGACAGGTTTTTACGGTATGCCCCCGCAAGCTGCCAGCGTTTTAGACTGACTTCCTTTTACTTGCTTGATAAGAAGTGCAAGCAGTAAACCAAGTTAAATCTCGCTACTCAAATCTCTTTAAAATTTCATTAGGTTCATTAGTTTTAGGCCTCCGTCGTGGATTCATTAGATTCTATTGCAAATTCTCCATTTGCATTGGTTTGTTAAACGGCTCTGCATCTTGTACCCATTTTACACGGGAGACCAACTCTGGTCCTAAATGGTTTTGGCAATGAAATGTTTGCACAAAAGAGGTCCCAAAAAAACCATACCGAACCAGGCTTTAGTTCAGTACTGGCTGCGTTGGCTTTTCTCGTTGTCTGATACCTAGGAAGATTTTGCTAAGGATGTGTTGTCAGTATTGTTCATCCGCAAAGAGAATATTATCCACCGCAAGAACCATGCTCTGTCTCTTTGTAAAAAGTTAAAGGCAATGCATTTACCCGTTTTAACAAGTGACTTAATAAAAAATGTTATACAAATGGAGGTGTGAGCTTATTCGGTCCGATTCATTCGCCCATTTATTGCGTGATGACAAATATTTAGAAAAGTTCAAACAAGTCTCGTTTTTTCTTTGTCAAAGAAGTCAAAACGAACTTGCTCCTTCACAGAAGTTGAATCCTAATGTAATATGTTGTTCACTTTCCTTTGAGACCCCTAGCCCCAAAGGAAGCTTCCCGTATAAAAAAATGAATCACGGCAGTGAAATCCTGCTATGGCAAAAGTTATGACACATGATAGTAGATAATCTGGATGGGAGAAGCAATATAGCCTCTTTTGTTGATTAATCAAGCAAAAACCAGATAATAATTTTACACTCTGTGGTTTCTTCTTTTCTCAGTAAATGCATTTATCATTCGTTTGCACAACAACACTCATTTATATGCCATCAATACTCTTTTCTCGAAAAAGGTCTTAAGCTTAAACAACCATGAAAAATACAAATATAATCCATGAACGGAATGTTGTATAAATATAGAAAATCACCTCTCTGATTTGCCGACAAACAGATATTGTTAAAAAAAACAGTTCTTAAAACCCCAGTCTATAATATCGTTTTACACTGTGCTATTTTAAAGCCTTTGTTATGTTATATTTAACTCGTTTTCTACGGCTTTCGTTTGATTTATTAAAGGTCTATCATTTAGTCCATAGAACCTTTGTTGGGCAACTATAATTGTCCAAGACTTGATTCCTCAGGCATATAAAACTTATGCCAGATAACAAAACATCGAAAACTTGTTGAATTGTCAATGGCTTGAAGGGTTTATGAATGTGCCCTATACAAGGGCAAAGATACAGGGGAGCAGTGGAGCCTTCAACCCCCGAAAACAATGAGTAACATGCTTTTATATTACCAAAATTAACTATTGTTATACTCATCTACCAGAGCTGGCCCCTTCTCAACAAAAAGTTATAATTCGACCCTTGACCCAATACATATGCTCAGAGTAAACGGTGAAATGTTGAGCAAATTGTGCATCCGTGTTGAAAGTTTTCAACTGGAAAATGGTATATGAAATTTTCGGACGATAACTTAATCAGGGTATTTCACTGTTAAACAATTTGCGACGGCATAAGTAGTGTCAGACAACTGAGTTGGGCAGCTGATGAGGAGTTTTTGCCACCTAAGAGTGCTTGATCGGCAAACGTTTCAAAAAATAAAGGGTGGTTCACCCATTTTGTTAGCAAATGGTACCTAGAAACCTTCCCCCCCCCTTTAGTAGCATAGCTTGCGATCGGCCTGCCAACCTGGCAAAATTCTGCGTAAAAACGCCGCAACCCCAATAACCTTTATATCGCCATAATTCTCAGATGCTTGGGTCTGGTAAATATTAGTATTAAAACAAAAATTAGGCGATAGGAACTGCCGATTCAGGCCTCGATCAGGAAACGAGGCATCAATTGAGACAAACAAATCTCCGTCAATGTTATGTTTGTTCAGGTCAAACATCAGACACACGTTTATCAAACAAATGTAGTCAATAAAAAGTGCTTTGATTTGCTATGCAGTTCTCTGTAACTTGCGCCTTGTGACAGCAATCCCCCTCCCGTCCTGAAGATTGCTTCAAATTGCAAAGAGATAAGTTAAAAGGCTGCTCTCTAAAGGCCATTTTTGTGCAGGTTTTTCTGGGAAATAATGTGATTTAAAAACAACGTTCGCTAAAACTCTATTTATATTCTTTTTGAAATTATGGGATTATTTTAAATTTCTGCTTATTCTCTATACGATTAAAACCCGAAGTTTTAGCGATATTGATACGAAAGTTTTCCTTTTTCGTGAGCCAAAAATTGATTTCTTCTCTTTTACCACCGTAATTCACATTAGCCTTTGGCGTCCTTTTACATATCCAGCGCAAACTTGGGCTCAAGCACATTCTGTTGCTAAAAGTTGTCACCTGGAATTATACATGGCATGGCCTCCGACGAGGAGGGACAGACCGCCTTATGCAAGAGAGAGCTTTTTTCAAAATCTTTTGTAATGGTGTTAAACTTTCCCTTTGCGGCAAAAAGAGGCTCTTGTCCATTTTCTCCACATTTTCAATTAATTTGGGGGTCATTTTGTAACTTCCTTTAGTAACTCCTTCCTGTTGGAGGTTTGTGGTAGGTTAAGCGATTTGCACCGAAGTGCCAGCCCAGCTCGCTCTCGATAATGTGGGAACGTAGCATCATGACTGAATTTCTGATATCTATGGCATGTGTTTCTGAGGGAGCTTTATGCCCTGTATTCTATAATGATATTTGATTCCTGAATGCGAAGATTATTGGTATTAATGTCGACCCAGTTTGGTAGGCTTTGCGGAGTCACTTAAGGTTAACAGAGATCATCTTTACTTCAGGACATTCAAGACTGTATTTCATCGCTACCCACACAATGCATATTGTACATCGCTGATAGACACACTGCTGGTACAGACAAGTAACATTTTTTTATTTTAATATAGCATCGTCCCGTCCACTATATCGTACAGTCCCGTCAGAACCCGCTTCCCAGAGAACGAAATTCATATTTAGGGCTGCCCATTGAGTTCCTTCTTATTCAGTACATTGTTATAAAGGAAACATGCTACAATTTGACAAATATTGGGGGGTTCCAGCTTCCCAAAGCCTCCCTAGCCCCCCCCAACCTCCCGGTTCCAATGGGCCTGGTTTACAGTCACACCCCGCTTACAGTCTTGAAAAGTGATAACTTTTCAGGCAACGTTTGTTCTGACTAAAAGCGGGTTCTACTGAACCAACATGTCAGACAGCAACTCGGCGTAATTGTCTTTCCATTGTTTGTGTTTTCTAGACTCAAAAGAACTTGTTGAGGCATTGATCAATACTTTTCTGGCTGCTATTTGTTAGAAAATCAAAAAAGAGAAATAATCATACCAAAATTTATGTGGTAAAATTCTTGCCAGCATCTTGAACTATCGTTGCAATTTTTCCCCAACGTGCTTTTGTTGCTAGTGTGAATGTAATTTGAATTCAAGCAACTGTTGTCAAGGGGATCTTTGGTTTGCCTAAAGAAATTCTTATGTCATCATCCTGAATAAAATCCGCAATTTCTCAAATTACAAAGCTCAGATAAGCTCACTCATGTATTGTGAGCAGGCCTGTAGGCAGCTAAACTAGATTTGGGGGGGGGGGGGCATGGATAAAAATATAGCCTTTTCTAGACCTGCCTTACGAAATACTGTCAGATCAAGCTGCGCTTATAAGATCTTCAAACGCAGTCTTCGCAAATAATTGGGGGCATTGCCCCCTTGCTCCCTGTGTCTACGGGCCTCATTGTGAGTGTCTTCCCTTCCCTTGAAGGCGTAGCTTAGCTTAACAGAAAGTTTACGAGAGATAAAAAATTGCGGGATGTGGGTCTATTGTGTTCCCAAATATGGCGATTTTGGGCCGAATTGCTCCGAGTTTAGACAATCATCCTAACTATAGGGGGCTTCAAACCCCTGCTCAAAGCCTCTCCTCCCTGCATGCCTCTTCATGAACATGTCAACAAAAAACAACGAGGCTATGAACTAATAGTTGTGTGCATATAAATTGTTTAAAAACAATGCATGTATGTAACTGGGATGGCGATGTATGCATAAACTGTTTATTAGCTTTCTCCAAGATCTAATTATGATGAAGGTGATTATTTTTTGTTTCTTAAAAAAACGCCAACAGCAGCCTATAAATTGCCCTTGGTACATAGTTAACTTTTGATGCTTTGGTACCCAGTGTACCTACAAATCTGTTGATGCAGTCTGATATCTTCTCATCATCAAGACGAGGCTATTGAACCTATCTCTTTTATGTGATGTGTAAAACTTATAAATACTTTCAATTACATCAAACAAAAAATATAATGATATTTGTAAAATGGTGTTCGCACTTTTTGAAAAGCCCATGAATAACAAAGATCTCGAGGGTCCCACATGTAAGGGTGTAAAGGCATTGCGAATAAATCATGAAACGTATATTGTAGATAAATCATAAACAGAGAAACGTTAATTTTCGAGTGGTTTTAAAGTTTAATTTCTACTTAAAAGACACTTGCCTTTTCCTGTTCTTGCCTACTAAAATCGTAAAGTAGAAAAAGGTTCTGTACAATTTCTTTCATTTCTTGGCTTTTCCATTTCCCATAGCTTTGTCAAAGATCAAAACGTGCAAATATTATCTGGATATTTCTATCGAACGTATCATTGCTGTGGGAGATTTTAAATTAAGAAACGGAAAAAGACCTTAAATTTTGCACAGGAACATGTCATTGCATGAGCTCTGTAAGCAAGGCCGATTTATTAATCATTAATATGCCTGATTTAGACAACTATATCATCTTATATGATTAGCCAGTAATCATTTCGCTATTACAATGACTTTTAAATGGATTATATTATCTTGGTATACACTGTGGAAACGGTATCATGAAAAGTGAAAAGATTAACAATTTTAACGTGGGGGAGAGTTATCTGTTGATGATAATGTTTTCTTAGCTGCTAGGAGGATGTAACTTAATTAATGAAAGTGGATTTGAAAAATAGAATATTGGTGATTTTTCTTTCAATGGTTTTTAAGCATGTAGAAAATGAATGGCCCGATGATATTGTAGAATTATCTCTTGGGGTCCATTGTTCCCTTCTAAACGTTCATTTCTCCTTGTTCCAGCGGCGAGACTCCAACCATAGACATTTTGATGGAAATGTACGCGCAATCTTCTCACACATGTTGGAGCAATAACACAGATTTTAAAAGGAAACAGACGGAAAATAAAGCGGTAATGTGTTGGCTTACTGTAATTCCTTGTACATTGTAGTAAAATGCAGTCCTTTCACGGTACAATTTCACAGACTTGCAGTAAAATATGTTTTACATGACGGGGTAATTTGGGCAAACATCGACAACATTGGCGATATCATTATAGAATACACGTGACAGAAAAAAATCGATCCTAAAGTTCTTTGTTCCTTTTGATTAACGTTGTTGCTTAATTAAACTTTATGAAAAAAGCAAATGAAAATGATCTTAGTAGATGCTAGATAACTGACATTTCAGGAAATCAACATAAATCATGTTAGGACAAAAGCCAGATAATTCATCATTATTAATGCTTAACCTAGCATTGCAACTGTTCCTGAATCACGCTCACGATACTGTATAAAAAGACAATGCAACACAAGTAAAAACACCTCTAGCATTTGCAAAAACAAGCTTAAAGCCTACTGAATTCAACGACTGAGTATAGTTTAAGGTGTTCAATAGTATAGGCCAAAACATTTGCAGTGCAACAGCTATGCTTATAGTTGTGAAAATTAAAGAGAAAAATAACAGTAATTTCAAAGGTTGATTTTGTAGAGGGTTCTTTTAGGATATTTGAGAACTATAGTCACTTTCTTTTTAAAAGAAAGAGAGCAACAAAAACAATATTCACATTTTATCAAATATATTTCAAATATAGACAATTAAGTTTTGAATATATTCAATAAAATAATTTTCCTAATTTTTAACTTAATTGAAATAGTAAAAGCTCTCAATTATGAGTAACACTGCTTTTAGATTGTTAGGGGGACATATTCTGGCTTTTAAATGAAAATATAGACATAAAGATGGATTTTCTACGTTGAGATTAAAATGCAATTCAATGCTTATAGTCTAAATATTTAGCATTTTATTGCTTCAACTTTCAACGTAAAAACAAATTAATTCAATCAAAAGCAAGTTTGTAAATTTGCAAAAATTGAAATTGAGAAAGATTATATCAAATTTAAACAATGCATATTTTTTAGCATATAACATGTAACTTTGTTTCATAAAGCAAATTGAACTCTATTAACATTTTTATTACAAACACGTTTTATAAGTAGAGTTTTCCTAAGCTCTTTGAGTCAAATTTAAAAAACTTAATGTATTTCATTATATCTAGTATTTATTTATTGGAAGTCTTTTAACTGCTATATAAGAATACCCACACAAGCAACCAACACCATTCATTTTTACTTTTTTGCATACAAGTGGCCTGAACATAATTGGGATCGTTTGATTAAGCATGAAAAGTTTAGACCATATGCTAGTTTCACAATGATCATCAAGTCACAAATTTCAAATGTTTGGTGTTGGTTGCTGCCAACATATTCATTTGAACATCCATTCTAACAATACTTTATCGAGATACGTCAATTTGTATGCAAATTGCTCTCATGGATGACATATAACATTAAGTTAGATTAGAAGCCCGTGGCAAAATTTAGAATTTAATTGCCTTTTTTCTGAGTTTTGCTAGTCGTTTAAAAAGTAATGTAGAGTGTATTATCTGCAATTTAATCAAAGTTTGAACAAAATTGAATATAATAGAATAAAGTTCAACAAGCTTCCACCAGGATATGAAATCCTTAGGGAAATGGCTTGGAATAAAGGCACATTGAATAAGCCCATGAGTGCTCCTTTAGTGCTTGGAAGCTTTATATTTGATATATGTAAACAAATTTGAGATGTACTTATTAACTTTTTCGAGAAATTTTTTGAGACGAGCCTTATATGTTGTGGCTGAAGCCAACTTTATTAAACATGACAGCAATCTATAACAGAAAAATGGATACCATCAACAAGTTTCGCCTATACTTGCCTATCTTCTGTACTAATAGAAAATACTAGAATCATTTTATGATTCCTACTAGAATTTGAGGCACCAATTCTTGCGCACAATTTTCTTAGCATTCTAAGAATCTGAATTTATTAGCCATCGTTAACTTCAGACATAGTGATTTATAGTATCTATGTTAACATCCCTAACATAGCAAGATGAATGACATTTTATGGTTCAATGCCTGGAAAATTTTTATCTTATTCGAGCTTAGAAAAATTTCTACAAGCAGGCATGAGGCACTCTTTTTGTGAAAAGAATTAGAAGTCAGAAGAAGATTTCGATGATCGAACTATACTGCCATAAAACTTTTAAACAAATTTGGGTTCATTTGCACTTGAATTTGCTACACAGTGATTTAATTTTGTTTTTATGTTTTGATAAACTTGCGATTATGTTTATGTCTGCCACTAGTATTTGATAGGTTCTGCAAAAAATTCATGATTACAGATTTTGTTGTTTTAAGAGGTATGACTCATGGCTCCACAAGATTATTTCAATAAATGAAGTGTTTGCTATCACCCTCACTAGTTAGCAAATCATTGTAGATTTACATTCTAGCTGTAATAAGATTTCGAGTTGAAGAATGCCATCTATATAATACATATATTTAATCATTATCAAATTTCTTTTCTGTTGCAACTAACATAGAAAGGCTTCAAGGGAGAAAGGTTTCAAGAACGAAAGACCTTTTATGTATCAAAGTTTAATTTTGTACTTGTAATGTTTATCACTAACTCCTTGATATTGGCTTGATCTTCTTGTATAACAACGATGAGATTAAAGGTTTAGAAATCAAGTTTGTCACATCTATTATTCTTTCAAAATAATTCAGTCTGACACAGTTAAGAAAAAACTAATGTTAACCGTATAAAGATTGTCTTAAAGTTTCCTTCAAAATTTAGTTATGATGAAGGCAATTTCTCCGGCTAAATGCAAGGCAAAGCTGTAGGCAACCTATAGTTTTGTTTATTGTTAATGGTGCAGCCTGATACAGTCTCATTATCAAGATGAGACTACCGTGAATTTCTTTTCTGCGATTGGTAAAGCTTGTGAATGTCGGAGGCTCGGTTGTACTCTAAACTTGACCGGCAAGCGGTGTATTTAGTGGCTAGCGTTCTGATGCAGCAAGAGCGCCAAAACGTGATGCGTTGCTAGTTGTTGCAATGTTGCACTTATATCCAAGATCAGAGAATACAGTGAGAACCGTATGCCTTCACAAGGACGGAAACTTGGAGTGCTACGAGTAACATCAGCGAGTTTTTTGCCGCGAGGGGGTTTTTCGAGCAGAGGAACATTGATGCTCCTTGACATTGTTTGCAATATCATTTAGAACAATCGTTGAGAAAAGACACGCTGCTTACGTCATCACATATCAATTATTTATGGTGTAAAGTATTTGAAAGCCCTGGAGCATCCAAGCAGACAACCGCAACTTCAGAGAAGAAAGATAACCAGGAATCGAACCCTTATGAATTCACTTGTCCTTTAACATTCTCGGATGCTGTTGAAAAAGCACAATAAGTGTGTAAGTATAGCTTCCAAAATTTTCATATTGACAAATTAATGCCTATTTGTAAATTGTTTAGATTACATTAACAATCCCCTTAATCATTTGATGAATAAATCTATTTTCATGTCATCCCATATTTTGTATTTCTTCCCTACAGATAGAGCTACTTTTTTTCTCTTCTAAAGTATTTTAGTTCCAAAGTCTTTTCCTAGTTACAGATGTAGACCTACTTAATTCAAGAATAACTTTCAAGAATAACTTGAAAAAGATTCATTTCAGCAATTTAAACTACTTTTCACTGATTTATCGCATAGAAATAATTCTATTGCGAAATAATATCATTTTCAATCTGAAGTCCAACAATCATGAACATTCACTGTATGTGTTAATATGACTACAAATGAAGATAATAATGATGTATTTTGATACACTATTTTCCTAAAATTTTAAGTTTATTGTAAATTTATTTTGCATGTTGCAAGATAAAAGTAACATACCCACGGTCATAATTTTCTTTGATTGATTTTGCCTACAAGTTCCATCTCAAGGTAAAATTACTGTGAAGAAATTCATCTTAAGGGTGTTTTCCTTCTGATGGTTGTCTGTATAAAATTCCTTTTTTAAAGAAAATTTGCGAAAGGCTTTTGATGCTAACGTACTCCTTTGCACTTTATTTTGGTATAAGAGTTACGAGATTTAGTTCATGAGAAGCTGGCTGGTTACTGCTATGATGCTACATACTTTAAGTGTCATGGAAGAACTAGTTTGAGCCACATTCTATATTATTCTAAATGCACATCAATGGTATGATAGAGAATTTGAGCCATTGATGGCTACAATCCTGGGAAGAATTGTCGAGGCAAAACTTTTGCAATTTTCTATTTTACGTTGTCTCTGTAAATTCAAAGACCCCCTCCCCCCCCAAACCAATGTGGGATAGTAGTTAATTCAACTGATCCTCAGAAACTTGCATCCCACATTGAATCAGGGGAGAGAGAATTTGTCTTTTTCAAAGTAAAGAGAAAATGTAAATAAACTCTTTGAAATGTCTCAACTATTTTTTGCCTGTGATTGTAGGTGTGTCTAGATAAAAGCACTTCGAGCATAGCTTTTGTGACTAAATAGAACATCGTTTTGGAAAGCCTTTCAAAAACGAAAGCGCTTCTCTATTTTTTGCTTAATTCTCATCTTTCAATGGCCTGCGCATTTTTAGATTTCTGGTTTAACGTCAGATTTCTAGATTTCCATTGTCGAGGTTATCACTTGCAATTGAAAAACATGCCTTTAAGAAAAATCTGAGTTAAGTCTGGTGGATAAAATTACAAAAAGAGTTTTATTAGTATATGAAAGCGACAATGAATTGGAAGACTACCCTGGAAGCCGCCATTTTGCCAATTTGCATTATGTGTATACGTATGCCAAGTCTTCTTATCTCTGATTTAACCAATGTCCTGAAAGCTTTTAATGCATCCATTCTAACTTGTTTTAACTTGCACAGCCACTACTTTGATAGCTAAGATGAAGTTGCTTTCTATCATAGATACGTTTTAATTCAAGATGAAAATGAATCGTTTTAAACGGCAGCCAAACAGAATGCCTCATTTTCAAGATTACACGCCTATGTGCTTCAAGATGCCTCGAAACAAGCCAACTGCCTTCGTGCCGTACATCTTGCCAGTGAGGCAAATAATTTCACCAGAAATTGAATACCCATGGCAATACTCACAAAGAAGGCATTCTAATAGCCGTGCACCTTTGGCTGCACCAACACCCTTCAGAGCTGTTTGCAGTCATGCGGAAATCGAAGGCTTTAATGGCTACTGGAAACATAACCAAAGCCGATTTGCTGAAAATGGTATTGGGCTCAATGGATATGAAGACCCAGCCAGCCCTGTTTTAACAAGCAGCTCTGATAGTCGAACAAGAATATTTTATCCTACTTCATGTCACAGCAATGTGGATCAGCAATTAAGGGTTGTGTCGAACACAACTGGGCATGGTATGGGATGCCATGACACAGCTACTTTTCAGAGAGATGCTTGGCAGTCGAGATATCAGTGCCCAAACCATGGTTTCCAGGATGTAATGTTCAGAAGAACTGACAGTAGCAGACATTTACATGACGAAAGAGTAGGCCGTAAATGTTCTAGTGTTGCGAGAGTTGCCACAACTTTTTCAAGCACCGCTACAAACGACACCACTGCCACGACTACTACTGTGACAGTCACTACCTCTAGTGGTGCTAATGTCATTGTATCAACAGCCTTCACCACTGTTTCGTCTGCTGTCATTGCCAGTAATGCCATCCCTGAGACTTCTACATCAACAAGAAATGTAGATCTAGCCAAAGCCGTTTCTTCAGATAGCGCGTTTAAAGTTCTTGAGACAGTTGCAAAGCAAAATGGTAGTAGCTCGAAGAAGCCCAATAGAAGACAAAAAGCTGCCAGAAATCGCCCAAAGCTAAGTTATTTGAACAACCAGCCCGATCAGAGACTTGATGATGAGCTTCATTTGCCAGAACCTATAGATTTTACATCTACAATCTTAGGAAGTGAAGATGAAGACATTAAAGATGTGAAAGGGGAAGAAGATAGGCTGTCAAATTTGGAACATTCCAGTCTCGTTAAAAGAAACAACCCTTATGAGGGAACGTTAAAGCAATTAACCCAAAGAATAAAAAAGAAAAAGGAAGAAAGAAGTAAAGAGGAAGTTGCTTGCAAAATTTTTGGACTTCTCTGTTTGCAAGGATCTCGAGAAAGGAGGTAAGAATTTTTTAGATGCGAAATCTGAAACTTTTAGTGTTATGCAATAGGATTGCTGTTTATAAGATAGAACCACTTTATCATTCTTGAAAAAGGAAACAAGTTTCGTTCCAGTTTGTTTAAGATGAGAAATTTATCCTTGGACATCTTATTCTCGAATCCAGAAAATAAGAAGACTATTTTGGTAGGTATGTGAGACCAGTTAAATCTCAAGAAGCTTTTTCATTAAAGTTACATTTATTTTTTGTTTGTTTGGGTTACACTATGGTAGAAAATTGCTTGGTACTTGCGAAGGAAACAATTTTTCAAAGTTATTCTCTTCTTCAACATCCTCGAATAAATCTTACCCCATTTTTCATTTGAAGTGTTGATCAATAATAAAGTCAAACTTTCAATGGCACTCTTAAAGACATTTCCTGAAGACATTCTCTTTACAATAGTTGAGCGTTTTTTTAAAAAAAAATTAAAAATTGGCTAGGGTCTTTTGGCAAATGTTCTTAAAAACTGAGTCTAGATAAAAAGAAAAGTTGGATTTGTTCCAAAAGATGCACACTTCAAGCAAAAATAACGGATTATGTTTGAATACATTGCCTTAAAAAAGGGTATTAATTGCCAGTAAAGTTGCATTTCTATATTATGCTTAATAGTTTTTCCGAAAACTGTTTCTGCGATGGAGTTTTATGAGGGAAAGGTCTACGTAGAGTTGCTATAGATTTTTCTACATACAGCAGTGAAACTAACGTGTTTTTTCTAGGTCAGTTTCATATCCGTAGATTTTCTTGACGCTTCTTTTCATAAAAGGGAGAAGGCTAAAAAAGAGCACATTTTTGGAAGCTTCAATTTTTACTTCATGCTATAAGTTTCTTCTACTTTGGTTAAAATGCTCTGCAAAAACTCTTTAACTTCTGTCTTTACTAGAAGTAGCTTCAAAAACTGTCAACATTTATAGCGTTTATAGCGTAATAACGAAGTATGAATACTTTTTTTGAAGAGAAGGTAATACCAAGGATCAAGGTAGCAGAATTTTAAACTCAGTGACGATAGCTGCCTGTCAAACGATAATAAATAGGTCTATATCTTATTTCTTGAACACTTGCTTTCTAACAAGACACGGGCTCAAAAAAGAAGAATTCCATTTCCTTGCGTTTCTGGAATAGACAGAAAGATTCCTTCAATAGCTGTTCAATCATAACTTTGCATTTAAGTGTGAAAATTGCAAATGTATGTAGGTGTCAAATTCAAACTCAACGTACCTAAGATAGCTCATCTAGCAATGGCAATCTTCATATTTTTAAGAGATTATTCTGTCAAGAAAATCAACAGCTCTGTTGGTATTTTTGCGCTGTGTATTGAAAAATAAAGCCATTAAAGCCGTTTCATTTGCCAATAAACATGTACCGGGTTAATCTATATTCACACTATCTATAGTAATATTGTATCTTACTCTTTCAATATTGCCTTTTTGGCCTTGATAATTAGAAAGTAATTAGATTTATCAAAAGGCAACGTTTGAAATACTCATCTCTGGAACGGAGAGACAACTTTTTAAATTTATTTGTTGCGGACAAATATTTTCGCGAATTTGAAGTGAGGAATACATACAAAAGCCTTAGATCGTGTAAAACTAGTTGGTACAATAAAAGAAAAAAAACAAAAACATGCATTTTTTAACAATGATTTGAAAAATATAGGTTGATAACGAAAAAACCTTAGTATACAAACCCCCAGCCATTCCATCTGTCACAGACAGTCTTTAGTTGAACAAAAGTTGCAGGTCATTCAGTCTAAGGTCTAATTAATGCATCAAGCAAACTAATGACACAGCTTCTGTGTGCATATTCAAATTGAAGAACTTGCATCGTGTCTTCTTTAACACATGCATGATACTGTGCTGATATCAAAATTTATTTTATTATCACAGAAGCATATATGACAGTTGCTGCAACATACAGATACACAAATATAATTGCTTTTTTAAACAGTAGACCAATACCACTCACTGAATAATTTCATACCAATGAAATACCATGTATAGCGTCGCATGTTTAAAACATCAATGTTAAGTGATAAAAATACATTATTTTTTTGCTTAAGAAAAGTTCTTGTCATTATTGCTTAAATCAAACGTTCCAATTGTCCATTTGCTCAAACTTTGCTCAACGTGTAAATTACAACCTACGCTTTCCTGCTATAACTTTTTCAACCATTTGAAAACAAATTAGATTCAAACACCATGATTGGTCCGAGCTTAAATGAGCATTACATTTTTTCCAATAACAAACTATTGAGGGATATTCACATTTTTCCAAAACATGCTTGCGATTACTTTATTATTTTTGCCCACTAACTTTTTATGCGACAGAAAGAGTGCTTTTGGAGTTTTTGGAGTCAAATATTGTTTCTTTTTTCATGTTTGAAAGTACCTTACAATTCAAAAGTAATTCATCGTTTTAAGTGTTGATTTTTATATTACTAAAACTGGTAGTTCCTGATTCAAGAAAACTTTCAAAGATCAAACATGAATCACCCATTCAAAGTAAAGTAAAGACTAGACAAGTAGTAAAGTGAGTAAAGAAAAGACTGTCTTGGTCAGTTTGTAGCTCTTTTCCCCTCATATAAGTAAAGTTGAAAAAATTTATAAGGAAATTGTCCTAAAAATGTTAAAAAATAAAATATAACTAAAAAAGCGTAAAGTTTGAAATTATTGGGACTGGAGACACAAGTTCTCTGTCTAAGGTATGTGAATTCTAAAGACTCTAATCAATATTTGCATTTTTAGGCTCAGCTATTGTAAAGGGGATGTTTATTTTGAGTGCCCTCGAAAGTGCAATTTTGTGTGGATCAGAATTCGTATTGAATGCTTTCTAATAAAGTGTAGTTAAGAAATGTGACCTTTAAGTCAGGATCGACCTTCTTCAAACAGGATCCAAAGCAAATGCCAGAACAGATCAAAAGTTGAAGGTTTAGCATAAAAACATATTCATCCTTTGAAAAGATTTAATCAGGAACACCTCTTGGTGAAACATGCTAAACGTTGCATTTACACATGAGAGCAATGATACATTTTTTTGCATGTTTAAATACTATTCGGGAACTATGCCCTACAATTCCAATTGCTGCCAAGAAGTTTGATATTTTCCATTATATTAAACCTAATGAAAATTAAAACAGTCATAACAAAATTTAATGACATGAGTCTCTACCTAAAGCTGTTACATTTGATAACTTTTTAGAATTATGGCTTTATAGAATAAATAATAATTATAAGATTCTTGATTTTCAATTCTAATTAGATGATTTTTGTTTTTATCTTGATATCGTGGTTTGGTGGATAATGATTATCCAATGTTGAACAAGACCATGTGCTTGAATTTCCTACCAGAAAGCTTCTGTTTCTGCCAAGAAAACTTCAAAGCCCTTTGGCTCAAATGTTGAATTAATTAAATAGAGTAATTCAAAAAAAGAATGTAGACATAAAAGGAAACATTGACAGCAGAGTTGTTTGTTACTATGGATAGATCTCTTGAATTTTGGTCAAACTTTTAGATTGCGTGACAAAGATGTTTGGTTGCCAGTTTAATTTTGATATAGAGAGAACTTTTTCCATCCAAATTCTATCTCTCTTAACTTCGGCTTCAGTTTACGCTACACTGAACCAACTTACAGTCAGATACAGTGCAACCTATTCCCGAAGGAGGAAGGGGTATTATCTTCCATTTGCATTTTTATGGGGTGTGCCATTTTTGGATACCTTTTTTCAAGTAGTAAATATATTTTGGGGCATCAATTTTGGTAAAACTAAAATTAGGCATAAATTTTGGGAGTGATTTTTAGCACGACCTTTGGATTTTGGATATCAATTTATAAAAGAAAGGTGATATGTTACTCTTTACTTAATTGAATTGTTGGAATTTTGTTAGTTTAAATTAATTTTGAAGGTATGCATTTCATATTGCATTTAAATTTTGAATAATTTATAAATTTTAGAGTATGTTTTTATATCTCAAACAGGCACTCCTTGGTGTTTTGAAGCAACCCCCCCCCCCCCGCCACCCCTCCTAGGAACCTATCAAAAGCTTAATTGTGCAAACATTTTCAGTATTAATGACTAAAACATTTCAATTCTAAGAATAGACAAGATTATGTTTGAACTGAATAAATATTCTAGTTTAGCGCAATGTGATTTTTATTTATCACAGCCGAAGTATAATACTGAGAAATCAATCCGTCTGAAAGTTCTCGGTGGTTGGGCAAACAGTCAAACAGTTTAGACTCATGCCTAATACTGAGAAGTCAGCACTTTAGAACAAAACATTATTTTGGTTCATTGATTGATATCAAGCAAAGCAGAGCTTGTTAATGTATAGTATTATAGATAGAGAGGGAAAATCAATCTTATATAAAAAGAATCTGCTTTTGGTTAATTCAAGGATACATTTGCAGAAGCTCTTGCATACATGCAATCATTTCTTCTTTTGTTTAAGAAAGTGATCTCTTTATAACTCTTACTAATAAATACGTAAGAATACAATCAATTAAAGTTAAAATTATCTTTTCATATTAATTCACTGGTAATTTCAGCAAGTTATAGCTGCTTAATTGTTGCAAATTTCATGTCCGGCCTTACTTTCTGGTACCAGCCCTTTGTATTTCATACAAAAAGCCTACAACTGTAAATGATATCATTTCAAAAACAAGATAAGATGAAAGTGTTTTATCAGGTGCATGTATGGTTAAAGACAAAGGCCGATGAATATTCAATTTTATCATATGAAGATGGCAAATTTAATTATCATATGAAGGTATATCATAACGATAAAATACAACAAAAAATTATAGTTAGAAATTACAAACCACAATAATGGCTCGCGCTTAAAGAGAAAAGTGACTTTGCCTAGGATCTAGCTTGTCAATTATTAATGTATGGTTTATGGATACATTTGCGAATTATTCGCCATTACACGTTGGTGACTTCTAGGCCCATTGTTTCTTGGTCATTCTTCTCGACCACATCTTTTTGTCATCAGTTGACGTCTAGGCAGAGGCAGCCCTTAACATATTACTACATATAATGCTAAATTTTTAAGTACAGGAAAAATAAAATATATAAATAAACTATACGATTATCTTTAAATGTTGAAGAAACTAGTTCAAAAATAAATTAGCCATAAATTTTACATCTCTGATGTATGTTATGTTGGTATAGCAAATTCTAAAAACTGTTTGGGATTTTGTGTGAACAAGATACCCATGTCCTGTTCCACACATATTGATCAATAAAAGTGCTGTTACATTAAAATGCTCTGAAACATTGGATAAGGCCTTACATTATAGCCCAATGATTAGAGTGGAAGTTTCCTTTAGAGTTTTCATCTAATTTCATCTCTTTTTTCTATTCAAATTTTAAGTTGATTGTGTAAATAATTAATAATGAGTACATTGAGTAGATTGGGGTACTTAGTTGAGCCTTCGAGTCAAATAATTAATATTAAATACATTGAGTAGATTGGGGTACTTAGTTGAGCCTTCGAGTCAAATAATTAATATTAAATACATTGAGTAGATTGGGGTACTTAGTTGAGCCTTCGAGTCAAATAATTAATATTAAATACATTGAGTAGATTGGGGTACTTAGTTGAGCCTTCGAGTCAAATAAATACTATTAAATACATTGAGTTGATTGGGGTACTTTGAGTCAAATTTCCTTGTTTAATCTATATTGGTAAGTCGGTTGAGATGTAGAAATTTTGCTACAGTAATATTATGAATAATACATAAAACTATAGAATACAACTGAAGAAAGTAAATACAGTATCACAAATACAGTAAATACAGGCAATGTAGTTAAAGTTAGTACAGTATCACGAAGTTAATGATTAACAGTTTATAGGTAAGAATATGAAGATTGCATTACAGAGTACTTGGATACTAATTTTGCTAGAGCCATGGATTATAATATTTGGCAAGAAGGCATTTAGATTTTCTGGGAGCTACTTTCGGTTGGGACTATTCCATATCCATTCCAGTTTTGTTTTCTCAATTTGGAAAAATTACTAAACCCTGAAAATTTTCTATTTACAATATATCAATATTTTCAGCAGATGAAGGATGAATTTTTTCTGAAATTTGCCAACAAGATTGGAAGTCATTTGTCTCTAATAAAATTGCAGACCATATTAAATAAGAGAACGTCAAAGTAAAATACGAAAGCTGTTTTCAAAATCAAGCTGATCGTTGATGCATTTTTAGAGACTTGTTTTCAGAAAAAGGTAGCTAGAGTCTCTTATAGCTGCTATTGATACTGATAGGTATAAGATTGTCATCGCTCGTTGAGATCAAAATATAATTCATGCATGTGAATAATACACGAATTGAAAAAAGGTACAGAGATAAAAACGTGTTTTGTAGACATTTAATCATTATTTAGCCTTTTGCTGTTATTAAACTTTGAAAGCCGACATTCTCCTTGGAATTTTTAGATGAATCTCATTCGTTTTTCGTTCGTTACAAATTTTGATCAATACAAAATTTCACTTTCTCGGGCACTCAAAGCAGATTTTTTTTTTACTATAGCTGAGCTTTCATATCAGTAACATTGGCTACGTTCCTGAGGCTATACACACCTAAGTCAGAGATCTTGTGTCTCCAGCCTTGATAATTGCAAAATTATTTGTTTTTTTGTGTGACAGTGTTTTGAGAACAATTATCAGTCTTCTATCTGAGGGGAGAAGTGCCACAAACTGATCAAGACAGTCTTTTCTTTACTCACGCCTTGAATGGAAGATTCATCTTGAATCAGGAACTACCAGTTTTAGTAATACAAAAATCAATACTTAAAACGATGAACCATCTTTGAATAATAAGGGACTTTCAAACATGAAAAAAGATACAAAGTTTGGCTCCAAGAGCACTCTTTTTATGTTTTTTAAAATGTAAGGCAAACAGAATTAGAAATCATGAGCCAATTTTGGAAGAATGTTACTTTATTCTGTAAAAATCTTCAAAATATTTATTATTGAATAAACTGAAGTACTTTTTTCCGGACCAATACATCACCCAATGAATAAAGCAGCAAAAGCTTGATGCAAAATCCTTTGATATAAGCTTTTTATTAGATCCTTTTCTGATGGTAAAGCAGTAAATTTTTATTTCTTGCAATCTTTTTTATATCTCGAGTTCGTTTATGAAAATTGCTGTTAAATGGCCTGTAATAGAGTGATCACTGCCGTACATGCAGAGCTGTAGATGCTTTTAGTGTATACAGCTTGATGATTCTGAGCTGCTACTCTGAGTTTCACGCTTAATGTCTTCATCAGGCAACTGTCCTGTTCCAGAAATACTTATGTTAAAGCAACTTATTTCCAAATATCTTTCATCGTGTCATTCTTACTGCATTATTCAACTTGTTTATTGGTTATCATTACATTAGCGTGCATTGTCTGGTACTGTACATTGATTTATCTGTGAATAGGAAGCTTTGCTTTGAGTTAACAAGGTAACTAATAGTTAGACAAGTATTCTTTCAAACCCTTCTGCGAAGCAGATGGTATTAAAAATTTTAGAAAGAAATGCTGAAAGTATTAAGGGACAAAAATAAAACAAAACAAGTTGTTGCTCCATTAGAGAGGGTAAGAAGTATAAAGATTTATTTAAGATTTATTATTGTTGATAAAGTAGAAGCAATCTAAATATTATCAATTCTCAGAAAAATGAGGGGTAGTATTATAATGGGTTGGTTTGAGTTTCGCTAAGAGTGCTTGTAGATAGATTCATATATGTGTGAAAATATTGATAAATTAAAAAAATTTGAATAATTTGAATAAAAAAAGCCAAGCTTCCAGCTGATAATCATAGGGTGCCAATCCACCTACATTGTGAATCATTGCCATCAATTTATCATTTTGAGAGTATCTCTGCTAATCTGCCTACGGTTTTTATGTAATTCTTTAATATATTAGCCTAATGCTTTTAATCACAATGATCTTGCCTTTGAACTTATGGTACTACGGTTGGAATGGCTTTGTTTTTTTCCTTTTTTCAGGAAAATGTTGTCATTAATTTTACTTCTATAGCAAGGGACCATTCCTTTCTAAAGGAATCATCCTTTACCGAATGACGCTCTAACACAATGCAAGTACTGAGATTTCTTTACATGCACCTTTTTTGCAGATATGAAATAAGTGTTGAAGAATTACGAAGACGCGTAAGTGCTCCCGAGCACCTAAACAAAGTAGACATGATATCGTACTTGCGATTGGCAAAGAATTCTGCAAGACAGCTGCTGGAGAAACATGACATCATCAGCTCTCTTCACCACCGCCTCTCAAAGCACACTGTTCTTTCCAAAGTATCAGAACGAGAGTGTGAGGAATTGGCAAATGGAGTCCACGACATTAACATGTCCTTCTTTCCATTTGAAGTGACTGCAAAAACGTCAGTATCCAATGCAAAAAAATCAGGAACAGACAGCACAAAGCGGAAACAGAATCTCATTAAAAGACTTAAAGACCTAGAAGTAACGAGGTAAGAGGCATTGTGTACTTTATAAATATCCTTACTTTACTGTTACGTGTGAAATCATAAAGTTACCTCTTGATGCATTCATAGTAGTGCATTTTCTGTTATGCCAAGCATTTTATTTAATAGTATCTTATTGATTATCTTTTATCCTTCTTGCTCATTTGTTTCTTTCTGATCTTATATTTTTCAAGTATCTCCTTTTTAATTTGACATTCTCTTTGTCTTTCACTCTTAATACGTCAACCAAAGCCTCACGAGTTTAATTAGAATAAATCAAGACTATAGTCCAGGACAGGCACCGTGGAGCGTTGAGAAAAGTGGAGCGTCTAAAAAGAAAAAAGGTGGGGGGGGGGGGTGAAAACCGTATAAAAAAACAGTATGGTAGTTTAGTATTTAATTTTTGGTATTTCATGCAAAAAGTGGGGGTAATTTTTGGCTAAAGTCCCCCAGCCCCTCTGCTCTGCGGTGCCTGCAGGAACCTCTCATATGAATGGCTTTTATGCCCTGCTCAACTAGTTGCTACAAAACTTTTAATAATCGTCGCAAAAGACGAAAACCTATTCGCCTCAAGATCGATTCTGGTGGATTATGAAAGTAACCATTTGCTTCTGCAGAACAACGAATCCAGATGCCTTCCGGTTATGTTTTGTGATATTAACTGTAAAATAAAGTTTATAAACTTCAGCTAAAAGAAAATATGAAATGACGAGAAGTGACGAGAAAATGAATAATTAAAGTTAAGCAGATATGAATCTGGATGCCAGAGCCGTTTAAATGTTTATTTTAAAATTAGAAAAGCCAGCTGTCTTTGTTTCCCCCCTTTGTCGTAGGAGACACTGGCAGTCGGGGTAAGGGGATATAAGTTCTGTTTTGTGCTTTTGTTAGTCTGGTATAGGAATTATTTGCCAATTTGATATACTGAGAAAGAGGAAGAGGGAAAACTATTTGCTGAAAATCTAACAAATTTTCAGCAGTTTTGGGAAAGTTGAGCGATTAACTGCCCCCTCCATTACATATGAAAGTGAAAATGTATTCTCGTGGTAAGATATCTTAACCTTGGAATCAAAAATGAAAAGAGAGCTACACAAAAAAGATAATTGAAAAATCTCAGTGCAATTTACTGCGCTTACCCCACCTATAATGAACGCTCAGATTCTGTCACTGCTGTCCCATGGATATTACTGAAAAACAAGCACAGGTGCATTTTAAGATATCGCAAAGTAATTCAATCTTGCTTCTTTAAAAAGTAATGCTATATCATTCTATTTCACCAAGTTTCATTTAAACTTTCTAAGATACCTTGAAATATCAAAAACAGTAGCAGCAACACAATCTACAGTCTCCAGTATTTAGTGAGGCCCGTGTGATTCGATGCAAATTGATTATTAGTCAATACAAGTACTGTCTTATCAAAACCTGGAGGATTCAATTTTTCTACAAAACTTGGATGAAAAATTGAAGTCCTGAAAAAGTGTCTGGAAAAAGCTAAGAAAATTGATGAAATAATAGCGAAGATTATTTGTATTTGTATTTGTATTTGTTGCTACCTAGCATCCGAAGGTAGTTTTCAGGACACTGAGAAGCTATGCTTATCGAGCAGTGTCCTGGTTCTTCCTCTCGATATGACCACACCTCGTGATTCCTACGCCTGGAATTACAGAGAGCTGGCGACTCTCCCCATTCTGGGTGAAAGTTTGGTCATACCAAAGACTCAAACCACGGACCCTTGGGTAAAAATGGTATGAATTCAGTCTCAAATGGTGCCAGAAATGGATATCATGACAAGGCCGGCAAAAGCGGAGGGGGGGGGGAGGGAGCCATGGCCCCCCACTTTTCTGCAGAGCTAAAGAAAAATTTTAGGCAAAATTGGAAATAAATGTAGTAGATCATTCTGTAAGTAACTGTGCTTAGTAATCCCTTACATATGCCTTTAGATTTAGCTTGATTGCTATGACTTTACCATAGAAGACATATATAAATTTGAATATGGGAATTAGATCGAAGAAATCGGTCATTTTATAAGTTGTACAGCGAGTAACAGCTTGGCTTAGGAAATAGATCGAGAAACCTGATCCAGAATAACTTGGTGCCAGCACAAATTGACGGAGTTTCGTTCTTTCTATTTCCTAAACGTGGCTCACAAGGTCTATTTGTTAACAACAAATTTCTAGGAACATTGCAAAAAGAGAGAAATTGCTAGCGGTGTGGAAGGGAAAGAAACTGACGAAAAGAAAATTTTTGAGGACATGAGAAAGAAAGAATGGGCAGATTTGTTCTATAAAAGTAACATCAAGAAAACTTCAAACTTTCATTGTATCGATAATCCATTCCTACTAAGAAAGAAAATTTAGACACAATTATGAATTCTATAAAAACTATTTTTTATTTTTGTTAAAAGCACTTTTTTTCCGAAATATTTAAGATCAGATTTTACCAAACAAAATCCCAAGTATACAAATTGCTTAATTTGCTTTTATTTTAGTTGATAGTTCTTCTGTTTTTGTTGAAAATGCCTTGGATTTTCTTTTAGTCAATATCCATTTTAGATACAGTCTCTGGCCATTCCCTAAAATACAATAATCATAAAATTTTTACTTGCCCCCAACCATGGTGGCGGCCTAACATAAGCCCTTTCAAGACTTTCATATTTGGCCCCTCCACTTTCAAATACGTTTCGCCGGTCCTGCATGGATGGACTTATGAAAATTAATATCGAGGAAGTAACATTAATAAGCATTGCACTTCGTCTTCGCGGCAAGAAATATGACGCAGGGGAACTTTCTTCCATGCTCAAAGTTTATTTTTTGTCTGTTTGCCTTTTGAAACACCAATACTTCTCGAAGTTCCCTTTGTGATGTGATTCTATGACTTTAAAACTGCCCTTCCGTTAATGAAAGTGAGTCATGGCTGATTCCAGTTGGTGAAATGAGTATTCCTTGTAGATTGAAAGACGTTTTATTGCCTTTCTCTTCTCTTCCCGCACATCTTATTGATCACCTCAAAGTCTGACTATAATACCTTCCGCCAAAGATCCTGACTGACCTCTTGCAAGAGTTTTCATTGCAGGAAAAAGTTTAGTAATGTCATCTATAGCTTATACTGTAATATGATGTGATATATATGGGTTCTTTCATTTGATACCGTCATATTCGGGATGCAATATGTGTGAAAAATTACGGACTCAAAAGTGATCCTCGTACAACAGTCATAGATATCTCAAAATATCCAAAATCTAATAACAGAACAGTAACTCAGCTAATCCTCACTTGTCTAAAATTAATCAATATAAAATGATGTAAAATATAAGATTTTACATTTTTTAATTGAATAAATTTATAAGAAAATAATTCATGTTTGTAAAATATACGTATTCTACATTGTTGTTAGTTGTCTAAAAGATCAAACATTGCTGGGAGCAAAAGAGAGCAGCAATACATGATGCTGTTTTGTAGCGATAATATCAAGTTTGTTTTGTATAGAAAAGAATTCTAACTTACTTTGAAATTGGATTTTGGACTTTGTACTGAATAAATTATAAAAATTATGTTTTGTAATTAGGATCACAAAATTCAATGATTTTCTCATAACATATTTGAAAAATCGTGCTATAAAGAGTAGTTTTTGTAAGAGACAAGATTCTGCTAACTTTTGGAAAAAATTGCAAGGACATTCATGTACAAGGCTGCTCTAGTAGCTCTTGGCTTAGTATGCCCGATGTGGGATTGGGGTTACGGTAACAGCCGCATAGTAATACACATTGCCGGTTGACAAAATATTTGCATAGATCAATACACAGATGTTTTTTGCCATATACCATTGTTTGAAATTCATTAATAACTTAAATTAATTCCATCACTTGTGACGTCAACAATATCCTGATAAAAAACAACTACCAGCAGTATAATCAATTCTAATAAAGTGATCGTCTCAAAGCAAATAAAAAATTCTTTTAAATGTTTGCACAGAGATTTCATGGCCATCCATAATAGTTACTTTGTCTATCTCCTGAACTTATTTTTAGAATAGAATTGCGGGCATTGTCGAGATGTATACGGGGATGGGCTACTTTTTAAACTAGGGCTGTTCAGAAACTTAGTTATCAGATGACGTTTTTGCGTAGACAGATATCAATTAATCCTTGAATTAGATAGCTTAAACGTGAGTACATCAAGCCTAGTCGTGCAAACCCCTTGCAAATGTGTAAGGTCTTAGCGATGAGACTTTGTTTCATATGTTCACTTTTACAATTGTTTCTAAATATTCTAGAAAACATATGTGATATTGAACGTTCATAGAGTTTCAAGATTATGAATTTGGTGGTGTTTTGTTGAAAATGAAAAACTATTTAGATAAGTTAACATCATAACATTAGAGCAAGCCATGTTTTTTAGAATCTAAAAATGCTCTTTATGTTACAGAGATTCAGAAGTTTTTGCCAGATAAAGGCTTTAAGTTTTGTAAGCAAAAGTGATTCTTTGTATAATGTTCTTGCAAAGAAAAATAGAAAATTAACATGTAGCTGTACTGCTGTTGATGATATTTTGATGAAATGAAAGACGATGAACAGTTTGATAACATTTTGATGAATTTCAACATCTTTTCCATCAACTTGTTGACAACAAGGGGGACGTCCTTATACCCCAAATGTTTACGGTTGTAAAAAATCAAAATTTTACTACATCACAAAATTCTTTTGGCCTAATTTCGTTTTGTGGTATCTGGTTATTGTTCTTGATGGATTTTTAAAGATCTTACTACCTTATCTTTTCTGAACCAATGTATGGACAAGCTGAGACAGTTGGCATGTCATATTTGATAGTATGTCATGTTCTCTATGTATTGAACGTCAGCTTGATAACTTATAGTTGACCTCAAAATTGGCTTCTTCTATTCATATGAGCTACTGATAGCTTTTTAAACTTGAAGTAGTCTTATTATCTTGTAATAATGTCATGAGCCTCAGGGCTCAGTTTTTAAGACCACACTCCCAATGAAACTGTCAGGTGAAAAAAGACACCGGTAAAAATGTATAGGCCCTAAAGTTTGGAGTGATTTGTACTCTAGGGATAATCTATAAGCATAAATATATAATAAACAAAGGCGAGGACAGTACCCCTTTCCCCCTATCTTGACCAGGGTTGTGATAACAGAGTGGCAGTACCATATTGTATTCAATGCTTACAAATAAAAAGGAACTATTTAGGGATGTTAAAGAAAAAGCGTTGTGTTGCAGTTGACCATACAAGCTCATCAACGGTAGTAGTTAAAGCCCTTTTTGTCATCGCTGAAGCCAATTCAAATTTTCATGTAACTAGCCATGATATTATCAAAGTGATTCATCGAGATAGCAGATATCAGTTTTGATATCTTCAAATAAAAAATTCATATAACCTTCAAATTCACAGTGTGTGTCTGTGTGTATTGCTAATGGGCTCCGTTATGGCTGGGAAAAGAGGTCAGTGCCCAAATTTAATATCATTAAAAAGAAATACAAAAGAAGACAAACAAAATAGGATAAAAACAGCTTAGCCTTCGAAAAACTTGATAAGTACCCCATAATACCCTATCGAAATTATCGATGATATAAATTTGATAATAAATCTACAAGAAATGGAAATTCTATGGTTATAAAATCTCCCTTAGGCAAGATTTCCTTCATATTTTACGTAATCTCTTAAATCGCTGGAATTTTTTATTGGTAAACCTGATATTGTTTTATAATGAGAAAAATCAAAAGGAGCACCGTTTTACGTCATTTTGAATAAAGAGAACATGGTTCAAAGCCCAAATCCAGGTGCCTGGCTAGGATTTGGTCACAAGTATGGGCTGTAGTCTTCTCGACATTTGGCCTAATTACTTTAAGCGTTTATGAATGCACAATGCAGTTAATGCAAAGTGCACCTGCAGATTGAATAGTTTGCTTGCAACATTTCTTGAATAAGCCCTAAAGCAATGATACCTATTGCCAAGTGCTAAGTTATGCCAACTATGATGGGGACGTTCAAGTTACTAGAAACTAGCTAGCTCCCTTTATGTCAAGCAACCTAGCATAGAAAATCAGACGTTTCTGCTATTGTTAAAGCTATAAATCAATGACCCCGTCCGTTCCTAAAAAGATGTCCCTATGACTTTGCTGTGGACACTTTCAAACATCGTCCTACGGTGCAAATTACCGCTCTATAGTAAAAATCAAGAGATCTTGCTTGGGCGGGAAGTTATAAGGTTTCTGATTTTCAAAAATGCTACAGTTATTACAATAAGTGATTTATTAGGTTAGTCGATTATTCTCTAAAGAATAGAAAGATATACAACAAATCGTATTATGAACAATTTTCAACTACAATTAATATTTTTGTCCCAGAAAGTGCTGCATCCCGCGCGGACACAGCACCGCAAGACTCTGAATCATGATTATGTGATGCAATACTTGCCTTTGCCATGACTTCATGCAATCAGTCCACCTTCTCTTTGGCTTTCTTTATCTCCTTCTATCCTTATCTTCGCAATCCTCGCTATTGGCTTTCAAAATAGCACTTCTTTTTACGTACTATATGATATCGTTTCCCTTCTACGTCTCTTTTTGCTATGTTAATTATCTTTTACTAGTTATCACATAAAAAAATGCCTCAATTTCATCTAGTATTTACTTTCCAAAATTTTCACGTGTATAACAAGTTTATTAATCAGACATTTACACTACAAATTTCAAAGAAATTTCGTTATACGGAAATTTGCACCTTGAAATTCAGTGACTCAGTTTAATTTTCTCAGTTTCATTGACAAATAAAAGTTTATTTGTCAGAAACTCACGCTCCGAATTTCTTAGAAATTTCTTCTCACTGAGATCTACAGGCCCGATTTCGTGTTTAAATCTTTTAGGTAATATTATCATAAACTTTTAATTTGTTTTTAATATCCAATAGCTACAATTTCTACTTGTTTGCTTGATTTACCTTTTATCTTGAATTTCACCGACAAGTTATCGATTTTAAGATTAAGATTAAGATTTTCGATTCCTTTTGCACTCATGTAGTTGTCATAGGCACGTCGTTGTAAAAAAAGATGACACAGTGATAACATCCATGTGATCACCATTACTGATTTCAACACTCTCATTTCTGCTACCACTATCTTCCTTTCCTGGCTCTCTTTTAGTGACAGTGTGGAACAAGTTTGCCATATACAAACATTTGATCCAAAAAAAGTCGGTTGCCTTATTTTGAACGCCCCCTTCCCCCAAACAAAATTGTCTAGACAAACCACTAGTTGCTACCACAGTCTCCATACGAGGTTCTAGCCATCATTCTGAGTAATCTTTCATTTACAAAAATATGATTAACAGCTCTTTTGTTAGCAGTTGTTTTCCATATTACTTGTATCTGTCTCAAAATTTGTTATTTTGACATTATCGCGTACATAGAATCTTGTGTTATTTTGAATACAAAAATCAATGCCGATATCAAATTAACGCGTTTGTCTTATCTTTTAACTCCAATGTTATAGCTTATTCAGCTAACAATATTACGAAACCTATCTTTTATTCTATCCAAGACTTCGATATATGCATTCTAAATTCAGATAATAATTGAAGATGTTATTAGTTCTCATTTTTAAATGGCAAAATTATAATTGAACTGAATTGTAACCCTGGGAAAAGAATGAAGGTTAAAATGAATCTAATGAAAATGAAATTATTTCTCCAGTTTTTCTAACAAGGTCACATCTTTCAAAAGAATGATCCCATTTGAGAGGCTTGTGGCATTGAAGCTTCTTTTTGAAGCTTGAATGTATTTTTATTCGAGTTCTTGATTTGCTGGAAATATTTACCCCTAGGCTCGCATTTAATCAAAAATATTATGTTTTAGTTTCTCTTTAGATGTATTTCAAGTTTGATTAGAAATTATTTTCATCTTACTTCTTGTTACATATAAAGATATCATTTTTCAGATCAATACTTATGCAGCTACTTTCGGTGATACACTCATTGGATGAGAACAAACAGATGAAGGACTTCGAATCGATGACGCACACCTTTGGCATACGGAATCTGTCCAATCATGTCCTGTTTTTCAATAAGTACTTTGAAGAGGAAACGAAAACAGCACTTAACTCTATAAAAGAAGACTAGCCTTTCGTTTAATTTCGATATGGACTCAGACTTATAGTCTTATGGCTTGGCAACACGAAGTCTCTTTTGTAGAAAGTAAACCAAATATCAACATAAAGAAAGTTGATAAGATGTTAATAGAACACTCTTTAAATTAATTGTTTAGAAAGATTTGTGGCGTAGATGAAGGGCTTGAAATATTTGTAACTTTTGCCAGCTAAACAGATATGCAGAAGTCATGGCCATTGCTTGTTTAGGCTAACACACCAAGTCGACTTACGGCTTCGTTTAGGAAATGGCTCCAAACTTAATTGTACGAACTTTTAAGCATAGATTAGGGTATTAGTTATTCAGTTATTTGCCAGAATACAGTATTTGATACTGTTTGTACTGGTATGGTAGATTTTTTGATGATATGAAGTTTGAAAACCTATAGGGGAATAGATCACAAAAGTTGTTCTGGGTGAAACTTTTCACCCTCAATTGTTTATAACGGTCAAATCCGTTGTGAAATTTATAATTTCATGTATGTTAGTGTGTATATATATATTCAACATATCACGAGCACTGCAACATGACCAAATTTTGATCTTATTTGAAACGAGGTCGTGAACTGATTTGTGTTTTGGAAACGAGTCTTGTTTTTACAATTAAACACTCGTGTTTGGCCTAAGTACCAGTTTACTAAGTGTTGGTTATGTATTTGGTAGATATTTATTCTCCTGCTAATGATGCTCGCGAAGTTTTCTGCTGCCTACCACAACCAAAGAATAAACGGGCAGATTCTGCTTATCTATTGGCTCAATGCTCAATGAAATCTCTGAGCGTCGAACAAATCTTACATCAAACGGAAATTTCTATTCTGGGCCTAAAACAATATTCGTGAGATCGTAACAATAATCATTTGCAAAAATGGAAGAGGATCAACAAGCTCTTATAAGACGAATATCGACTGCGTTGATGTATGCAGCAAGCTCTTTCTTTATAGTTGTGATAAACAAAGTGGTACTGACAACATACAAGTAAGAATTTGCTTTGCCTACCTGCTAATTATTACGCTTTCCATATTTGCACGAGGACGTGGATGCTAAACCCATTTATAATGACGCTGAAAAGCGTTCTTGAAAAAAGGATGCAACTAGTCTTGCTACTGTGTAGCACAGAGTTAATACGATTGTTTTTTTACGTCATTGAGATAATTAGCAAATGAGTGTATCATTGCTGAAAGTTGTATTATTAGATTTTGTTGTTATGAGTCCGAAATGAATTGAAGTTGTCAGTCAATAAACTTACCAAACGCTGTTATTTATCAAATATCAATTAGTTTATTTATATGTTACTATTTCTTTTAAACGTAGAAATGTTTAGCAATTATTTAAGATTTTGCAATTGAAGGTGCTTAATTGTAAACACAATTGGGTTGTAGCTGCTTCAATATTGTTTCGATGTATTTATAATTTGAATGTAATTTGTTTGAAATTGATCTATGTATAAGCTGTTTCTTGAGTTTTGCTCTCTGCAAGCAAGCAGTAGTAAACAATCATTTTGGCCAGTTTGCAGAGTATGGCTGACTTTGACAAGATCTTAGGTGCACCAATAGCCCTGCACTGCAAAAATCACTCAAAAATGCCTGGTGGGCAAGAGCTGTCAGTTTTCACATATGTTAATTGAATCATATATTTTTTAGGTGTGCCCTAAATAAAACTAGTTTGGCATCTTGGGTGAGCCATGCTCTGCCTACATGCCTTTTGGTCAAAAATTCCAATTATTTACCAGATTTGGCACCAATAAAAAAACAAATAAAAATAATGAGAGATGACACTAGTATGCAAAGCAATATAAGCATTTACTCAAAAATCTTTAAGCTTTTGTGCAACATTTATTGTGCTCTTGCCTTGGAGATCTGCTACAATTTGAGAACATTCACTAACCATAAACCTGTGTTTGCCTATACATATCTGTGATGACAAAACCCATTTTGTAAACATAGTTTGTAACATAGTTTGTAAATGGCAAAAAACCCATTTTATTGGCTATGAAGCAATTGTAATAGTTAAAATCATGTACCAAGCTAAAGAGGCTAAGTTTTTAAAATCAATAAAATACCAGGCCAGTGTAGCTTTGAAGCATACTCTTTTCAAAACAGATAAAATAGATATATTAGTTGGGATATATGTGCAATAAAGATGGAAGTTCTACAGCAATTATAGAAAATTATTCACTTTCAATAATTTTTTTGTAGATTCCCATCTTTCCAAGTTTTAGGCTTGGGGCAGGTGAGCTTAAAGTTGAATTCTTATTCGTTTTCTTTGGTCTAAATTTATTCAATCATAGCTTTTTGAAAGAGAGCATTTAGGTAGAATGACAAACCATTACTGAGATTAAAATCAAAACATTTTTTTATCATCAGTATCAATATTGTTATATCCTAAGATTGCTGTAACAGATCCATCTGATAACAGTCCTAACTTTCCATTTCATATTAAGACCCTTGGTCAGATTTAATCTGTCATTAAATGAAACATGATATGAAAAATTTTGTTCTCAATTTGATGTCTATAATATCAAGATAAAGAAATATGACAGACTGTGTTTAAATTCATCTAATATCTTTCTAATACATCAGATCCAACCAAGGAATTCACACAATTTTACCTTTCAATATAACCCTGCTTTCTTTAAGTTATTCCTAAGCCTTATGATTTTTATCGATTTCAAATTGGCCTACTTTCTATGTATAGATGGTAGCAACAATTGCAGTTCTTTTCATTGGCAAACAGTCAACAATAGTGAAGTTTCCAGGGCTTGATAGGAGCACATTTAGAAAGGTTTGTACTATGAATGTATTTCCTTAAAGGCGTTCATTTTGTCTTATTTCAAATTTCACTCTATTAATCCTACTTTGATTTCTTTTTAAAGGATATGTCTCATATATTCGAGAAGAAATGTATTGCTAGTGTTAAAACTTATTTGTCTGTAAATCTTCAGTTCTGTTTGGAAAACCATCCATATGTTTCAATCCTTTGTGCCTAAAGGTGAAAAAACCCCTAACCAGCTAACTAACTACAAGCGACACTTTATTTACTATTTGATTTGTCCAGAAGATTAGCCAAAACCATTTTGCTAGTGACCAAGTTCTATATTTAAACATATGAATGTCTAAAAGTTCCGGTTATGCACTTAACAGTTAACCTGTTCTGGTGACCTTTTTCACCAAGTAACTCCGTTATCTGGACAGGTGTTGTACTACAGTAACACCTGCCTTCTGATAACCAATAATGAATGCATTTTTAATGTGCACAACAAAATATCCACCAACTACATGCACCTGTGTGCCATTTAATTTCAATAGATGCAGCCATCACACAACCCTACATCACCAGCACACTTATCAGATTGGTATTTTGTTCCAAATGATGACACTTTAATGTTAAAAGATGAATCTTTATTATAGTTTGCTGTTACTACAGTTTGGTAGATTATATTACAATGTTCCTGTCTCAAAAGTGGAATTTTGGGCCACCTATTTTTTATTTCTCAAAGTTTCTAGCAAGTTTCTGCTACTCTCCTTCCAAATGCTGACCTTGACCTCACTTGAACAGAACAGGAAAGATCCATTTAAACAATAGGATACACCCAAGATTAATTTTGGCTCCTTAAAAGCAAGTTTGTGAGTTGTACAGTTATATCAAAAACCATACTTTGTCAAAATATTATCACCCTCCCCCAAATATTTTCTTATCAGATTTGGATGAAATGCCAAGTATATTGGTAAGAATCAGTCAATCAAGTTATTGGGTCATAAATCTTTTTTAAAACAGTTGGTAAATTATTGTTTTCAAACAAAGTATTTGCACCTTCTCATAAATACATTGGCTGTTCTTGTTGTTGTTCAATTTATTTGTCTCTTTCACCTGTCTTTCTGTGCTCTGATCCTGTCTCTCCATTTTTTCCTGGCCTATTACAGGCAGCTTTCCTTAGATCAACCTCTCTTCCCTAATTGCAAGATTTTGGGGAAAAGAACCAGGGGTTTGGGAAGGGTGTGAAAGAGGTTCCCTTTTTTCTTTTCCTCCTCTTTATTGGGGCTTTCTTGTAGATTGCTCCCCAAACTCGTAAGATTTCATGAACTTTCACCATAAATTATCTAAAATTGTGCAAGTTTCCTTTGTTTAACCCCTTAACCAAATTAGGCAATACTTACCGACCCAAGGCCCCCATCTCCTTCAAATTGAAACCTGCTCCTTTTGAAATTCATATTTATGCTCTTAATGAGAAGGACTTAGATACCCAATTATGCTGCTCAATCGCCGTACTATTTCCATGCAGATTTTTTTTGCGGTAGAGCAGCATTTTTTGGGTTGGCGAATTTAGCTATCCCTTAAACCCGCCCGTTAGTGACGTCGCCGATTATCCTGTTCAATGATAAATCTCACCACCAGAAGATAAATATCTTTTGCTACCATGGCTTCTCTTGCCATGCAGTGATAACCCATTTGTGCGGTGATAAATCATAATTATGCAATGATAAACTTATAAAAGAGCAAAACAATAAACACGAGAACATAACAGTAACAATGATCATAATTTGTGAAATCTGTCTAAAATTTGATCGAATTCAGTATCTAGTTTGTTTTGTTCTTCATCTTCTCCTTTGAGATCTTTATTCTCGAAATCATTTTTAAACCTAGACTGCTTCTCCTCGTTGAAATCTCTTGTAAGGCTTTGACGAGAGCTAGTGTTATTCGAAAGTTTCAGCTAGTTTGATAATTTTTAAAAATTTTAAGTGAAAGGTCATGAAAATTTTTTGAATATGTGCAGTGATAAAAATTCCTTAAAATAAACCCTGTTTGCTACACTCCGATCAATGTAAAGGTTCTTCGGCACGTCACTGGCTAGCAGCTCTAAAGCTCTGTGGCTTTATGGCGAGTGAAACAGAAACAAGCCAAACATATGGATAATTATTCAGATATGAAATAAGAGGGCCTGCTGGGTTTATCATTTTGATTGAAATACCTACAATGCATAGAGACATGTCCAGAGGTATACATGTTGAACACATTCATGCAAATTAAACATCGTATTATAACAAGCTGAATGTATTTAAACTTTGATCTAAGATTAAATGATAATATTATTCATCATCTCATTTTCTAGACATATTTTTAAATTATTTTGGAGGGGATTAGTTGATTTCTTTCTTGTGCAAAATCACGAAAGCCAAAAACGCATGCAAAATTGATAACAGAGAGAAGAGGGTATGACGTCAGTTAAAGATTGTGGCCTCAAGCTGTTGTATTTCTATGTGAAAACATTGATTAGAACTTGAGATAGTTTGGAAGCATTTCAAGATCAAAGTGAATTATCACTGTTTACTGCATTGTCTCAATTGATTGTTTTGATTATTTTGATTAAATGGCACAGCAACCAGCCGGCTTTATTTTTCCATTAATTCAATTTGAATCGTGTGTTTTAGTTCGTTATCAAATATGACAGAAATCCTGAGGTTCATTTCTAGATTCTAGATTGCCAAATTTTTGTTTTCTTGGTCGTCACATTTAGTTAATAGAATTTTTATTCGTTTAACCGAGGGACGCTTAAATAGACTAAATAGGAACAGTGTTTCGTTGACAAGATTTTGCCTAGATATGAACACTAACTAACAAAGCTTTTAAGAACAAGCCTTTAAGGGTTACTCGATTGCCAAGTGAACTATGGAATGACTTTGCAAAGAAGCAAGGGTTCAGGCAAATGTGATTTATATTGTTTGTGAAGAGAAATCTGAATGCTAGATATGTCTGATGCTAGATGGGGGTAACCACTTTGCTTCCTTTTCTAATGCTAAGAGACAGAATATAAAACCGTATAGCCAGAACGATACGATTCCGGAGTTTTCTTTTCAAATGTACCAAAGTGAAGCCTGAACCTGCTCATAAGGAAAGTGCCTTATTGCCTTAATCGGGGCCTTTTTAACATACTAACTAGGGGGGGGGGGGCAATTGCCTCTCCAGCCCCAGTGACTTTCAATTGTTTTAATAAAATAGGCTATTGTCCTTCTCTTTACAAAAACAAAGGTTTGCCCCCGCAGCTAGTTGCCCTTTGAGTTGCTATGTTTTTGATCCAACTAAACCGTTGCGCAGAAAATTCAAGATCATGCCCGCTACATCCCAAAGTTTTGTGACCTAAATGCTCGAGGGCAACCCTTCTCGTAAGAGTGTAGACTTTGACAATCGTAGCCAAATAGCTTTGTCATCTTTCAATGCGAGAATCGTAAAGTGTTCTCAGATATATTATCTTCACTTGTTGTTGTCCTCAACGGAATGCAGTGAAATGGGAAAGAAGAACGACGAGAGCCAAGGTAATGCAAATCATGGACGAAAAATAAGTTATAGACGGCGCTTTTCTCTATGATAAAACGCAAATATGGTAAAACGCAAAGTTGGACTCAGGCATTACTTTTATTTTCAGTGCAATTGCAAAGCTCATTTAGAGGTGATAGTCTGGTAAGGGTGCAAGTTTATAGTTCTTTTAGTAATCAAGAGTAGGTCAAAACGTATAGTGACGACAATTTCCAAATCATTGTGCAGACAAGAATGTATTTTCATTTAGGAATTTTGGAGTCTTTTTACATCAAAACAAATGATCCTCCTCTCACGTTACTTTCGACAACACATAGATATTAATTTTCAGCTTACTTTCATCATCCGACGTTTATACACTGAAGAGTGTCGAACGAAAATTACTTTAGTTTGTTATGTTTCTGGTGTTTTGTCCAATCTTCAAATGTGTACGTTTCATTTCAGATCTGGCCTCTACCTCTGATATATGTTGGAAATCTCACGTTTGGGCTAGGAGGAACTAAAATGCTCAAGTAAGTCGTTTGTGATACCCTATACGTCAGCACATGGGCTAGAACTGCTACAGGTGGTCAATACAGTGTAGTGACCATTGTCTAAACGTAATCATGTCCTCCATTGTGTCATTATCTCTGTCATTCTCTGTCATTAACACTTTCTATTGTCTGCGTAACGTAATAAACAACATAATTGTAGCGTCCCTTGTTTCGTGTGTATACGCCCTAAATTGTAGTCAGTCAGTAAATTCATCAAGACGCAACCGTCACGCAACATCGTCTCTTGCTGGCTCCGTGTTTTCTGCACGTTAAACTAGATCATAAAACGACAGCATTCGCAACAACAAAAGTAAAATTAAATATAGGAACATCGTCAATCGGCGTTCCTATAACAGTATTTACTACTAATCGCAAAATTTATCATATTTGCAACCTTAGTTTATTCGCTGGAACATCTGTAGCCCTTACTTTGTGCCTGAACATTTTGTTTCTGAACGGGAGGCCTTCAAAAGAGGAAGAATGCTGCCTCTTCTTTTATAGAAAGAGATATTCTGTTTATCTTCATAATATATTTCGAAATTGAGAGCAAGATGGCATTTCTATTTCTTTCTTGTTCTAGGACGTTAAAAAGCTTACATTGCTACAAATCTGTCAATAAAAATTATGAGATATGGCACATGACAGAGCTGTACCAATTGCGCTTAAGACCGAAAGGGATGAATAACTTGCAAGAGCTATTAAAAGAAAGAAATAGCAAAGGCTGTTCGACGAGTCCTAATTACTTTTATACAATTTAATCTACTTTTATAAGCGTAATTGCCAGATAATCGAGATCCCAGTTTTTGTTTATCAATAGTATCGATAGTTGTCTATTAATATTTTTTCTCACAGTGGTCAACTACTAAATCTGTAATAGTCTCATATTTGTTCACACAACTGACGTCATTAGTACCCAACCCTTTTATGTGCATTCTCGCGAGTTATATACCAATGTATTTTATACTTTCAGTTTACCAATGTTCACTGTTCTCAGAAGGTTTTCTATCTTAATGACAATGATAGCTGAGTACTGGCTACTCGGGTAAGTTGTTTTATCATTTCCTTGAACTAGAAGCTTTTATTAAGTTGTGTTGGTTTCACAAATCAACACTGAATGCCGTACTAGTTTCATGGATTTCTTGAGCTTATTTTATTGTTTTAGTATTCTCAAATTTCATTTCATTTGGTAATACGTTATAAGCTACTAACGTAGCATAACTACTACTTTTCTTTAATTTAATCTAAAATTTAATGTGCAAGAAAGTAACAATTAAATAGCTAATACATATTTAACAGATAATAAAACATTATCTTATGTAATAAGCTGTAGAAAGCAATCCCGGACTAAAGTGGTTGAGACTTTTCAAGGAAAGCTTATATTTTAACTTTCCTTTAGAAAATAACTTCCCCCCTCCCCCAATTCAATGTTGAATGCATGATTTTCAAGGAGACATGATAGAACTACAAATCCAACATTGCTTTTGGGGGAAAAAGGGGGGGGGGCTCGAATTTACAGGGGCAAGGTAAAGTAGAAAATTACAAAAATTGCATTTTGTCTCAACAATTTTGTCCGGGATTGCAGTTGCATTTTTTTCAACCTCTAACTTCATGTTAGTAAAGCACCATACGTCCAGGGGAAAATAAACCATAAGGAGCCTATTTTAGTGTCCTAAGAATGGTAGCTTCTAATCTTGAGTTTTAATCCACGCTCGTCAAACGTGTTCAATTTTAGGATCAGAGCAAGTCGGCGAGTGCAGATGTCAGTTTACCTCATGATTGCTGGCTCGGTTATCGCTGCAAGGTACAATAACCTGCTTCAACCTAGTACACACTTATATTTTGTCACTTCGGAAGCTTTGGATGTGATGATATATATCTGACCTCTAACCTGTAGATAGCAAAATGAATAGATGTAGTGAATGCATATTTTTTGTTGTTATCGGAAGGATGAAGGTTTTTGTAGGGTAGATATTTAATCTCATTCTGTTTTGACACGATTGAGTGTCTAAATATTAATAGGGAATGAAGTTTTATTGTTAGTAAGCATGAAAAATAGCTTCATTTTCAAATAGGAGTATGGAACGCGTTAGTTTTACTGTGTACCATGGACAGTGGATGGCTGGCTAATGCTCTTAACTGAAGAGCCTTTTTTGCTCTCATGATCATTGTGTTTCTGTGTTCCTGCTCCCTCAACCTTCTATCCGTAGTTGTTTTGCACTGGCCCGTCAATACCAGTAGTATATGTTTACGCCCCTCAGGAGTTTAGACAACCCAACTGATGGTATTTTTCTTTCTATCGCAGCTCCGATCTCGCATTTGATGCCGTTGGGTATTTTTATGTCTTAATGAATGACGTTTTAACTGCAGCAAACGGTTAGTCTTGTCTATGTTCTACTTTTAGTTACGAGAATTGGAAACAGTATGTTTTGGCTCTTGATAGGACGGCCTCTTAGGAAGCCTTCAAATTTACTGCCCATTGTACTAGACTTTGGAATGAAGGTTGGTGAACTGGCTTCCTAAAGCTAGATCTTAACAATATAGTTGATTGTTGGTCCTTCCCTGATCGTGTCACTCGTTCACATTTTTTTTCAGAATATTTTCCAAATCCTGTTCTCCTACTACTTTTGATTTATAGCACGGGAATCCCACTAGCAGCCGATTAACATTTGTTTGCTCTTCAACGAATTGTAGGGCCTTCTTGATTGCAAGTAAATTCAGGATGAAGAAAATCCACAGAACCCTTTGCATTACAAATTAGTTTAACTTATATAATTAGAGTACGGAACTGTTATTCGACGTTAGCATCGTGTTTTATATTAATTGCTAATTTTGTTTCTTTTAGTAGTTATCCTTTTTGACATTTTGAAAAAGGAAGTTTGTTGTAGCTGGTTCTACTGTGTCTTGGCACGTGGCTTTTTCAAGTGCTTGGTATTTGGTATTTAAGTGATTGATATCTTATCTGCAGGTGCTTTTTATATTTGCTATTCTGGTGCTTGATTTTTTGGAATTCTAGTGCTTGATATTTTGTATTCTAATGCTTGATGTTTGGTTTTTCTAGTGCTTGATATTTTGTATTCTAGTGCTTGATATTTTGTATTCTAGGGCTTGATATTTTGTATTCTAATGCTTCCTATTGATATTTCCTGTGTATTACTTCAAAGGGTGTGCTGCATTGCAATTTTCAAAACGATTTTTTAGAAAATAAATGTTTTCTCGAACCTTCCCTAGCACTAGTCGCCCCTGATGGCCAGAAAGTCAGTATTAATTTAATTAAAAAACAAACGTCATAAGGGTCGGTTTCCAACATTTTGAAAAGTAGAACGCTTTCTAGCATGGCTCCGATACAGTTTGGAAAGTGGGAGGGGGGGGGGTGCAAGGGAAAATTTAACACCCGTAACAAAAGATTTTTTGAAAAGTTATTTTAATCTGCAAAATAGTGGTGGGGCCATGACCCGCCAAAAATTTCCCGAGGCAAAGCCTCATGACCCCCACCTGCTACCCACGCTCCACTCCCCCTGCCCCCTTCCAATCTTGCTTTATTGGCTTTGTTATTATTTCCTGGGTTTGCAAATTTTGAAGAAGGCCAGTATCCATTAACCTCTCTCAAAGAGTGAAGAAAAGAAGTTGCCATTCTACTTTCGAACAGTCTTGGCTATTAAACTAGTCATTGCTATTCGGTTGGCAATTGCTATTCGATCAGTCACATTATTTGAATAGTCACAGCTATTCGATCAGTCACGGTTATTCGATCAGTCACGGTTCTTCGAATTGTGACCTCCAACAGTGAGGTTATTCGCCCTCATCGTCTCCAACCGAATAATCGTACTATTCGAACTATTTGCTTGTAACCGAATATTCGCTTTGGGCTTCAGCTAACCAAATTCGTCCTTCGGTGGACAGGCCTAATTCTGATGCTTGATGTTTGGTGTTCTAGTGCGTGATGTTGGTGTTCTGGTGCTTGATATTTGACATTCTAATGCTTGATATTTGGCATTTTAGTGCTTGATATTTGGTATTCTGGTGCTTGATATTTGCTATTCTGGTGCTTGATGTTTGCTATTCTGGTGCTTGATATTTGGTATTCTGGTGCTTGATGTTTGCTATTCTGGTGCTTGATGTTTGCTATTCTGGTGCTTGATATTTGGTATTCTGGTGCTTGATGTTTGGCATTCCAGTGCTTGATATTTGGTGTTCTGGTGCTTGATATTTGGTATTCTGGTGCTTGATGTTTGCTATTCTGGTGCTTGATGTTTGCTATTCTGGTGCTTGATATTTGGTATTCTGGTGCTTGATGTTTGGCATTCCAGTGCTTGATATTTGGTGTTCTGAGGCTTAATATTTAGCATTCTAATGCTTGATATTTGGCATTCTAGTGCTTGATATTTGGTATTTTAGTGCTTGATATTTGGCTTTCTGGTTCTTGATATTTGGCATTCTAGTGCTTGATATTTGGTATTCTGGTGCTTGATGTTTGCTATTCTGGTGCTTGATGTTTGCTATTCTGGTGCTTGATGTTTGGCATTCCAGTGCTTGATATTTGGTATTCTGGTGCTTGATGTTTGCTATTCTGGTGCTTGATGTTTGCTATTCTGGTGCTTGATATTTGGTATTCTGGTGCTTGATGTTTGGCATTCCAGTGCTTGATATTTGGTATTCTGATGCTTAATATTTAGCATTCTAATGCTTGATATTTGGCATTCTAGTGCTTGATATTTGGTATTTTAGTGCTTGATATTTGGTGTTCTGGTGCTTGATATTGAGTGTTTTGATACTTGATGTTTGTTATTCGCATGCTTGATATGGGGTATTCTAATTTTTGATATCTGGCATTCTAATGCTAGTGCTAGTGCAGTTTCAAAATATATTATCTCATCATGGGTGTTATGGTTTGCGTACTCTAATCATATTGTTCGCGCACAAGTACAGACTGGAATTCCAAGAATTGAATCTTATGACAAATGAATGAGATGATAACTTGATGAAAGTAATCCTGTTTGCAAACTAAACTATGGGAGGTTTGGGTTTGCTACAGAAAAGTACTCAAATTTATCATATCAAAAATGACTTCTATTCACAGAAATAATCTAAACCTTTTTTTAAGTTTTTTGTTTACGTGATATATTGATTTGTTATTCGGTTTTTTTTTTCTTTAAGGTGTCTTTGTAAAAAAGAAACTTGAATCAAAAGAACTTGGAAAGTATGGTCTCATGTTTTATAATTCCCTGTTTATGTTGGTACCTGGTATTCTTTTCGCATTTTACAATGGAGAACTTCAAAAGGTACGATTTATATTAGTATTTATGACTGATTATTTTTCATCGCTTTCTGCTTTCTACCGATCTTATTTGAGGCTTTGTTTGCATTTAGCTGCTCGTAAGGGCTCTGTTCTTTGATGGTCAAGTTCAGTGTCGGGCACCTAGGGGGATGGGGTTCACCCCCAACGCTTTGTAGGACAATGTTCTTTTGTTCTAAAACAATAAGAAAATGTGACATCATTTTATTAAAACAATAGGCTTGCCCCCCAAATATTTGACCAAGTGCCACCCCTTGTCAAACTGTCATATTTTCTTTGTTTTGCATTCACTCTCTCTGAAGACTGAAGGTCTCCTGATAACGTTCGATTCGAAAGTGTGTTTCTCGGAAAAATGTAAAATTTTTACTGCTTTTTCAGAACAATTTCAACGAAATTATTTAGTCCGGGTATTTCAATCCTTCTATTTATGTCTCTGTAAGCCCTCACATATAACTTTTGAATTTGATATCTGAAAACCTGAGAAGCGAGAATATTGATGAATGTCTCTGTTTTAATTACGGGGACACAGCTGTATCAAAATGAAATTTGAAAAGGTAGTTTAATTTTTGAGACTGTCGAATTGAGTTATTGATTTCGTGATTTCGTGAACGTCCTAAAGCAAATCCTCTCCCTCCACCTTCACTGATATATTGTGGAGCCGTAGCTGTTCTATTGGACCCCTTAATTTATTTATACAGTTTCAAATCTACTTGTGTTAAGATTTTCAACACTAATACTTTACGATTTTATCGATATAACTAATAGGACTTTCATAATTAGAGGATGCAGCGTTTAGCGAATTTGTGCTTCAGAGGAGGGCTTTAGGAAGGCTCAGCCAAGCCTACTTCAGAAAGAATCGGCGAATAGTTTGACTGATTTCATATGCACAGTAGATAAAACCAAATGCAAGTATATTAGGTGTGGTCATGGATGTGGTCGTGGGTGTTGTCATGGGTGTGGTCGTGGATGTATTATAGAAGTTGCCCACAACACAGCTTCCTCTCTCTACGTTCAGGACGACACCCCTGTAATCTTGGTGTTTGATTGACCATATACTGCTCTGGACGGGACTGCTCTGGACGGGACTGCTCTGGACGGGACTGCTCTGGACGGGACTGCTCTAGACGGGACTGATCTGAACGGAATTGCACTGGACGGGACTGCTCTGGACGGGACGGCTCTGGACGGGACGGCTTGCATGATTTAACCCCGACATTCGAACTGACAAGACAACGTCCTATGTAGAGGCAGACAGAAAACAGAATGTAATGGTTTTCGGGAATACTCAAAAATTTAATAAGTAGGGGGTATTGAGCATGTTTTGTGTAGGTTATTTTGGTCAAATTAATTGCAGTCAAAGACCTCTATTCGAAATGATAAGTGTTGACTTGCCCCATGGTAAGTGTTGACTAGCAGTGGGAGACTCTGTATTATTTTCATCGCGACAAAATCTTTTAAAATTTCTTAACATTGTTCTTTATGACCTTCTTAAAACCGAGCCAACTGACGTGTCACGAGACCATTAACAATGAGATGTACAGAGATAGTTAGCAAAATAAGGCAAAAGCTAGGGGAATGGCAAGAAGCTAAAAAGGGGAAATGACAAACAATTTTTGTAATGTGATTTAAGTGATTTCTCTGAAAAGTTGTTGGAAAATTAAATTGGAAAATGTTTTTATGAAATCGAAATGAGTCATAAATGTTTTCAACTATTGACTACTTCTTTTGATCGTGAGTATGTAGAAATATTGATAAGAAGTTTTTGCACGGTGAACTTTCTGCTATTAAACGGATTGACTAAAATGTTATTGTTTGCTGTAATTTTTACCGAGCAATGAAACAGGAGCTAAAGGCTGAAAGACCTACCGGAATTGAAATTAAGAGGTTTGGTTTCTTCTCCATGATTTGGGATATCAGAATGTTGCGGGACTAAATGGTGTACATGTCACCTTATTCTCTCTAGTGTCACATTCCATACACCGCATATCAACGTATACCCTTTATATAGTTATGTTGAAAGAGAGGTGGTTGGAAAAGACAGAGGGATTAAACCATTCTCAGAAAAAATAACTTTGTGGAGTATTTGAATTTGCGTCCATTGGCATTAGTGCAGAGAGTAGGATTTGTGGGAGAAGGCACTAGGGTGTGAGTTAGAAAATCAATAAGATACCAAATTACCTTTACATCATGCAAGTGTGTATAGAAAGTGAGAAATGTTTTTTACAATTTAAATTAACTTTGGTATTTCCTCAGTTCCTTGCTTAAGATTTTGCTATGCATCGTTAAATGAAGGCTGCAAGGCTGGAGTTGAGGTAGAACAGTCTCGTTATTTACAGAACAGAACAGAACAGAAGTCTTCTCGTTAATTTCTATGATTCAGCTCAATGGCTTCCACAACTTTTGTGTCTTTTTCATTGCTGCATTGCTGCTAGTTATGGGAAACAAACAGACACGACCCTATAAATGGAATTGCGGGAAGAGTAATGTCTTGGATGGACTTTTTCTGCAAAAATATTTTGTCACGGCACGATTACTAGGGGTGTCCGGGCAGTTCATCCTTTTTGAGGTGTCATTTTCTTGGCCTAAGTTCAATCAATAAAAATAGTTAAACTGATTGCGATATCTCCTACAGTTTTGTTTTGTTCACCAATTCCTGATATAGTTGATCATGCTTCATAGAAAATCAGAAACATATTTTATCTATTTTGATGAAAGAGGAACATCTGTAGCATTTCTTTGTAACAAATAATTGGCCAGAAATCGATCAATATGTTCGTTTGACAGGATAATCTATGAAAAGGTTTGAGATTGAGAAATGTCACTGAAGGTAACCAAAAACCCCTATATGACCCAAAGCCATCTGCAGTTGTCTTTGCCAGTTGTTAAGATTTTTGTATCATTCTAAATTTCATCCCCCAGCATACTGTATGTAATGAGAGAAATGCCGGCTTTTAAGTAATTTGGTGAAAACTGTTGTAAATTCGTCTGCAAATGTCATTTTCGCCAACGGATCTTAGAATCTACGAAAGAATCATTAAAAAAGAAAATAAATCTTGCTTAATGTTTCGCTTCTATTTTTGCAATTGGACACACTCTTTTTGACACACTTCTTTTTTTTTGCAGGCGATGGATTTTAGTGATTGGAACAATTCTGTATTTTTATCACAATTCATTTTGTCCTGCGTTATGGGGTCAGTTGATAATTAATATTCCGTTGCAATTTTTATCTGTAAAATTTACAGTCAGCCTGGCCTTCGCAAACTTTTCCCATTTATTCGTCTTATCCTTCTCTTTTTCTCTTTCTCTTCTTCTACTTTTTATTCTTCTTTTTCTTCTACTTCTCCTTCTTTATTTTATTCTTCTTTTTCTTCTTCTTTTTCTTCTCCTTCTCCTTCTTCTTCTTCTTTTTTATCTTCTTCATCTTTTTCTTCTTCTTCATCTTCTTCTTTCCTTCTTCTTCTTTTTTTCTTTTTCTTCTTCTTCTCTTTCATTTCCTTCCCTTTCTTCTCCCTCTCTTTGTTCTCCTTCTCATTCTCCTTTCTTTTTTTTCTCATTCTCTCTTTTCCTTCTCTTTGTTCTCCCTCTCTTTGTTCTTCCCTTTCTTTTCCTTCTTTTAATTCTCTTTTTCTTTCCTCTCCTTTTTCTTTTTCTTCTCCTTCTCTTTCTTTTTCTTCTCCTTCTCTTTCTTCTCTTTATTTCTCCTCTTTCCTCGCTTTCTTTCTTTTATTTCGTTAGTTGCGATTTCAATAAATAAGTCTAACTCGACACTTTGCATCATAGCATTTGTTATTTTGAAAGCAATCGTTTGAAGCTATGGTACCCATTACAAGGAGCAGGAAAATCCAGTCTTCGATAAAGATGACTCGTTTTGCATTTTAGGTTCATTCTCAATTATTCGATTGTTGCTTGCACACAAGCCAATTCAGCGCTTACAACAACAATAATAGGATGTCTAAAGGTAGGTCCGGATTCTGGTAATTTTTTTGCCTAGTGTTCTCATACTTCGGTTACTGGCATCTCATCAACCACATTTGTGGCATTGCTTTTCACATTCTCAGCATCAATGCTACAGTCGAATCTCCTTCATGTAGCATCAGAAATACTGTTCTTCGTAGAGAGATATCCATTTTTGTAAGGTATCTTGTACCAGGCTTTCGCCACGGGAGATTAATAGGGGGGAATTTTTCGCACGTTCTTTGGAGATGTCTGTTAATTTTACTTCGCTGTGCTTCAGATTTCAAATCAAAAGTAAATCTCTTAACTATCATCGAACTCGTAAGAAAAGTATTTAAGGAATAATCGTCTTAAGCAGATGGCATACCAGCTTTTCATAGAATAAGGAAATTTTGAAATGCTGGACATCGAAAAAACGCTCTCAAAAAACTTTCATAAACAGAAGAAAGCGAACTTCTATTAAAAACTTTTTTGTAAATAGATTTACTTAGTGAAACAAAAATTTGCAGATTAAATGTTTTGCCAGGCAAGTCAATCTTTTGGTAGTTCACAAATATCTTTCCATCCGATTTTGTAAATGTCCCATAGGTTTGGTTTTATTTTTGGGAGCCACGTTAGCTTTAGACGGCCTTTCGGTCTTGTTTCTTTTTCATTCGCGTATGCTAAGGCAAGCTTTGCAGGGGCTTGTTTTGGTTTTGGTATTGCTAAGGCTGTAGGCATTGCATTATGGGTTTAGTTTATCGCTGCACAAACTGTTTGCTTTGTGACACACATTTTTCGAAACTTCGTTAAGGTTTGCAGGTGCAAGGGAATGGCAATGCTAAAAATGGCATATTTTGAAATGTTTGATAAAGATTTGCATCCTTAAAGGTTCAATATATATTCTACTTTGGTCGTACATGTAAATTTTTATGAATCCTCTTGAACCCTTTGTATTAATGAAAGTGGTGGTTAGAGAGATTGAATTCAGTACCGAAGACAACATAATCCTAAAGACTTAATTTCACTGCCTTTTACTATGTCTACAGTCTTTTTGCTGATTTACAGTCGTTGAATATTGTTAAATATTGGCCCGGAATTATTGCAAACAGAAATTCTGAGGTTTTAAGATCCATGCTGATTCCTTCGATAAACGGGAGTCTACTTCAGACCCCGTTTACACGATACCTGGACCAGATCGGATCCCCAAGTATCCGGATACTTTTGGATCCGAACCCTGACATGGCAATGCGTTTACACGGGATCCGATCCAGAACTATTTGCGTTTACACGGGAACGGATCCAGATGAATTCAACAGGCTACGTGCATGCGCTTTTCGAAAATTGGTGCACATATATAGGCGTCAACATTTCGTAATAATAGTTCAACACAGTAGTCTGTCAACTTGATGTTCGGTTTTCTGGCGCCTAAAAGCCACGGATTACATATTTAAACTACCTCGAATTGAAAGATATTCTGTCTCATTTTCGACAAATAATGTAGACGGATCCGATCTGGACCAGATCCAACCGTTTACAAGGGGCTCGGTCCAGATTGGATCCATACGGGATCACCTTTGAAAGCGATCCTAAAAGTGTTCGGATAGCGTATCCAAAAGTATACGGATCCACCAGTTCCCGTGTAAACGCAAAGCCTATCCGTACTCTTTTGGATCCGATCCGGATCGGGTCCATTCTCGCCTATTTTACCTCTTGGAAAATGCAAAGTTGTACAAATCCATGATTTTATTTAAAAAAATCAAAAACCATCAGGTCATAATTCCCCTGTTTCTTTAAACAAATTGTTTTTGCAGTTGACTGTTGTAGGGGTATCTTGTAGGGTGACTTGTTGGGCCCCATGGCAGCACACCTTTGACCCCTTTGTCTCTTCCTGTCCAACCATCACCCCCAGGTCTTTTGCCACTGTCAATTCACCCTGTAGGGAAGATCTACCTGTTTTTCTCCAATCATCAGTCTATGGACCAGTTTTATCCATCCCAGGTAGAACTCAAAGTGTTATACAATTTCAGATTCCTTAGAGTTGTGAAGAACAAATAGGTATGGTATGTAGCCTCAGTGAAGACTCTGAATCATCCTATATTACTGCATACAGTATTAGTCAAGCCTCTGAGCGGATGATACCAGTGAGAATTCTCAATCCGTCCAAATCTTCTGTTGAACTTCATGCAGGCCAAAAAATAGCAAGGTTTTGGCCAGCTATACCCTCAGTCTCATCTAGTCCACCTATACACAACATGTTTAATTCAGAACAATAAGTTTAATTCAATTACCTTGTCTGAGTTACATGCAGCTATCAGTCCTCATCTTAGTAAGTCAGATCAGAAACAAATTCTTGAGACATTGCTTTCTTTTCCAGTTGTTTTTAATGATGGCTTAGGCCATACCTCGGTATTATCTCATAGTATAAACACTGGTGACTCATTGCCGTCATCCCACCCTTGTCACCAAATGTAACGATATGTGGTCTTCTTAAGATGGCGACTTTGTATTATAATCGAATCGTGGTATAGATTTACTACCTCCATGTACAGGAATGCGACAATTAACTTCAAGAGCAATGTGTTACAATGGAGAAGATTTCTAAGCCCTTTGTTATCAACGTCCAACAGCCATCCTTAAACATTCTGGCAGTTAAATGGTAGCAGATGTATGTTGACGACCAAGTCTGATTGGCTAATTTTTCCAGTTCTCAGGCTTCCAGTCTATTTAATTCAATTTCAATGCGCATATCATAAACTCATCGACCATTCAAACTTTGGTTTCGCAGGCCTTTGTCCCTCTTTTAATGCTGTGACTGTTATTCGGCAATAAAATATTGAAAATATTTGTTTGATGATAGAAGGTTACTGTATCCCAGTGTTTTTGTCAAATAATGTTCTTGTCTTATTTGCTAAGCGAGCACAGGATAGTTCTTGCTTTCTATTTTTGCCGTACGTGTTAGTAAAAAGTATGCCTGTCAGATCATTGTTCCGTGACAAAAATAGGGTTAAGCAATTTACTTTCATTAAACTAGAACACTAGAGCACTTTTGCTAGGTGAATGAAAGTTTAGAAAAAGAAAAGGACGCCTGCGATGGGTCACTGTTATTGAAATGAGTTGATTTGACATTTCTAAATTAGGATCATACGTCTGTCTGAATCTGGTGTCAGTAGTCTACACAAACTTGTCTAAGTTTTGTTGCGAGGCTGTTCAAAGAGGTCTTGTCGACATGCAATTACAATGTGCTTTGAACTTTCTTTCTTTACTGTCATATCGCTCTCCAAGTTATCTGTAGTAATTTGGTTTAACGTTTAGTGTAGAATAATTCTGAGCTGTTTCGGTATTGTTACCATCATCAAAATGAAGGCCCGGGTAACATCAACACAAACTGCGACATTACTTCACTGCTAGGTTACAATTCTCATAAACGATATCTTTCATTTGAGAAACAACTGACACCAAACATTTATATGCTTAAAGATCTTGCTTCCAACATGCAACTTACATTCATTCTTGGCAATCAAAACATTTTATCCCATCCGGGACTTCAACTCAACGCACGCCATTCTCTATATCCAGATAGAATATTCTATAGGACCCATTGCACACAGCATGGATTCTCCCTTTATAAAATCCTTAAATGAAGCACTAAAAATCTATCAGGAGCCTGCCCTAGATATGTCTTACAGAATTGTTTATGTCTTTTTCCTTGTTTAAAAATCAAACAGGCTTTTCAATCCATTTTCCTAACTGCCAATAATCTGAAATCATCTTCTGCATCTTCTGCGAATAGATTTCCAATAACAGGAACGCCAAATTTTTTATTTCATATTAAAGAATCTATTAATACAATGTTGTTTCTCGATGTTTTTCGCTATTATTCATAAACCTTAAAAAACTCTCTGACAAAATTGCCGACTTGTTAACCAATAAGCAGCCTTCTTTGTTGGTTTAGCATCAAGCTTAAAACACAAGGCACCAAATCATAATTTCTCGTGTTTGGCAAAAATTCCCATGTGTTTGTTGCTTAATGTAATTTCCTGACAAGCTGTCGAAGCCAAATTAATTTTGCTGGATTCACAATCAATCTGAAGCTAAGATGCAAGCCATAATTGGATTATTCATCTCCTTATTTAGATCAGATATTGCATTATGTTTTGGTCCTCCTATTTCATCATTTATTGCAGCTATTCTTTTTAATAGACCACAATAACTATTATTCATAAGGTCCCGTCTACCTTATCCAATATTTCTGAAATTTCTTCCTAGATTAATAACTGTTCCAGTCGATGCTCTATTCATTCATTCTCTCAGATTTCAACTCTTTCTCCAGTTCGTAATTTTTAACTTTAGTTTTCTTCCATCTATTTCAATGTACTTGAATTTTTGCTTCCCACCGGCTAACTTATAAGATTAAGCCCGGTCTTAGTAGACTCATTGTAAGATCTCTTTGCTTATTTACCTGATTAGAAGGTAAGCCTTGTTAAGCCCCATTTTTACACTTGCTCTATGACTAGGTTGGCTGCCTGAAGGAATCACTTCTTAAAATAGCTTTGCTTAAGGAACCAATTTCTGTAATAGTAAAGGATTATGGGTAGGGATAAGTAATAGCCCTGGGCAATCAAACCTCAAAGTATTGCTGACTTAACGAACGCTTCATTCTTAAGTTTTTACGATTTCCTGTGACCCTTTCACTGATGATCCGGGTGCTGTGCCGCTTGTCTATCGTGGAACAAAGAGATTAATATTAAAATAGGGAGAAGTATCTCACGACCTTGCTGGTCAAACTAGTGAAATATAATTGCATAAATGTTTTTCAGAATGTGCACTATAACTCGTTTCACTCTGTATGCTAGCTGTCCTCTTTCTTCATCTTTTGCATACGGTTTCCAGCACGAATGATCTGGTTTTGACATCTGAATGCAGGTACATTGATGCCTTTGAATATATCGTGCATCATCGGTTGGGGAGATTTGCATAAGCTATCCAGGAAAAATTTTGAACTCGTATAAGATTTAATTTTTTTGTTGATTTTATATCAAAGAAACGTGGCTTAAAAGTCTAGAACATTTTATTGTCATTCTGACAGATTATGTAATCACTATAAAACTGTACGTTTTTATCATAGAATGTCACGATCACTTTTATTGGTATGGTCCTCGGCGGTGATTATGTGTTCAGCTGGACAAATTTTACAGGGGTTAGCATAAGGTAAGTTGATTCTAATTTGATATTATTGTTAAAGTGAATAGATCCTGTTAAGGTGAGCTGGTTTTCAACTGACGTGTTGCGGCCAGTATATGTGTAATGTTTAATACTAAATATTTTTGCGAGATGCTGCAGTTAACTGTCCTTGTTCACAGGTTTCGTCAATTGCGGCGCTCGCAGGCAAAGCATGCAAACCAGACAACGCCTGCAGGCACAGCCGAAAAAGTATCTTTTTAAATTTCTCCAGTTTTTTATAGATATTGAGGAGCAATTAAGCTACATATTTCACCATTCTTTTTTCGAATTAAACGACCACGCTACTCGAAACAAAGATGAGGAAGGCCTATGACACCAGGGACATAAAGTCCATAAAGACGAACCATAAAAATCCTATTGCTCTGCCAAATCTTTAGGATAATGAAACGCAACAATATAAAGAGAAGGCTGACGTGAATCTTACTTATAAAGATGTAGACACTGTGTTTTCCAAATCCATGTTGTTTTTGACAAAATTTATGGAATGGCTTTACAGTAAGGACGGCATACAGTGATAGACAAGGCAGCTTGAAATTATAGGCCCTTAAATTGATTTTTTACGATCTTTTGTGACAAGACAAAGGAAGGCAGTGATGCCCATTTTGCAACCCTTAAGAACATTCATTTGTCACTAACTTCAAACAAATTTCGTTGACTGTATCAAATGTATCTGACAATGAACTTCGGTTCAAATTCAGAGACTTTTGTGACGTATTCAAAGTATTCTTTACCGTCCAAGAAAATGATTTATGTAGCAAAGAGAAATTAACATATTTTCTTGGCAGAAACATAAAAAGTTCAAAGGTATTTGAGTGCTTATAGGTTTTTTTCGTGTAGTTTCAGCATTCATGTCAGTTGGATCGGTCATAGAGTGAAGGTTTCCACGTACGAAATCCGTAACAACAAACATAATGATTCTTGGTCCAAATTCTTAAATGAAATATAAGGCGATTGAAATTTGGATTAATGGTCTATAAATTAAAATGCTGAAAGGATTTTTAATGAAAGTATGATAAAATATTGCAAGGAGTTGAAACAATAAAACAGACTGACATTTCTTTCATCGCTTGGATAAGACTAAAGAATCGATGGCATCAAAATTTTTGGAGCGAATGAAAAAATCAAAGCCAGATTTTCCTTTTATGTCATACGCTTAAGTTTTTTTAAACTCTATAAAACCATACTTATTGATGAAACCGACGCTATTTTAAAGTCATTTTCTAGTAAAGTAGTTCTGTTACGATTTACTAGTCTGTGAAAATAGAAATGACTCATGAACAATAGGAATGAAACACATTATCATATTGCTGTCTCTGTTCTGACGCAAGCAAACGACAATAATACGTATGGCTTTGCCAAAACGTATGCCAGAATGTATGCTCATTTTTTCTACATTCATGTACGGAGTTTCATCAAACATTACTTCATGCCTCTCTCTTAAAGAAATTTTAATTCATATGAATATGCATTCCATATGAAAAAAATCTTGCAGGCACAATTAGCATAACAGTTTCTGCTCGCAGGAACAAATTTTTTAGGGGGATTGTTAGCTCAACCAACTTTCATCAGTTGGAATTGCCTTAGGAAAGGTTTTAACATCTAGAAGCATTCTTAAAATTCTTAGAGTTTCTATGCAACAAAGACAGGATAAGGTTATTGCAGAATTTTGAAGTGACCTTATTTCAAGTAATTTATCCTAAATTGACCCTGAGTTAAATATCGCAGAAGTAAGCGTTTGCTAGAGGATGATATCTAATAGTTTCTAATATTTTTTCCAGTTTCTTAGTACAAAGAAAAGTGTATTGGTACATTGACTGATTAATGTTTAGGAAAGATTTATGCAAGACCGCATTCTTCATCATACTGAATTATGCCCCTAAAATAAAGGACTGTTTTTTTCTCTTTAGCAATAAGAAAGGCTGCTTTACTAGTGAATTATTTCGCATTCAGCAGCACCCATTGCTTTAGGCGTTGACTGTCCCTGTGTTGTTTGTATAGTTGTGCATTCATATCGTGATGTAATTATTTTGACGTCATTACATTGATGTATGGACATCTTTAGAGCTTGATGTTGTGTCATCATTTCATTTAGTGTTTCTGGCAGCATAATCTATGCATACTTTGCATTCACGGATGGTGTTAAAACCAGCACGAAGTCAGAGCTGTTGGACAGGAAGACAACTTCTGCTGTATGACATTTTCGGACGGGAAGTTAATTATGAAAAAGAAGGTCCCCTAAACGCGGAATTTCGAAAAACACTAGTAAGACATTTCACAGTATGTGTTTTCTGTTGTATATAAAAGTTCAATTGAGCTCGTCTTTAGAGTTTAGTTATTACATAGTCATAAGAAAAGCTTTTCTTTTTACAATGGCCATTACGAAGTTGACAGACCCCAACCTCAGGGCATTGGCACGTTTCACGTTCACTTGGCTTATGAAATTTATTTTGTACTTGTTGCGTCATACAATTGCAGTCTTACATCATACATAGTTTTTTCAGTAGAATCATTCCGAATGTTGCATAAGAAGTTTCTGTATTAATTTAAATTTTCGTACAGCGAATGTTCTAAAGTCAGGTAATAAATAATAAGGCCATAAAATAAATTAAGTATTTTTTAAAAAACATAATTAACATACAAAACAACTAGGAAAGATTAGCAAATTGATAACTATTTTCCCTATTCTGTTACCTTTATTATTTATAGTTAAAATGTAAATGAAGTGTTTGTTTTAGGCCAAACATTGTAATAAATTAGTATGAAACTTGCAAATTTTTTAATTAATTTGCAAGTTGCATACTTTTTAAATTTTAGATTTGATAATTAAAAATTTAGTGATGTTTAAAGACTTTTGCTTCATTTTTTAACTTTATAACAATAGTCTGAAAGATTATCTCGTAATAGTTTGCCAGATGCTAGCAAACTGTTGCTGGCAGTGGCATAATTTCGTTGAATGCTTATCTTGTATTATCAAATGTGTGCTTTGAAAGAAACTAATGTTTCAATATGGTTTATTTGCGAAAGTCACTGTTGTTGAATCGGAGCTTCAATGGGCCTAACCCAAGGAACATAATGCGTCTGAAAGTATTCTTCAAGCAGACTATGCCACAAAATTTTATCATCCACCGAAAGGACGAAAATCAAATATTCTTTTGCAATGGTTAATCAGAATGATAAATCAAGGATTACCTGCATCGATTTGACACGCCAGATCTGCTAATACAATGATCCTATTGAATCTAATTAGATTAAAGAAGCAAGGTTTTTAGCAAAAGAGCAGAGAAGAACGCATCCTTTTGCCTCACGTTGAAGCCATGAGTCGCGGCAATGATTCCAGTGCTTCGTGTTGAACCAAATTGACTTTAGAATTAATCAATCCTATTTATAGCTAACTAGTGTTAGAAACCTTCGATTTGTTGCAAAGAGGCAAGTTCGTAAGAGAAATGTCTGATGATTAATTTATAAACATTGGCCAATCCTATGTTTACGATAGACCTTGAAGATTGGAAGAAAGACTTCGTGTGATTTTGGAGATTGGGTTTTGATTAGGATTGGCTTAAATCATTGTTTTAAGGAAAAATTATGTATTTATGTATGAATTGATGAAGCGATGAATATGCTATGCAGTATGATTACTAAGAATGAAGAGAGAGAAAATGGCTAAAGATTGGATTCTGATGAATTATAGTTGATAAGGTTTTTGTCAAGAGAGCATATAATAAACAATAAAATAAATACTCCGGACGCCTAGAAGATGATATTTTTAGAGTATTGAGGCGAACAACACCTTGATCAATTCAGGCTCCCTAAAAATACTTCACGTTCTTGTATTTCTTCTTTCAATCATAAATCATGATAAAAAACTTCAAGAATCTTTTACATAAATCATGACAAATATTTAAAGAAAAAGCAAAAACGGTCTAATAAGCAACTAAATGAGTTAGTTGACGAGGTGTTGTGGATAGGCTGTACGCAAGCCAACAAGACGATGCAATGTGTTTGTACCTATCTGCTACAAAAACAAATACGTAAGAGTACAGTTTAATGTGTGCCTGTATTTTTGTCGGCTGATTTGCCTGCAATCCCTTATGTAACTGACCTTGTCTTATATTCAAGGCACACTGATACTGCACCTCTAAACTTACTTGCGCAAATGGCGTAACCATATATGTTAGCAACACCAAACAATCGCATTCGCAGGGAAAGAAATATCAACAAACATAGAGCATTACCCATTTGTTCATAAACGATTTTCTTGTCTTTTCGCGTCCATAAATTATTTCTAGTGACTTTGACCAAATGTTTATGCTGTGTTGATGTGAACGCCCCAAGATCTGTGTATTCGGGCTTTCTTTGAGTAGCTTTTCTGCCCTGTTTGTGACGTCAGAGTTTCATACATTTTGTGACTTATTTGGTTGTACAATAAGCAACGCGATGCAGTTATTTCTGTTTTCCGGAAATCTTTCTTTCGTATATATCTTGAATGCTTTCAAATGTGGGTGGGATCATAGCGTTTGCCCCATTGATCTTCAATTGAATTTCAGAGAATATAAAGAAGATATTTAGAAAACTCCAGTGGTAAATTTTTTTGGCTATGTAAGTACTTGTAGTTCCATGTGCTGGATCCCTGTGAGAACAACTCGAGTTATGGTGGTCTTTGGGAGATAAAACAATACCTTTGCTAAGAATATCACCTTTGACTAAACACGGAAGTTACAATGAAAACTGATTGTTACGTTACAATTATAAGAAGGCACTAATTCAAGATAAACTCATTTGATATTTCTGCCATTGTATCAGCAATGTTTTAAACTGAAACATCTACTTTGTTTTAAATGAAAACAGTTCAGTAAGAAGAGCCACGATTATGACCACAGGAATTGAATTTCCATTAAGATAACAATGCTGAAAAGTCACTCTCGTTCATTCAAAGCCTTGATTTCGTCATACACGCCACCCTCCATCTGCAACGGATGCATTTGACTTTTTTCGAAATAGAAACGGGGGTAAATATATTATTTCTTCTGCATTTTTCATTATTAGAAAATATAAATTTTGAACATTATTTTACTAGAGATTTACAATTATTTCTAACAATTAATACATCTTTAGAACTTTGCGTTTTGTTATACTTCAGATTCTTGATCTGCCGTATTTCCCATTTTATCGACAACGCATTTTTCATTTTACTATGATACTCTATAGCCCCCCCCTGAATTTCAAAGAACAATGTAGTGACATATTCATTAATATTCATCGCCCTATTCCTTTATATAAGGCATGGAACGACAGCCAAGTCTGATCAAAGAGTACAGAGCCAAGAAGCTGTCGTTTCTATAACACACATTCTCAAGATTAAAGGTATGGTTTTTTATTTTATTTACTTTTTCTGATGCTTTCGATTAACAACTTCTCTCAAAATCCTTTTTGCGTGCAATGGGAAATATTCTTGTTTTTGTTATGCATTATCTAAAATACTTTTTATCTAGATTCCCCAACCCTTAGTGTATTTGAAAATAATATCATTTCCCTTAGCCGACCACACTATACTCGTCAAATTTTTCATTGGAAAGTGGATATTTTCATGTATAGACCAAGCCCACAATATCGCCAGCTCCGTACTTTTTTTTATTGAAAAACATCTTTTCTCGATTGAATTATTTCATAAACTTTTACTGAACACTCAATTATCAGGCCTTGACTTGAATTCTTTGTTCCAACTTTTTGTGTGACATTGGAATACATAGTTCCTTGCCATTTCAGCTAGACAGCTAGAGAGTCTGTATTTGAATATATTTCATTGATAAACAAATCAAAGTACCTTTGGGATAAACAATTCTATTTAACTTTCATTTAGTTTGGTTTTATTTCTTCATTAATAAGTCTTTTGAGTGCCAAATATGTAATAGAATCTCTCGTGTCGGCTCTGTTGAAGCAATCTCGAACTGGTAGACTTGAAGTTTGATAGTATCAGCAAAACTTGGCTCTAGGATACTTGTCTTGTGTATAGAATCCATTTTGCTCATTCCAGCAACAATGTCAGGCAAGACTTAATATTCAGCAATCTCTGCTGCTTTGAAACTCCTAAGTCATCTTCATCTTTATACGTATCTCTATACTCCTAAGTCAGTGAATTGCAAATAGTTGTAGGCTATCGTTTATCGATATATTCGACAGTTAAAATTTAGAAATTTCATTCAGAATTCTTTTTGTAATTCGTAAGTAAAGCGCATATCGTACAGTTTTGAAGAATGTTTAGCCAGCAATTAATAACTATGTTAAAAAGAAAGCTAACTTTCGTACTACCAAGGAATATGTGTAAATAAAAAGTACTTAAATAGGATGATTAATGTTTCTGCTTTTTAAATCAAGCTTGAAATCATAAGAAGTTATGACACCTTTAGTATTGGACGAGAAAAAAAAATTACCAGTGGTTAGGTATTTGATACCAAACTGATGAATACTCTCTTTTAGTTAGCGTCTTGAAATAAATTTTTGTGCTTGCTAAAAGATTTTCTTCAATATTGCATAACATCTCTTGATTTGATTGACTAATCATGCTACAGTTATGACGTATTTGTGATGCCGCTAAGATGTGTCTTTTGACATTAGTTCTGCAAGTGGTATTGCTTTGACCTTTCACGTTTTGATTATGAGTAAAACGCTAAGGTAGAGTCAAATTCTTTGTGCCTAATGCCTTGACTGCTACTTTTTAATGATTTTGATAAGTACGATTCACTTATCTCAGTACCGTTTATTCTGATTTAACTAGACGTAGGTATTGTGACATGCAGAAAATTTCTTTCTTTCAATAAATCTCCTTTTGAGAACTTTTAGAGAAGTCTATTAGTTTTTTTGGGATGTTTAGTTAGGATGTTTTTAAGAAATTGTCATCGTTTCTTGCAAAATTCTGTTTTTGCTGTTAGTAAATTAATTCTTGATACAAAAAAGGTACTTGTCATACAGTTTCATGTGTCAAGTATGCGAGAGTTTTATGTCAAATATGGGAGAATCAAGACAAAAACTACACAGCTCCATCTCACAAGCGACTTTTAAACCGATATTCTCATATACTTGTTTTGCTGTTGTTAAAGTGTGTACGCCCTGTGAGGTCAAAATCGATTTTCTTCCAAACAACAGACAGTTGAAGCTCATTTGAGCACGGATGAAAAATGATGTTTTGGCGTCGTGTCTCTAATCGTCATTCATTCTTGGGCTTGCACAGCGATACTTTCTGATTTCAGAAGCACGCAAATTTCAGCTCGTGTTTTACTTAACAATAATGTACTTTAGGATTTATGAATTTTTCCTTGCCTACCTCATAAAATATTGATTTAGTAGATTGTTTGATACTCAGTTCACTTCTTATCCTAATTACCGCTAATTTGCTAAATAAACTTTACGCAGTGTATTGAAATTAAGAGAAATCCTGCGTCGTTAATTAAATCCCCGAGTCAAGCTGCCCATATATGCTGTGGTGTTTCGTTTTCGTGTCTCAAAAGAGATTTTTTCACTGGCAAGTCAATGTAAGTCAGCTGGGCTGCCATTTGCTTGTCAGCGACCTTGTTTGTCGTAAGAGCAGGGTTGATTTTGCTCCATTTGTTCTGCTAACTTTCTTTTAACAAAAACCAGCACTGGGGTTTTCGGTCTTGACTATACGTCAATGGATGGACGAGTCGACCATTTTTTAGCAGCAACCAGCACTAGAGTTCTTGAGTCTCGACTGTACGACAATGGCTTGACGCGTCTTACTGTCCCTTCCCTATTTTTTCCAAGTAAAAGCTACTTCGAAGTCAAAAGAATGGTCGTGTGAAACACCAATCGTAAAAGTCCACTCATATATTGCAATTTTTTCTATGTAACTGCCTTCTCGTATGCAACAAAATTTAATTTATTTTGTACGTTTTCTTCTAGAAAACAGACGTAAAGACTCCAACAGCGTTCAACATGACAAAATCCTTCCCAGCATGCTTAGTTTTTCTGATAGCTACCGAATACATTGGTCTTTGTTGCTGCAAAGCTCTAGTAAATCCTGGCGTTTTCCTCCTTGAGGCTGACATGCCTTTTAAAGAGCAAATATCGCAAGAAATTGAAACTAAACCGGATCCTTCAAATATGTGGAAGCCAAGTGAGGAGTCGGACGAAGAGGGCTATGAAAACGGAATTCCTCACTTGAGGTACGGAAAGGAGGCAGTTCCACACTTGAGATATGGTAAAGAGCTTGAAAACTTTTTCCATTATGGTGAAGAAAGCGATGATGCACAGCATGTTCGATATGGAAAAGAGGCAGATCAACATGTTAGGTATGGTAAGGAGGCCGATGACCACGTTCGCTATGGAAAAGAATTGCAACATTTAAGGTATGGAAAAGAGGCACAGCATGTTAGATATGGTAAAGAGGCACAGCACGTTAGATACGGAAGAGAAGCTGCACAGCACGTCAGGTACGGAAAAGAGGTCAAAAAGCAATTAAGATATGGTAAGGAAGCAAAACATGTAAGATACGGTAGAGAGGTGGATCAGCATGTACGATATGGAAAAGAGGCACAGCATGTCAGATATGGAAAGAGGGCTCAACATGTAAGGTACGGAAAAGAGGCACAGCATGTAAGATATGGAAAAGAAGCACAGCATGTAAGATACGGAAAAGAGGCACAGCATGTAAGGTATGGAAAAGAGGCACAACATGTAAGATATGGAAAAGAGGCACAGCATGTAAGATACGGAAAAGAAGCGCAGCATGTAAGGTATGGAAAAGAGGCGCAGCATGTAAGATACGGAAAAGAGGTGACCGAACAACCAGAGTACGCAAGTCCAGCAGCTGAAAGTTTGCAAATAGATGGACACTATAAGATAACAAGGGAAACAGATGGGGATGAGGCAGAGGCAGAAAATTCTTTATGGAACACAATAATTCACAACAGAAGTGGGGCAAATCTTCTCAAAGTTTTAAAAAGTCTAAGAGCAGTACAGCAGGGAAATGTAAGATAACGATTTTGTATTTCTTATAAAGTTTATAACGTCGGTTCACATGCATAGGTATAAAATGCTCTGGTCCTGTCTTTTAAAGTGTTCATGGTTCCGTATCCGGGTCAAGTTTCATAAGAATGTAGCTATATCATTTCTAAATGGAACTTATTTGCAGGACTATCGGTAAAAGCCTGGAAAAAAGCTTGCACGTGCTTCCTCTAACGTCTATAAGAAATTTTGCATTCATTTAAAATATTGCTATGAAAAATTTTAGGGCTGTTTTTGCCAACCTTAACTTTCCTACAAATACCCTATTCGATTCAGGCCATTAAGTTGCCTAAACTTTTATATTGCTGAGATATGGTAGAAGCTGTAAGAACTACGTAATCCTTTTCGAGATCAGCATCTCTTGCTTCTCATTAAAGGTACCGATGCTAGGGAATCAGGAGTCTTCGCAATTTACATTAACCAAGCTAACATGGCACTTTTCACAGTATTTTTTAGTCTTCACTGGTTTTGCTTGTTGTCTTTGTGAGATATGGTATCTATTTCAGTTTTCTTGTTACTAATTGGAACATATTTCATCTTGCAGGCAGACAAAAAGGGAAGTCAAACAAACGCGTGACGCATTCGTTATGGTCTGAAGAATTTTACATGCACACACAGCTAACGTCTCGGTAGCATTTCATGTAAATCTATTCGTTCACAATTTATTTAAATCAATATATGTATAATAGATGACTTGCAGTGATATGCAGCCCGATGTGATTTTCTCTCATCTGTGGATTATCTTACTGCCTACAGTGTATGAGTATCCATTGCAATACACGCATTTTTTGTAAGAAACTTCAAATGTTTTCTTTACCGTGGAAGCACGTTTAAAAAATTCATTACCTGAGAAATTTAAGAAACATGTGAGAAACTTTTGATAGCAAAATGGCAAGAAAATTTAAGAAACTGCCTACCAGCACCGGACCTTAGTTTCCTATAAAAAAAATATGTGTAGTGAATCTTCTTGTTTTCCAAAATCTTGTTTTCTTGAGAAAAGGGTGAAAACAGCTGTTTTCTAAAGGCCTGTTTTGCCATACTATGTAAATGTAAGATGCAATATAAAGCTCTGCAATATGAATATTTTAATATAATTTAAATCGCAATCACAACAAGTTCAAATCTAACAAATTTTTGGACAAATATATTTTGAACAAATGTTTACCTTTTTTTATACTTTCAATGGAATAATGCAGAAAGGAACCAAGCCAATTCTTGAACATCCTTTTTCTCATTGCTAACGTAATTGTAGCATCCGTAAAATGAGGCCATAGTGAAACAGAGGCTCATAGAGTTGGTCTATGTAAAGACCTTCAGATATGATTTGCTCCATAGAAGTTCTTTCTTTCAAAAGATACCCTGGAGGTTCACCGTTACCTTACAGATTTTATCAAGCTGTTGATTTTCGAAAGGTTTTATTATATCATCAAAAGTATTATGAACCCGAATTTCTCAAAAGCCGTGAATCTAGTGTAACCTTGCATATAGCATATCTTTTTCAGTTCATGAATGGAAATTCTAATTGGTAGCGGTAATTCTAATTTCTTTGACCACGGGAAAAAGAAATGCACCAGTCCTCTCTCTGTTTAGGTTTATATTTTCTTGATTTCTATTTGTTGTGTACCTCCAAGTCTATAGCCAAGGTTTTAAAATCATGAAAAAGAATATCAAGATATGATTCTAAAGAAAACAGACTAGATAATTTTGATGCGCCGTAACTGAACCAAATCATTATGTGTGGAATGGATTACGTTTCTAGCAATCTTTAGTTCTTATAAGAAGAAGAACCCTACTTCGTTGATATCATAATCCGCTTTCTCTTCAGCGCTCGTTCCCTGCTTCTTGCTAGGCTGGAAATCGTCCTTCAACAAAGTTGATTTATAGATAGAATCGGCAGTGGCATAGATCGGAAAATTCATAGGAGGGGCGAAAAACGTCGATTTTTCGACAAAAATGTAATATGAATTTATTTATTTTTTTGTAAATTTGAACATAACAATACGACACCAGAACTAAAATTTAAAAATATTTAACACATTCAGATATACTTACAATTTTTCTACTTTAAAATCTTTCCACACAAAGTTAAATACTAAGATAAAAGAATAACCAACCACGTAACATTTCTGGGAAAATTAGAAGTTTTCCGACAAAATAACAGTTTAGGCTTACAGGTGGGTATTTCACCTCCTCTGACCCCACCCCCTCTATATCTACGCAACTGAGAAACGGATAGAACTGCTTCACCTGATCTGCTTTTGAAACCAATAGTGCTTCAAAGAGTTTTGAACAAGAGCATCAAAATTATCTCGCAGTCGTCGCTTCTTCCCAAGTCATTTGTTGCAATACTTTCTCAATTTACGGTAGTAATATTGTGATTTTTCATTGCTGCTGGCAGTAGAGGGGTTAGTGGCCTGAATCAAACAACCGAAATGTATGCATTAATGGATTTGCTGAGGGCATAAAAAGCTAATATTATGGTTCAATGTCAGTTTCTTTGTAGCATCATTAAAAGATTTTCAAAGTATAATGTGATTTTTAAGCTTCCTATCTATGTTATTCAAAAGAAGTAGCTTTGCTTGGTTTGAGAGTTATCTATTTGGTAGAACGCAATCTGTGTCATGTGACGGAGCATTGTCAGAAGTTCATGCTCTTTTCTTTGGAGTACTACAGGGATCCATATTGGGCCCACTGCTCTTTACCTTACTAATAAACGATATCGATGAAAATTTAAGCCAGTTTGAAATGACCCTTGTTTCGTAAAAACATTTTCAATGGTTAAGAGGCACTGATTGGGCAACTTCAAGAGTCGCATGCTCGCATTTTCTGATTGGCCTATTTGAATCTACAAACTGAATGTATACATTTCCTTGCGGAGGGTTTTCGACCATGTTCTGACGTTTTATACTCTGAAGAGTGTCCGACGAAAAGCTAAAATATGACTCAAAATAAGTTGCGTGTTCTTGAAGTTTTCAAACGTTTCAATGGGATATCGCCACACACCTTTCAAAATCATCTCGCGAGATTAAACCACAGCCAGTGTACACATGCCAATGCAAAGAGTATAGTTTTGCTCAAAGTACAATCCGAAACAGGCAAGAAGGTCTTTGCCTTTCAACCAGCAAAGGTCTTAAATGAATTAACAGATGAAATGAAGAGTGGAACATCAATTTTAAGATCCAAGGCTATTTGTAAAAATTTTAACTTTTAACATTTTATCTTCATCATGTATATAGTATATAACTATTATATTTGATTCAATTTGATTCATGTAGAATTATATCTGGTCTATATCTGGATATCAAAGTCCCATAAAATCTTTGGCTTGCCAACTTCGTTTAATACTTTCTCTGGTATATGGTTGTACCACTCGTCTGAGGTGTTGTATCCAAACTTTCTACATAGCGACCAGTGCAAATTGAGCCAGATTTTATCGTGCCTTCGCTTGTATTCTTTTTGCGCCAACATTTAAAAACATGCAACAATTTGATCAACATTTTCCACTCGCTCTTTGCACAAGCAGCATTTTTTTGCTGGTGTTCTATGATAACCCATGTAACAGCATTGCTTCAAGTGTTTCCTTTATCTCACGGGTAACCCTATCTTGGTGTTGATTCTTCTCTTCAAAATCAGCATCAGTTAGTCCCATTTCAATTGCAGCATGCTTAACAAGCTCTTCTTCACTTTTTGTAATGTACTAATCTACTGATCTTTTTCCACTGACATTATTATGGGATTTTAAGCATTTCTGCACTGGCTGGTCTTGTTGCCGTTTTTCTTCCTGTTAGGCGAGTCATAGCAAATGACTAAAGGCTAATGAAAGGTTTCTATTATTATTATTTTTTGACATTGGATGACTTCTAAATCTTGTGTCTCACAAAGTTTATGTGAAGTAAGTATGTTTGTATATGTAGTGGATAACATAAGCCTAGTAGACATAATTTTTATGTTAACTGAGCTGTCAGCTCGGCCACTAGGGCAAATATGAATTTATTTCCGTCAGATTGCAAAATTTTCTGAGGAAATCTTTAAATTTCCTTTCTCCAGATACTCCTAAATCACATTCAGATATTTTAAACTTTTTATTTGCTTGTTGACAAAGAGAAATAAAGTTATTTTTAGGGAATGCTTTTATCTGCCAAGGCGGACAGGTAAATTCTGTATGACTAAATTGTGAATTCTCCGTGCACAGAAATTTATTCCAGTTTGCTACGCCAAGGGCATCTGGGATTCCCTATGCAACAAAATCGTTATGCCAACATCGCAGTAAAAATCAATTTGAACTTATGCTTCAATGGCTGATGAGGTGTCAGCAAAATTTTCTGCACTTTGTGAACAATAGCGTAGTGAGGGGGGGGGGGGGTTTGGCAAAACGGAGCGAACACACCCCTAATGACAAAAAGTCTCTTTGAAAATTGTTTTCCTTGCTCGACTTGCCTTTTCCCCCTCCCCCCAATTTTACGACCTTGGCTACTCTACTATTTGTGCAAATAAAGATAGCAAAAAGCAAAATTAAAAAGCGACTGCTTTGTATTCGTGGCACTTTCAAAGAAATGAAATAATCGAATACAAGAGATCTGGATGTCAAGTAAGGCTACGCCAAAAGGTGAATAGAATACGCTAACACTTTTTGGATTGGTTTTACTTGTTTTTATGGTCGGTCGTATTAATAGTAAGTGTGACATATAGAAAATACCATTACTCGGAATGGCCCACAGAACAGGGTTTATTTTAAGGAATTTTTATCACTGCACATATTCAAACTTTTCGAAGATTTGGGTGTTGCCTTTTCAAAATTTTTGTGACCAAAACACCTAACTGTATGCAACACTTTCTAATTACATCAGCGCTCATCAAAGCCTTACAGGAGATTTTGACGAGGAAAAGTAGTCTAAGTTTAAATATTTTTTCGATAATAAAGATCTCAAAGGTGAAGATGAAAAATGAAACAAACTAGATAGCTTCTAGATACTGAACAAACTGTAGATAAATTTCATAGATTATGATCATTGGCACTGTTATTTTCTCGTTTTTAATACTGTAATGCTTTTTTTAAATGTTTATTGTAAGTTGCTCCAATTCTATTTTTTCAATACGAAATCAATTATTTTTGTTTTATCACTGCACAAAATTTGAGTTTATCACTTCACAATAACGATTTAGCACAGCATAAATTGATTATCAATGTGAACCCTGCCACAGAATCAGATCTACTACGTGACCCAGAGCAAGGCTGTCTTAGAGTGACTCAAAAATTATGTTTAATCCAGCCAAACGGAGCCGTTTTGTTACGCGGACGTCACAAACGAATGTGCACCAGAACGTCCACTTCCCTGATTGCGCATTTTGGAGGCACTAATGACTCTGACGTATTCTGTTCATGGAAGAACAACACGCACTTCCTTGTCAAGTCGAGGCCGATCTCTTTGGTCGAGACAAAAGTATGGACGACAAAAAGTCTAAGATATTGAATTTGCATTTGCATTACGAAGAGGGACCCCAAAATACTAAGAAAGACATCAAAATCAAAACAGAGTTTTCTCGAAGGTTTGTGCCTGTTTTTGTTGCGTAGTTATCCAGTCTTGTTGATTTAAATTCAGATTTAGCCGGCCGCTAAAATGTCGTCACCTGCCCCCAACTCAAAACATTGAGACCTGAAGCATCCTTATGTAAAATGGAAAATTGTTATTTCCTTTTATTGATTGCCATAAGAAAATATGAATGCAAAATCAAAAAACAGATACCTGCAAGGCATTTGTGGTTTCCGTGAAACTGCTAGTAAAATCTGTTTAGGTCGGTGTTGTGCTCACTTGGTGCGGGGACAGTTCGCGCCCGATGGTGTTTCAGCTCTCACCCAGTGCTCAAAGACCGATTTTTCACAAATTTTAATTATGAAACAGGCCTAGTAGAGCCTTAAGTAATTCATTGGCTCCGACACAGGTTTGAATTTGGTGGGACCAAGGGAAAATCTAACACCCATAACGAAACATTTTGAAAGGCTCTATTGTTTTGCAAAAAAGTAAGAAGACCATACCCTAAGTATGCGGGGCTTAACCCCCAGTTATTCCAAAGAATATTTCTACCCGCCAGGTAGCCCCTAGCATAGGCACTGAAGCATCATATACCCTCGCTTTCTTGTTTTATAAATCCGTCAGTTGTTTTTTTGTCCCCTTAGCTATTATGATGGAATAAATGTTCTCTAATATTTTTGTTCCTAGAGCAAGATTTTCATTCTATCGTTAGAATTTCAAAAACCATGTTGCTAATGGTAAAAATATATGTCTTTACCATTAGCATTTATCATTTTGAATATAGAAATTTCAAAAACCATTATGGTAAACTTCCATGATTCTTTTCGCTTTTAGATGGGAAGATATTGTGCAAGGCTTCAAGAACACACTCAATATATCAAGTGATGAGCTGTGGGCATTCCAATATTTTGATGATGAAGGAAACTGTGTTATGGTAGGTATATCAAGGACAGTGAGACTTATTCCCTGTTCAGTGGTTGAAACTGATTGTTGGAAAGCAAAAATCATTTAGTGTTAAGTTTCCATTCTCTTGCAACTGACATCCATATTGAGAAGCTATAAAAATTACATGAGTAAAGTTATTGGTACCACAAAATTTGTAAATAGCACAAATTTGCATCAAAATAGATGAAGCAAAAATTGTGGATTTTCTGTAATGTTTTTCATTTTTACTTTGCTCTTGTCTACTTTGACTACATACTTGTATTATCTTTCAAATTCTCACGAGCTAGAATTTGATTTTGATGAAGTTTTAAAGGTTGATAAAGACATTGCATGAATCAGAAATGGATTTTATGATTAATTTTGATATCATTTGAAGGGCAAAAGTGAATATGAGTGGAGAGCTGCATTAGAGATGGCAGATGTTGATGCGAAACCCGGCAGAAGCATACATGTGGAAGCCATTCCTTTAGGGGAGGTGAAGTGGAACAATGAAGTAAGTTTAAAGGATTTTGTTTTAGTTTTCAAAGTTTAGGTTTTTCTGTGCTTGTGTGATTTATGACAGTCCAGGATTGTTTTCTTAAACTTGCCTGACACCCAGGGGCGGACTGGCTAATTTTTTTGGCCCGGGCAAATTTTGATCAAACCGGCCCACAATAATAGCAAATAAAAAACTCCTTGGAAAATGCAAGTAAATGTTAGTCTGTAAGGAAAACAAGTTTTTAAATTCAGTAATTTTGTACACGGATGAATGCTGGTTAACAGAACATGGTTAACAGAACATGTTGAATATGTCATTTGCTGACTAAATAGTAAATAAATAAAAATTTTAACTCATTGGTTTGACTTTATTTCTAAATACAGTAAGTTATATGTTGATAATGTTATCGTTCTGGACGAGGGGTAGTTCACTCTTGCAAAAAGTGTACGAGATTTCCTCAAAAAAAGGATTTCCAGGGATTTTCTCATAAAACAATAGAATTTCCACCAAAGATGTACGAGATTTTTATGAAGTGATTTGCCCCTCAGTTCTGGATGTCATCTAAAAGGTGTTTTTCTAAGAACATTAACATGAAGGACTCCAGCTTTGGCTGCGAAAAATCACTACGTGATCTGTTCTTTATGTATTTTAAGTGGAAAAGCTTCTATCACACTCAACTTGTGACAAATAATTTTCTAATCCTCCGGAAAACCACAATGATTTTCAGCAGCCCCAATAATATCGATTTGTCAATTTCTGACCCCAAAATGAAAACATAGGCAGCCCTGTTGAAATTTTTTCGTGTAGCACTGTAGTCCTGTTGGGCGGAGGATGCATTTATGATAGTATAGGCCTAATAAACTTACCATAACTTGTATGAGTTTATTGAAAGGAGCAAGAGCAAGACCCTGCTGTTTTTTGAGACGTTTGTGGCTTTTGCTTGATAAAAAAAGCTTTGTATCGTAGCTGAATCCTTTTTAAGTCTCACAGCTTTTCCTCTAGAAATTTCTGTGCACCACCTTTGGTTGAAGTCTTCTTGCTCTTCCCTCGTTCTACGTATGTCCTTTTCATTGCTTCACATCACAGAGCAAATCGCTTTGTGAACTCTATATTTTGGACTTTTAAATTTATTACATTTAGCAATAGATTTTGCTAAGGCAAAAACATGACCAGCTTCAAGCAAAAGCTAAGTAAAAAGTCACCAAAGCAGGTTAAAATCTTATGTATCGCATTGAAACTGGGGTGTTTCAGTATAATATGTCGCCAAAAAGGAAATACCGTCAAGAGAAAATATAACAAGAATATAATAAATATAATAATATGTTTCCTGAAGGAGTGTGTTTGGGCTGCGGTGACAATAATGAATTCATAATTTTGATGGTTTTGGAGTTATCACGTGAATATTTATTCTTTCCCACAAAGCCCTCTGAAAATTCAAGGCAAACAGATCAACGCGTGGGTATACTTTTTGCCTAGCATTCACTTTTTAAGCTAATTCATTTTTTTGTACTTTAATCAGCCGGCCCTTAAACCGACCGGCCCTTCGGGCGATCGCCCGAATAGCCCGACCAGCCAGTCCGCCCCTGCTGACACCCTAAAATCTTTTTGAAACTCAGTGTAAATTCAGATCTTTTCATATACAGTATTACTTTGTAGTGTGGAGGCTCTGCAAAATCTGAGGCTGTAGCTGGTAAATGTTGCCCTGCAAAAGAGAGCTTGTGCTGGTAAGTTGTCAATGAAGTGATTCAGATACCAACTTCAATTTTACTCCCTCTGCAATTATGATGCCCTTTTACAAGTGACCAAAAATCCATCAAGATTTTAAGGTGGCAAGGTTTTAAAAGATAGAGGTGGTCATCTCCATGGAAAGGATTACAGCAGTGAAGATGATGCTCTATTTGTGTTTGTTTTTGTTGCTACCTAGCTTTGGAAGGTTGTTTTATGACACTGTGAAGCTTTGCTTATTAAGCATAGTCCTAGTCTTTTGTCTTGATGTGATCACACCTCTTGATGCATATGCTGGGAATTTACGATAGATGGGAACTTGTTCTGCTACATACAAGACAAATTTTGTTTGCTATCTACAAATAAGGGCATTAGTAATGTTGAAACCCAAGTGAATAATTAAATTATTTTATAAAGGCTCAGAAGATTGTTATTATCATTTGTTAATGTCTTGACATTATTTTCTTCAATTTAAATGAATCCAAGAACATTTCTCAGCTCGATAAAAATTGTAGCACCAGAAGATTTTTAGGTGGATAAATTTTCATTTGACCTGCCGATATGCTAATGATATCAAAATACTTAGATTAATCCCTGGTTTTCTGTTTTACACAATTCATTTTAGCAAAGAGAAGGGTGAAGGCTTGGATTGTCAGTTTCCTTGCAAAAGGCCAATCCAAGAGCTGAATTTTGACTTGAATCGAGAGGCTCCAACCAGGATGTAAGTTTTTTCAAGATGGATTTTGTGCACAAATTCCCCCAATAGTTTCTATTCAATTTAATTTGCTTTAGGCACCACCCCACTCAACTTAACTAACATTTCAGCATGCTACATAGTCCTGGTCCCTAGGCATTCTTCCTAATGAATTCATAATTTTTCCTGGTTTTAAGAACCCTTTGGCTATTGAACTTTCAGCATAACTAGCCAAATTTTAGGTCCAATATCCATAGCTACTTTATATACAAGGTACTCTAGAAGTCTTTTCGAGCTGAGTCAAATCATCTTTGCTGGCTGAATCATTGCTTACCAGCAACAAGTTATCATTTTGCAATGGTCAGTCATAACAAATGTAAACTTGAAGACTTTTTTGAGATGTAAATGTTGGGAAACAGGAACAGTAAAATACGCAGAACAACATAACTGCCAAGATGTCAGTTTATTAAGAATTTTCCTAGACATATAAGCCTGTGTCATCAATCCAATAAAAAGGATTATTGCATTGATTGTTTATCAACTTGTATATAATTCTAATGCAGTAATGCAGACTGGCATTCTATTGCCACTCTGGAGGACATAGAGAGTCCATTTGTGCACTGACCATCACTATCACTTTGTAAATTTCCAACTAGCCAGCCATCTTTTTATCAGTATTGATTTGTTTGTGGTGTGTTTACCTATTTGATTTAAAAGCTTCAACAAAAATTTGTTTTTAGTGCTTTTTTTAAACTCTTTTTCAAAGTGTTTTAAATTTCTGGTCACATGGTTTTAAAGCTAATCAACCAAAAAAGAATATTTTTTTAATCAGGCTTTATTCTAAGATCTTCTCTCAGTAAAGTGAACTTTCGATATAACAGACTACACTTTCCCTTCTGTTATTTCAAGATTTTACAGGGTAAATTGGACAGACAATTTGGAATCTTTTTTAGAAAACTTTAATTATTCTGTCTTAAGCTTAACAGATAAAGGTAAAGGCAATGTGTATAAATGCCAAGATGTAAATATAATTAATACCTTTACTCCTTTGTTAACTATCAGCTCTACAAATGCTCTACAAATTTAAAATTAAAATATCAGATTTTCATAGTTTGACATACACTATAGGAGTTATAAGTGCATAAGAAAGCATTTATTTTAAATTTGTGCTTCATGTTATGACAGACATATTTTTAGAGCAGTTAACAGGAGCAATGACTGAAAAGTACAGTAAAGTATGATGATAACTGACTTATTTTACAATACGGAAATGTAACTGCGAGAACATAAATTAAACTAATGTTTGTAAAACTTTTCTTTTAGACAAAATAAGACTCAAAGTGAATATAAATACACCGGAGAGGCGTTGCGAGCTGTTGCTTTGCCACTTGGACCAATAGGTATGATTCCGGCCCATTGCTCGTATTCAATGAGAATAGCTACAACAGCAAAGAAAAGTGGCATAGAATGTCATCGTTGTTATCAGATCTAATTTAGCGATGGTGGCAGTTTAATGGTGAAAGAAGGCTACACAACGAAGAAATCTACCAAAAAAAGAAGTTGAATCAAAAATAGAATCAACATTTAGCAATATTTTGTAAAGCCATGCGATGCCTCTGTCGATGTTGACGCTCTTATATAATGTAATAAAGTCAATCGACATTGATGACTCATTGAAGTTTCCAGCACCCAGTGTTTACACATTTGAATTCAGTTTGTCTCGTCCTTTAGGGCAGGGAAGCATTTCCATTGCTGGCGACGGTGGCTTAAGACAGTGGCAGATCAATAACAAAATATCCCATGATGCTCACGTTCCAGATTCTTTTTTTGCTATAAGGTATTTAATGTCAGTTAAAGTTCTTTTTTACGTGTAATTTCTGGACAGTTATAATGCCTGCTCCGGATAGTCCTGCTAGCTCAAGTTCTACTTTGAAAAAACTCGAATGATAGATATATATGCGTTTATTCAAGCACTATTTCTATTGCTGTGATTAGATCCCGGTCTCAAACTGTAAATTTGCTCTTCAAGCTGTAATAATAGGGTGAAAATGAGTCCAGTTTTCCTGATACAACTTTGCCAAAACAACCTTGATCCCAACGCAAAAGACTGAGAAACGAAATACTTCGCCAATTGTTTCTATGGAAGAAAAACCCCAACCATGATTTTAGCTTTTAAAAATATATTTATAGAGCAAATTATTGGATAGAAGATTTGGTAATTAGAAGTTGACCCTGTGCATAGTTTTTTTGATGGATAAATATTTTATAAAGGGTGGATACAAATGGTACATCCAAGTCGATTGTGTTGCAATCATCAGCATTATACGACGATTCAAAGTTCCAGCCAGCGCCGTACATAAGTGATCACTGTAAGTAGCAAGAATTCATAGTCATTATAGAAAGAGATTGTGTTATATCAGGGCATATTGAGAGTATGCTTGCTTGGAGTAATGTCATGCTGTGTTCTGTGGATATAATCTGTGTTCTGTGGAGTAATGGATATAATAGCTGCTTGTTACGAAGGAGCACAATCTTAAAACGTATCCTACAAATATAAAGTACAATGAAAAGCTGATGAATCAATATGATTGGTTTTTTATGGCTTAGAAATCATGAATTTCAGCAGTGCTCCGTAACATCATTAACAAGTTGGCATGATTTTGTCTTAAGGGTAGTGGCATATTGCTGTCGAATACCGGGGTCAACGGATAAAAGCAGCTCAGATATACGGCTATCATATAAGTAATGGTTTGCCGTGTCGTTATTGCAATAATCACGATATTTTACTTGATGTTAGTGAGCAACCATTAATTCATTAGCTTGGAGTTCCAAATTCATTTTTTTTTGTAAATTTCATTCAAATTTGATTTTTAATCATTGATGAAATTATATGCCCGCTGAAAATGGTACATTTCGTAACTCTATATCCACTGATCTTCGAATCTCAAGCAGTGAATGCTACTTGTATATCAAAAGTGTCTAGGCCAATTTTAGATGTTTTAAGATTGTCATTCATTTTGTACATGCCTTGATTTTCAACCATTTTGATACACGTTTCTATACAAAAAATGTGTTATAAGTAAATTAAGAGTATAATTTGTCAGGAAATAATGTTTATTAAAGCATGGTGAATTTTGCTTTCAGTCATCATTCTTTAAGCCTTTTTCAATATGTTTTTGCTTAATTTGTCGTTTAAGATGTTCCTCCAGCATCGAAACAGCTGTTAACCGACCTTCCTGGTGTCAAAACTATCGAAGTTACAGCAAAGTTTCCAGTTGTTCATGGTAAATTTATATTAATGGAACTAAATTTCGCCTTTTAAGGAAAATATAACTTGTTCCCGATGTTTATTTGTTCCTAAATAGAAAATATGAAATGACCATGTATTATACATTTCTTAAATTTCCAATTATTGAAAGATAGGTTCGGGATAAAGTACATATGTTGAAGATATCAAAAGGAAGAAAAATGAGAGAAGACCAAATCACGAGAATAGGTTTCCAATATTTTAGATATAGCATGTTATACAAAGCTACTACAGTATAATCCCGTTCAGTGCAGCTCCCATGGTACCCAATAAAACTGTTTCTGTTAGCGAATGTCTCAATTATACAGGATCCCACTTTTCTATAAGGAAGTCTATAGGGATGGGATTATGTGTCCCTCATAACAAAGGTCCCAATTAACCGGGGTCCCACTTATCGAGAATATACTGTATATTGCGTTTCCCACTGCTTCAAAGATCACTAGGATTCTTTCCTGAAGCATAATCATGTGAAGGCAGACGAAATCATTCGGAAAGACAAGGTTTTTCATGATACAAAGCCGTTTTGTTTTGCCATGTGCTATATCCGGTTTTTGCAAGAGTAATGTGTAAGTTGAATTTTGGGACATTTTTGACTCTTTTTGTTCCTGTATGTTGTGGAAATATTTCATATCATTTATTCTAGTGGACTACACAAGTGATGAAGTGCCTCTCAAAGTTGAAATGGATGCATGGAGCCCAAAAATTCCTCTAGATGCCAAAAACAGCGGCATTCCGGTGATCGTATTTAATTTCACGGTCACAAACAAAACGGGACATGATGCCACGGTAGGTCATTCGACTTGGTTTGTTACATTCAGCTACTTCGTTATTTTTTCATAGCCTAGAGTTTTTACACCATTTATGAACCACAACGGTACTGCTGATTTTTTACGTAAAATCCGATGAAAGTACTTCATATAAGAAGATCAATGTAGAAGCATATTCCTTACAGGTGTCGCTGCTGGGAACATTACAGAACATTGCTGGATGGAACTGTTACGACAATATTACAAATGAAGGTATGTTTATCGTTTCAAAACTGGATATTTGCGATAAGCAGTTGTTCCATGGAATTATTCTTAATTGCCACTTTACAACATAGATGTAGATGAAAACAGCCAAAACCAGAAAAACTCTGCTAATTAGGGTAAAAATTTTGATAAATCTAGCTTCCCTTTCTTTAAACTTTCTTTAAACGGTATAAAGAAGGGAGAGTGAGACCAGGGAAATTATGCAATGAAGTTGAGAGAAACTGTGATGATGGTTTTCTTAGAAGCCGCTAGTATATTGCACTGACAGTGTCTCTTTGTTGATTTTATCTTCAGGGGTTAGGTTAGATTTCGTGTGGTCATAATTGTGGTCTGGGTGAAATGACTTACCAAAGCTTTTTTGATTTTTTGTTCTTTTTTCAGTCGATGCCAATGGATATGGGGGAAACGTAAACTCGCTCTACACTACCAAGTAAGTCTCTTTGTCATTTACTAAATTTGTTCTCTGTCAATATGATTTCCGCATATATTTTGATCTTTTTAGTTTTCTATGATGCTATATCAAGCCACTGGTCTTTGCTGAATAAAGATACCAGAAATATGAACAATATTTTTGCGGTACAGAATTTGAAAATGGCTTTGAAAAAAGCAAACATTTTACGACATACTAAAAGCTTTTTCGTCTGACACTCCTCAGAGCATAAAACGTCAGAATAAGGTTCCGAAAGAACACGATGGAAAATATATACCCAGTTGTGGATCGAAATAGGCCAATCAGAAAAACGCAAGCACAAGACTGGTATGGTTGACCAATCAGTGCCGCGAGCCTAAAGAAAAAGGAATAGGAATGCATATAATTAGAGATGTTTTAGACATAGCAGTTGATTATTGTGCAATTAAGTTGCGCCAGTCATTTCTTAGTGTTTTCCTGGTCTCTTTGGTCACTTTGAATTTTATTCATAGTAACAAGCCGTATAGATGTGGAATTATGCTTTGAGATGAAATTTCTTGTCAATAACATTTACAAACCTTTTTACCCGGATTGTTTTTGCCTGATTTTTCCTGTATTTCATAAAACGGGGAAAATTGAAGTTATATCGTGTTTATTGTTAACAAAAAGTTTTATCGGGTAGACACCAGACCATTCTTTTAATGTTTAATCCCTCTTGCACAGGTCTTTGTTTGGAATTGATATGAGCAACCCGTCTTTGGCTTCAAATCATGCGTTCAACGGCCATGTTGCTTGCGCATGTAAGTGCTTCATATAGACTCATCTTGTTGAATACACGTGACTTTGATATAAACTGTGACATAAAACTGACAGTGTGCTATGGGTTTTCATTCGAAAAGAAGTGGACCGGCACATTCTTGAGCGACAAATTTTTGATAAAAGTTCAGTTGTATTTTTGTTTCCCTATTTTTTTCTTTTTCTCAGTCCTGAAGCAAGACAGTGACAAATTGAGTACGATGCTGCAGTTCAACTCAGCTAAAGATTTGTGGAAGTATTTCACTGGGGATGGCCTGCCAGGCCAAGGCTTCGCTGGTCCATCCAAGGTTCATAAATACAACATTTTTTCTATTTGCTTCGAGTCTTTCGTCATCGACGTACTCCTAATTCGTACCAAGTTCCCACCTTTTTGGATAAAAAGAATTCAAAATCTGACAAATCTGTGACAGAGCGAAACTCAACCGCTGTTAGGAACCTTCTAGCCTTGTTTGCTTGAAAGCTAGATTCAGCTACACATCTGGCGGCTAATGTGCCACATTTCCTTGTTTCCATTTCAACGTCAAGTGTACGAAAACTCATGTACATAGGTTCTTTTTTAATAATTAGCCCCTGTCTAAAGTTGGAAAAATTGTTCAATGATTTAGACTCTACTCCAAATTATTCTAGAAATTAAGAAATAACATTAAACAAAAGCGCAAGCTTCTAGTTTTCTTGCTTTCATTTCCAGCTTTCAATAATTGTCTTCAAAAGTTAATTTGAATAATAGATGCATAGTATACAATAAAATGAAACTACAATTTATCATTAATCAACCGATTAATTAATTATCGTTAATCGCTGAATTATCTCTTCTAGACTGGGAGCACTTGGAATGGAGCCATTGCTTGTGAAAGAACGGTTAAATCAGGGACATCTACGGTATGGTATCTAGAACGTTTAAGTCATAACCCCAACCCGTTTTTAAGCATAAACTACCTATTCTGATATACGAATTAATCACTTTAGAATGACAACTACAATGCAGAATTACGGAAATTCACATTGTTCAGCTGAAAATGTAAATTTCGAAATATCGTTAAACGTCACTAGTTTTTTTAAACAAACAAATTTTCTGGGGGTTATTTCCTTATCAGGCATTATGATGTGATGATTTTCAAATATTTGTTATTGGTACGAAGAAATTAATGGCCGTGCTGCACGATAAAAGGTGCTATAGAAGACGGGGTTGTAACGTCGGTTTGTTCAAGACCTGCTGTTCTTTTGCAAGGACCTTAAATATACACAATCATACTTCAAATGTTTTGATAAAAATTGTCTTCATTTTAAAGGTATTTACCTACATGCTGGCTTGGCATTTTCCGAACAGGTATATTCTTCTTTTCGCATTTACAGTAAGGCAGCTGTTAATGAAACTGCCCGTTAGATATATCTTCCTTAGTATAATTCATATGCCGAATCCCTTGGTTTTCTCTAATTTTGACTCTCAGACCATTCTTATTTCTCCTACAAAAGAGACGAATGTTTGTGAAAGTATGCAGATGCTATGATCTACATCAAAACCTCCTATTTGTTTTTTCAAGTATGACGAAATACGAGTAGGAACATTAATGAATTTCAAACTGTCTATTATTGTGGCATTTCTATATGTCTAATCGTAGGTATTTTTCTCGATTTGAACCCCTCTTTTGCACCCCTCTTTTGCACATAAAATTGTTCTGCTCATGGAAGTCTCCATTACACAAAATTATTTCAGGCGCGAATACGTTTTTAATTATGAAATTCTGTTAGCAATATCATATTTCTCTAGATATAGAGACTGGAAACTATATACAAGCATACCGAACACACCCCTGTATGTTGGAAATAAGTATAACAAATTCTGGACAAGCGTGGCACAGGTAGGACATCCCCGACCAAGTACAACCATATACGCTTGAAGTATTTTAAGAGACCCAGAGTTCAAGATGAGCTAAAATTGGCAAAGTCAAGTTTCTACTTTTATTGTTATAGTATGTGTGAAAATAGTCTTCAAATGTTAAGCTGGAATTTTTTGAAAATGATTGAAAAAAGTGAACATTTAGAAAGATGAACGCAAACCTTTAAGTCTCACCATACTGCTGCGTATTAATCAAATAATTTCCTAACATATGCTAAATGTTCATTTTTTGCACTTCCATAATATTCACCTTTACTCTTAAAAGTTCAAATTGGCCTAGAAGACAATATGATTTGTATTGTTAGCTTTGGAGATAAAACCAAAAATTATACGTGTAATTCTGCGTGTAAATCTGTGCATCATTCTCCGTGTCCTTCTGCGTGAGATTCTGCCTAGCTTTCTTTATTATAAGCTTGTTGAGAAGATGTAAATTGCTGTTTTAAATGTTTTTCTCTACGCTTCCAGCATCAAATTGAATTGCTGTAAACAAGCGGTATTAAAAAACCTTTTTACAGGTTCTTGATTACACGGCACAGAACTTCTCCAACCTTCAAATGTACACTGTGCGATTCAGAGATGCAATGTTCAACACTACAACGGCTTGGCAGATTATCGACAGTGCTGCCAACAGAATTGGTCTTCTTAAGTAAGCCAGTTCCGTTACAATTGGAATATTTCAAGATTTCTTTCAATTTTGAATCTTGGTCGTTCAATTTTGTTTTTACAGGCAAAATATATTGCTTTTGCTGTTACCATGTTCTTTATTTTTTCATCGCTAGCTCAATCTTTTTTTGTTCTGGTAAATTTTATGACATAAAGATTGAAATTAAACAAATTATGACTGAACACGTACGGTGCAAATAAGAAAATGGAATATCACATAAATCTAGCTCTGGATAACTCATTTTCCTGGTCAGATCAAGTCGGATCAAGTCAGATCAGGTTAGATCAAGTCAGATCAGGTCAGATCAAGTCAAATCAATTCAGAACAGGTCTTACCATGTCAGGTCGGGTAAAGACCATAACATTGAAATGGCTTTTCAAAAACTAGCATTATCTCTAGTGTGTTGATATGGGACGTAAGCTTTCGCTTTAGTTGTATTTTCGCTTAGTAACTTTACTGGAGACCCACCAAATAATTTTACTACTTCTTTTGTCTCCTTTCTTAATCTTGTGATGAAATTTATGTTTGATATGTCTTCGATTTAAAAAAAATAATATAACAAACAAACTTTGGACTTGTTCGGGATACGAAACCTTCAGTCCTTTGTCTCGAAACAATAGCGTCTTAAACCAATCAGTGTTGTAGGGTCCTAGCACATGCGCATTATTGACAGTATTCACACGGCTGTTCTTTTTGGGACCACACAACTTCCCGCCAGAGCTTCAAGGGATAATGTGCAATGACCCTTAAACGGGGGCTAGTTAATGTCTGGAAGACGGGCTTTACCTTATAATTCCTGGTATCTCAAATAGTGTTTATTTTTCTGAAGACTCTAGTTATTCAGAGTTTAATTTACCCAGACTGATGTCCCTTTTAACTGTCTTTGTCTAAATGTTTTTTAACTCGTTTTAGCTCTCCTACTTGCTTTTGGGCTGAAGATGGCTACTTTTATGCTTTTGAGGGTAATAATTTTTATCAAAATACGCCTTGTTCAATTGTTAATGAAAGGTTTGTGACATGAAACTTGAATTATCGGTCGTCAAGGTTTTGCATGATTCTTTAACATAAATTTGAAATTGTCTTCTGACTTTCACTCTATTGTCGAAAAGCCGTATATAGTTTCTAATGTATGCCGTATATAGAGATGGCATTTACTAGTGCAATCTCTGTTTCAACAAAAAAATTGGAGACCTTGTTTGCACAAGAAGCAATCGTGTAGGCTTGGGTCTGAAATTTTCTCAGAGTTTTCGAATAATGTAAAGAATCCGGCTATTATAGGTATCCGGCTATTTAAGTATTAAACAAACTTTCGAATGCTCTAGTTTTTATATACATTTGAGTAGCAGCGCATCAAATGCTTAAAGAAAATTTCATCATTATAGTGAGGTGCTGAAAGTTAAATGTTATTTTCTGCATTTTAGGATGCAGCAAAGGTGGAGGTATGTTTGCAAAAATAATTGGTCCTAACTTTTTGGTTGAAGACTTATTCACGTGTTATGTTATCGAAGAGTATTTGGCTTTCCTCTTTTTGACCATTCTTTATTTGACTCCTTACTGTTGAGTTAACAAATGATAAATCACCTTTCTATAAAATCAGGTTGCTGTCCTCTCAATTGCACCCATGTTTGGAATTATGAACAGTGTCTTGCTAGGTATGAATTTGTTTCTACCGAGCTGCCTTATGCTTTTGATTTTTGAGGATTCGTTTTGATAAGACAAGGTGACCATTACCAACTACTTTCATTGCTTGGCTTGGACTGACCTTGAAGATATTGCAAATTTTTGTTCAAACTTGCGGCAGAAAGACCAATTTGCTGGTGTTCCTCTCCCGATCTGACCTTTCGTTGTTATTATATTGGAATATATTATTTTGCTCCATATAGAAAAATGTATTGTTTATTCGCCCATCTGTTTTGGCATTTTGGTGCATTGCCTTTTTTAAACATTTGTTCTAAGTAGTTCACGTTTCTCTTAAGATAATAGAATGAATAGCTCGTGGATCACAATATACATTCCTGGCGGTAACATGCCGGTTTTTTATTGTGTTTAATTACACTTTCTTTTATTAAATACTGCCATATTTGTTTCCTTCTAAGCAATGCACATGGCTTGCCTTTGAAGTGCGTCATATTTGAGATTCTAATATTTTTTTGCAATTTCTTGTCATCACGAATAAATTATACCAAAAGTCTATTTAGTATATATAATGTATAATTGCTGAGCTTAATGGCTATTAGCTTTGTAAACATTAGTTTATAGAGAGTAAAAGTAAAAATGTATTTTTACACTGAGATCTCTAAAGATTTTGTCAAAACTCATGATTCACGTGCCTAGGTTGTATCCTGAACTCGAAAGATCAATGCGAGAGATAGATCTGTTCCACCAGATCAACCCATACGGGGTGATTCCCAGTCGTACCTCATGTCCTTTGGAACTGCAAAGGGTATGGCAACTTTGGGATAATTACACGACTAACCAAAACGACACCAACATTTGCGTCGATGGCGAGATTGGAACTGTTCTGAAGGCCTATAGAGAGGTTAGCCAGCAAGCGATCTTTCTTATGCTTCTAAGATGGTATGATTTCGTAGAATTCTGCTCAGTATACAACCAGTTTTGTTATGAACATACTGTCAGCAAATTATCTGTCTAAGTATAAATAAAAACTTTTCAGCTGGCTGGATCCATTAACTTTAATTTTTCAAACAGAAACACTTACCTTTTTGATAGTACCATATTCGTCAGTTGACCCTTTTCATTTCAAGGTAAAAATCGGTGCACCAAAGAAATGGTTTGATAGTATTTGGGGGCCTGTGAAAAAGATAATGAGCCGTTGGATGAATGAATTGGATAGCAAAGGAGATGGTAAGAGTTTACTTACATTACGTTTCATTTGGCATTTTTTTATATTTACAGAAGTCTGCATACAACTCCTGCTAGAGTATGACATTTTGGATGATATTCACAAACTACGGAACATAGTAAAACATTTTTATTGGTAACCTTGCTTGTTTTATACTATAACCAGAGCGTACAGTGTGCATATCTGATGTTATATCTATTGCAATTCTTAAAAGTAACTATAGCTCGATACAGAATGTTCAAAGGTAAGGGAATATAGGTTTACAGTTTATATAAGAAGACAAATCATTGGAGTTGGGTGCAGTGAAATTAGAATAAAAGCAATTGTTGCCCAGATAATATACAACCAGACCTCAATGGCTGACATTAATAACAAAGGCCAATAATTGAGGATTTGATATTAGCATCAACACGGTAACCAGGCCAATGCAACACCTGAATTTGAAGCTATAGAGTTCTTAAGTGTGACGTCACATGAATTTTTTAAATTTTTTGAATTTTATTACATACCCTAAAAGATCATCAAAAAGTACTTTTAAGCATGCAAAATCAATTAAATATGTTCAAAATTGGACGAGATATGAGCAATGAAAGATTTGAAGTTTACTAACGGGTTACTGTTATTTTTGCTCTGCTCATAAAATTATGAACCAATACCAGATCACATTTATTTGATGGGAAAACAGGACTGTGCTCATTTGGCAATGTCTCAGCCACTTCATAACACACTCAACATATTTTGCAAATTTAGAATTATTTCTTGATGCTCTTTCAGCTTGTGAGATCCAAATTGAAAAAGTTCTAAAAATAGATTTTAGTGACGTCATGATTTAAGCAGTAACTCTTTAGCAGTAGGTATGAACTGTGCAAAAGGATGACAAGCATCACTGTGAACAAAAGTTAACAGCAAACAAAGTTAGCAAATAATTTGGCCCGGTATCCGGGGCTTCAACATTGTGGACTAGGCACAAATTATTTGAAATGTTTGATGGCAGACATAGGGTTTTATTTTCTCATTGTACGTTAGTTTCAACATCATAGTTTTTATTGAAAAAGCTGCCTCTAATCATACATCATACACTCTTTAAAACTACATCGCCGAAATTTTACTGTCAAATAAAGTTTTTCCCGTTGATTTCTTCTATATGAAACCCAACGTGTCTTGCTTGCATGTATTATTATATATTTTAGTTATTTAGGCTAGGTCCTCACTTTTAATGTATTGGATAATTGTACAATGAAATACTTCTGTATAGACTATATAAAACCTACTGTTTTTATGCGAAAAAACAAACCAAACTATTCTCACTTTGTCAAGTACTTTTGCCATTTTGTGTTTATTTAGGCCTAATCACAGTTGCCCAGCCAAATACCTACGACACCTCAACATATGGTGTAACTACATTCATCGGTGCATACTATCTTTGTGCATTAAGGTAAGTACTGAACTAATCTAGCCAAATACAGATAGCCAACTTCTTTACTATAACAGAAGTTTCTGGGTCTCCGATTCTTTTTTGTGGTAAAAAATCAAGCTAATTAAATGTTATTATTGTTCATAAAACGTCATACTGACTTGCCCCTGCAAGACCAATATATCGACTTTGGACCTTGCTTGACCAATGTATGGCTCTTAGTAGACTTTACAAGACCAGCTTCTACACCTTACCAGACCAATATATAACCCTAAGACTTCTTCCTGAGAAACACCTTTGGTTTAATCACACTTTCATTTAAATAACAACTACAACACGCTAAGAAATGAATGAAAGATATACTTTTGCTCACCAACTTCATCACAATTTGGAGACTGTTGAGCTCGGTAAATTGTTCAGCAAATTTCCTCCTCCTTGGGGCCTTAAATACTGCATTAGCCAATAATCTGCAACCGACTACTTCTGTACCCACTGTATGCATAGAAGCTTTGGCGAGTTTCCTTAGTTTGTTGCTGTCTAGAGCAAAACCATCACATAAGACACTGTATCGCTTCCAAACGATAAACCATGCAGTAAGTTATACCCGTTTGAAAAAAATGTTCTTGAAAGCACTGGCTTTATCTAAGATGCTTTAAGAAAAATCTCACGTTTATTGTACTCCACAAAAATAACATCGAGGCTGGAAGCAAGAATAGAAAGGAAAAATTATGCCTTCTTTTTTTATAAACTGAAAATTCAAGATGCCTTTTCCATTTGGCCTTTTATACTTTGCATTCAGAAGTGATTTGATAGATGGTTAGGGCTACTATTCAAAGATGTTATCCAAAAAGGCCGGATCATAAACTGTATCTCTACCTTATTACATTGATCTTTTATTTGCTTGTGTACTTCCTTGTAAGATGGAGAGGAGTTTCCATTAGAAGATACAGCTCACTTAACAGGTTTATCACGTCTCCACAAAGCATCGCCATAGCCTTTTCACCATGTTCGAAAAATCCATCTACTTAAGTCAACATATAATAAAACAAGTCTGAAACAACATTCTATATCTTTTCAGAGCAACAGAAGAAATGGCAAAGCTTCAGGGGGATGCTGTAAATATCCATATGTCATCTTTATCATTTAAAGAGTAAACATCAATATAGTTCAAGGACTAAATCCGTGGTTTTTGAAACAGGCTATACACTAGCCTTCTGTTCAGTGAAGTCTTTAGATTTCTTTTTTAAATTTCAAGTAACATATGCGGCGAATTGTAAGTATGTCATAAACAGGTCTTCCATTTGTTCTCTAAAAGGCAGAAAGTTCCAAATCTTGTTCAACAGAGACTATGTGATATTGTTTGGTTGTAGTACCCTGAACAGTACTTCTTGGCAATATTCCCAGACGTGTTCTGTTGTAAGAATGCTAATATTTCTTGACTTTGGCTTCTAAAATTAAAATAGCTGCTGTAAGTCTATACTAGCAATTACTTTGTTTAAATTCGTTTATTACACAAATAAGTATGAATATGGATTATTGAATTTGCGTATTGTTGTGTTGATAGGCTTTACAGAAGCTTTGCAGAGACAGATTTGAGATTGGATCTAAAAATCTTGATAAGGAATGTTTTGTAAATGGCAAATGGTACACACAGGTGGGTGGAATGAGGACAGCATCTAGCTTTTATACGTCACGTAAACATAATTTACTTGTGTTTTGCGTAACTGCTTCTGCTTCAAATAGCTATAAACACATTTTTTGCTAGAATAACTTAGTGTTTTCGTTGAATTAATAAAGTAAGTAATAAGTAAGTTAGTCATTTTCTTGGTAGTTAGTCAATGCAAGTATGCATTAGGTTATATGAGACTTTTGTTTGGATTTAAGTTTAGCTATTTTTTGATGGAAGATACAATTTCGTTGTTGCTTGCGCAAATCTTGGCTTGGAAACATTCCCCGATAGCGTTTCAGATCTTACCACAACGTTATATTTACATGGAAACAGATTGAAGAGTTTGTATCAACAGCTCTGCCTAGTTTGAAAGTTTACTTGAAGTAAGTTTAAATTTGTACTGAAAATTAAAGACGAGCTGCTACATATAATTTGTAAAATTTTTATCTGAGCTAATTATCATCGTAGGTTTGTCGTGTGGTTTTTTTAGAACACGTTGACCATGTTGGTTTTAAAATGTTGCTAAGTAAATTTCCGTTTGTTAGTGTGTAGATCCCGCTCATGAGGTGGAGCTGTTATCAGACTGTAAGTTTAAATGCATTTGCAATTCCAAGCAATGTTTATTTTCACTTACATGGTTTTTATTTTAAAAGGAATTTGAAATAAGTAATCAATTCTAGGAGATAATGATAAAGACTATCTAAAGTTTCGAATTTCCACCGATTTCAGGCTTCATATTTCGATTTAGCCAGAACAAGCATTTATGGTTCAGTAACTTTTCTTTCAGCCTCTTTTATGGACGCTCTTGTCGGTCAATGGTGGGCCCATTCGCTCGGGCTTGGCTATTTGCTTCCAGCCGAACATATCAAATCAAACTTACAGTACGCTGCGGCGCGCAACTTCGTCAAAAGTTTTGATCCTGGTAAGATCAAATTGAAGAGTTCTATTTGAGATAACCTACTTCATGTAATATGTATTTTGTTGTTGTTGCTAGAAATATAGCATTGGCTGTTTTTGCCTGTATAGTCAAACTCCGCATAAAAGAACCCGTGTTTTTTTTCGTAAAAAGACTAAAAGGACCCACGTTCGTGGCATTTAAGCTGCTGAAATGGTGATAAAACAATTTGGAAGTTCTTTATCTGTAGTTTCTTTTATGTTGAGTTTCACGTATGCTAATATTAAGTTGTATGGTGTGTAAGTCATTCTCTCGTATCATATCTTCAACGCTTTTATATAGCGTCACTGTCAACAGTATATAACATCGAGCAAACAAATTTTGATAAATAGCTTTAGACCCTCAACCATTGCCGTTCCTTGAATCAATTTCATAATTCGATCTCAGGGTCGTAGCATGCTTGTTTTCATTGGGGGCCACTGACCTTTTTTGTCTGGCCAAAGCTGGAGATTCTTAGCAGAGCTACCGACAAAACCATATCTTAGGAAGATCTTTAGAGACACCAGCCCCGCAACCCTCACTACCTGAGCGCTACGCCCCAGCACCTATACCAAGTTTTTACTTTGATATTTCATAATGCCAATGGTTAATAACGAAACGTCTCAGTGTAATATTTCTTTTAACAGCCAAACAATACCCAAGGAAATTTGCAGATCAACGTGACAGTGGCTATTTCCTTGCTTTTTGGGATGAAGGACCACCAAAGAACCAACTTCTTTACTCCAGTGAGGTTAGGTTACTATCATTTTTTTGAAAATAAAACCTTTTAACAGAGGTAAATGACGGTAATAACGACCTAAATGCCGGCAGGAGTAAGTTATGGCAAGAATTTATATTCATGGCACAGTGTGATTTTGCTTATCGCATAGATTTGAAATAATCTGCTTCTCAGCTGCAGACTGATCTTCAATCAGTCTTATTTTAACTTTGAACGCAGCGAAGATGTTTGCATTTGAAATTTTGCCTTTGGAAATTGTGTCTTGTCCAACACCACACCTCATTAGGCATTGGAAATCTTATTATAGATTATGTTTTTCAGTTTTGCTGGAGTGGTGTATTGCATGCATTTGTTGGGCTGTGTTTCTATGAAGGATTGGATACTATTGGAATCAATGGTATTGCACTTACTCTTTTCTCTGTAGCTTCATGCCTTAAAACATTGGTAGTGAAACGGTTTTGGGAAAATGTTTCATGTTTTTCATTAGTTGTAATATTTCTTAAAGTAATATAATTCAAAAGAATTGACACCAAGATAGACCTCTCGAAAGGAAAACAAGCATCATTGGAATCGGCGCAAGATTCTGATAGCTTACGTGAATGGTGCAAAACTGTGAAATGGCGTATAAAGATTTAGTATTAATATATCCATACCCTCCACCCTTAGCTAGATTTTCTTATCACTGTGTACCTTCCTTAGCATTGTGTAATTTTTGCTGTATATCTCAGAACAACGAACTTTCTGCAATTTGTTGCATGTCTTATAGTGTTATGGATCTAAAGCAGTTGGTGCATTGTGCAGCAGTATATCGAGAAGAAAAAGTTACATTTTTTATTTGTGAAACTTTTTATAAAGTTGACTTTTAAAAGCGATAGAAATGCCAGTTTTTTCAGAAGAACTGGCTACTTTATACCCCAGAAGCTCTTTTAATTTTCGAATAGTTGTTTGGCTACTCTTTGTGTGTCCTTCCCTTGCACAATTTAAAAGTTAGGTAAATCATTTGCTACTTCAAAGAATATTGATTGGTGAAAATAATTGAATTTTGATTGTTTTTATCAATGGATTTTTTATAGAAACGAGAGCATCAATTTTAATAAAACCTTTGAATGAGTTGACAATCAATGCTATTTAGATATATGATTAGCCTTCAATTGTGAAAAAGTCTTTTTTCTTTAGCTCTGACGTCATTGCGACAATGCTATGATGGGACACGTCGCAGCCCATGGAACGAAATTGAATGTGGTGATTACTATGCTAGAGCAATGGCTGCTTACCTCTACTTTGAAATTGCAACAGGCCAGGTATAAGTGTTGTACCGCTTTTATGCAAAATTAGGACAAACCCCCCCCCCCCCCCTCAAAAGATAATCACTACAATAGACCCCTTCCAGAATTTGATTTTTCCAGATTATCCTGTTGATTTCTTTGGTATACCACTAAAATGAAAATTATTGGTTGAATTTCAACTTGCAGTGGTATTTCCTTCCTTCTTTTTTTCGCAGATAATTACTTCTTTTCATACAAAAATTTCAGCACCTGTTTTGAATGCACGTGACGTTAAACTTGCCTTTTTTAGGCATTATGCCTGTGCATGATGCATCCAGACGATACCTAGTAAACAATAGTGGTTGCAATAGTTGCTTGAAGATCACATGAATGTCTGTAGCATTTTATGCTGTCATTTTTCATAACAGGAATGGGAATATGTTACTGAAACAGCTGTAAATGTGAAGTTTGCACCAAGGATTACCCCCGAGGCATTCAAAGGCTTCTTCATTCTTGGCGCAGCTTGGGGCCAATATTCCCAGATCATGGATTCCTCCAGAAAGAGCGGTGTTGCTAAGGTACGTGTTTTAGTAACAGACTTACCATTTTGGCATTTTACCGCAGCTAGTCTATTTCATGATCTACAATGAAGTCTTAAGTTAGGAGATTGTTAAGGACAAAAATTTCTGTCTGAATATTAACCTACAATTTGAGGAAAGACCGAGGAAAGCTCATTTGTTGCTCTTCATATAAATTTAACATATCGAAATAGCATTTAGAAAGCATGCACCGGGGCTTTTGCTGGTGAAATGGCTCATTTCGGCGAATGCTGGATACGTTCTTCAGGGGTGAAGGGAGTTATCCTGTAAGAACGATGTACGCCCTATCGCCCTGCTTTTCTAGCCCCTACACCGCCCTTAAAGGCTCCTAGGTTTTATGGCTGACAATTCCTTGCCGTCCAGTCGAAAAGGATATCATTTGTGTGCAAGATGTTAGATTAAGATTGTCAAGTTGAAGTAGCTCGCACTCTGGTCTCACTACAATACTTATAGTCGTACAATATTACCAATGATGTCATTTCATTACACCAGATTTTTGTCATTACTGGCTATGCTATAAACAGATGCAACACTACAAATTTCTGGAGTTTGCCTTCTTATTTAATCTGTGCACTTAAAACTCTCCCTCCCAAAGTACACTGCACTTTGCTCGCTTCCTCTCACAAAGGTCAGATGACATCGCCCTGCTTCTTCCATATACGTAGCTGCAACTATTTTGTAGATTCAAGTTCAGTATGGAAGCCTTGAGTTATCTGAGCTGCGACTGAATTCTTCAACAACATCGTGTCTGATGACGCTTGATGAAAAGGTTGTGTCAGATTTCAAGATCATTTCAAAGGTAAAGACACGTTTTCCCTTTACATCTATTGTCGTTTAGAATTTTCATTTATGTCAAATATAAACTTCAAATATAAAAATCTAAGCTGCACACATGCAGTTTAGAGGCGATCAAATTGTTTCCGATGAATGCCACTTTTAAATCTTAAAATGGTTTTTTATTTTAGGCTGTTTTAACAGGGCATAACATCATTTTAATGCTATGTGTGTGATGAATCGCATTTGACTTTTTCAACTTCCTCCACTTCATATTTGAAAGCATGTTAGACCATAACATGTTTCTGTAGTAGTAAAATCGCTCCTTGGCAGAAATCAAAAACGTAATTTGAGTAGGTTTGGAACACGTCCGAGGTCTCTGTATTTAGAAAATATACCGAACAATCACGGACTAGTTCACAGTTAAATGTTCATAACATTGAGCTAGATTTGTTTCTTTTTATATCTTTTATTTAGATTTTCCAATTTTCCCATCCACTGTTGTTTTTTGACTTCCCTAAATAAGGTATTTTATCTTTCCCGTCATCAACTTCTCTATTGATAGACAATTTGCTACTTTTATTAATTTCACATAATGACACATGTCATACAATAATTTACATTTTACAGGCAAAGGACGAAGTTTCTTTGCAGTTTCCAAAAACCCTTGCAATTCATGATGGACAATCACTCACAATCAATTTCCTTGGCTAAGGATTTGGTTTGTTTACGATTATCATAGAATTGGAAATAATGAAACATAACACATTTATCACTTTTATAAGTTAAATTAAATTTTTGTCGCGGTAATTTTTGACTTCATAATGTGTGATTAAGTAGTAAGTCATAAATATCTGTGGTAAGGCGTGGCTAAAAAAGTAACGTTTTTGCAAGGAAAAAGCTCTCACTGGCAAAAAGAGTATGAATGATTTTCAGGTGATAAGACCTTAAGCACTCGTAAATAATCTGCAATTTTAAGCTGTTGCTGAAAGTTGCGTGTCAGCTGTTTGTTAACAAGGCAACGATAGGAGAGCAGTATAACTCACTTAAGGTTTTGTCATCGCAACAGAGATCTGAGCTTCCTAACCTTTTATTGGCTGAGCAAAGAATATACATACGGTCTTTAGCCAACATGTCAAGCAATTAGATTTTACTGAAATATCGAATCGCTTCTAAACGTGCAGAAATTTAATTAGTGCAACCATCACATTTGTTGACGAGTATGAACAGGAATTGATTCGTTCTGAACATGCATAAAACGATGGCGAGGCTGTTACTCCGAATTTGTCATCCTCCCACCTAGTCTATGTCATGTGCTGAAGAAGCTGACTCAAAGTTATCCTTCTTGAATACAATTTAAAGAAAGAGTATTTAGGAGAAATGTTATCTAGTGAGTGTAAACAGAATCTTTTGTTAAATATTTTGTAAACAATCACCTACCGTTGAGTTCTAGATTTATTAAAATATATGTTAAATCAAATTTTGGAATCAATTATTTGCATTTATCACAACCATTGATGGGGCGTTTCCTTTCAGATCTCCTTCATTTTGAATTTTTTCCTTCATTGATTTGATAAATATTAGCTCTCATAAAACGTTTTTATGACAACTTGCTCTGAAAATGCCGACTTTCTCAAATTTATCACATTTCACTGCACTTTTGGTATTCAACACAGAGGAAGAATGATCATGTATCATTTGTTAAAACTCTATAGATTTGCCAACAAACAGTTTTGTAGTGGTGTTCCACGTGACGGCATGCAGCCTCCACAAAATGGCCCCAACGTAAATATAGAGTCTAGAAATGTCCTCAACTTTCTTCCGGTAAAATTTTTCCCCGTCAAAACCTTCCTCCAATTTTTCAAACAATCATCAGTCAAACAATCAACTTGGGCAGGGCGTGGCTAGGGAGTGGCTACGGCATAAGGGGTGACAGACGCAATAAATCGAGAAAAAGTTTTGTCTTTGGGTCGATGGTAATTATCGCATAGGATAAAACTTTGCTAGAATACCAATCATATTAAAGCTCAAGAGTAATTTTTCCTTTTAAAATGACGAATAATTAAATCGATGGAAACATGATATTATTTACATTGAAAAATTTCAAAACCATGAAACACGAACAGCATTCTCTTTTCAGATGTGTTTTCTGGCAGTAAAAAGGGCGTGGCCTAGAAATTTTGCGTCTTTTCGTGCCACCATTCACCATTCAACTCTGCGACAGATTCAACGCGTGTTTCAAAAGCGCAACAAAGAAACAAGTGCAAAATAAGTTGTCTCAATCATCTTTTGAAATTCTATTTTACCAAACCTTCCTCCAAATTTCTATTGTTTCTCAAACCTTCCTCCGGTCAATGACCGTGCGACCGTAATGTTTTCTGGACTCTGCGTGAATAATTTTGATAGCAAAACACAGGCACCGCGGAAGAGGGGGGGGGCTGGGGGGCTTTAGCTTCCCCACTTTTTGCAGAAAATGCCAAACATTAAGTAATAAACTACTAGTAAAGCCTCTTTTTATAAGGTTTTAGCCCTCCCCCCAATTTTTTAGACCCCCCACTTTACTCAACGCTACGCGGTGCTTGAAACACTACATGTCTGAAGCTTAACCAATATTCTTAAAACGCTGTAGCAAACTCAATTGTGCAATAGAAAAATGTATCTTCAAGCATTTATTTTAAACAGCAAAGTCAGGATACAGTTTTTCTTTTTGTTTGTTTTGTAGATTTCACGAACATGTAAAGTTTGCAAACTTTCCACTCTCATCATGGTCAAATCCCTTATAAAAATCCAGAACAAAGGAGTTTGAAGTATTTATAAAAATGACAGTAGATTGAAACAGCTTGTTTTGTATCACCCAATGTCCACAAGACCCTGAAAAGCATTTCGCTGTCATTTTGAAAGCAAATTATTGTGACTGTTTTTCCTATATATTTGTGGCGCATAAAATACTGATGAAGAAAAATTTGGACTTTGGATGTCCATTGTTTTTAAGCAGGCTTTGTCCAAATAAATAAAAAATGCACCAACCAGTTTCAAATATCATATAAACTAGACATCTTTGACACATCAATACCTTTCAATCTTCAAACTTTACACTAACAGCATTACTTGAATTTCTGCTTCTTGCATTTAGTTGATTTTATGTGATATGAGCCCAAAACTATGGCATCTTTGGGGTATGAAATTTCATTATTTATATTGATATCTGACAAATAATACCTCAAATTCTAATAACGGTGGAAAATGCAACTGAACTGCATTCTCTGTATTTAGAAGCATTCTAACTTATATCAGCTCAATGAACCCTTGTTACCCAAGTGTGTCATACCACCATCCTTTATTTGCTTTTACCCTAGAAATATCAGAAATCTTAAGGTTCAGGTTGACAAACTGTCAGATGAACCTCCTATATGTAAGGTCCCTGAAAACATCTGGGTAACCATCACAATAGCCATTAGATGTAAGATATTCAATAAAAAGTTATTATAATTCCCTACCATATTACATAAAATACCACTACTACTCCTTTTCTAGCAATCAGTCTGAACCATATAATTATTTAAGAAACTTGCTATATTAGTCAAGATACTGCACACCAAAGTTATCATATTATTGTTCCCTAATATGTTATTATCAAATGTTTGTTATGAGCATCATAACTTTGTTGGTAAACTGTAAAGATATGTTGCAGTGAGGACACCAGTTCCACCCAACATGAAATACCTGCAAAGACAAGTGAAAATTTGTCATGTAAGTAAACATAAAACATTTTCTGCTATGTAATACTGTGAAATGTGCCGAACAACAATGTTATAAAATTTATTCACCAATTTGGGCCTTTAATTCCTAAAATATTCTTGAATATAAGCACTATTTCAATCTTTGAAACTTTTATATTCTAGATTGAAGATCAGCAGCGTTTTTGGAACTGTTTTTTATTAAGAATGATACATAGCATGTGATCAAAATTGAATTGATTCCGTTTAAATGCAGACTTTCACCTTTTCCTTGCTGCCATAATAATATAATATAATATAATATAATATAATATAATATAATATAATATAATATAATATAATATAATATAATATAATATAATATAATATAATATAATATGATACAATATAATATAATATAATATAATATAATATAATATAATATGATATGATATGATATGATATGATATGATATGATATGATATGATATGATATGATATGATATGATATAATATAATATAATATAATATATAAAATCACAATATATTTGCATGTCGAAAAAGATTTCAATATCAAGAGACACTAGCAACAAAATCAGACCAGAGTCCGAACAGTAAAATGAAAAATAATAATATCTGGTTACTAAACTAGCAAGTTGATAGCAAATGATACTTACAAGCTTGGTTCAAAGTCACCAATGAAATAATATGAAATTATTGATGATAAAACAATTGATATTGATGTTGCAAAACCCTTAAGAATGTTATCAGCATATTTGACGACAGCTGCTACAAGTAATCCTCCATATGCCTAAATTGGAATAAGAAATTAATCAGAATTATTAAATAATATGGTGTTAGTGTGTTAATAATACCTGAATTGATGCATTTTATTTGTAGCTTGTTCATTGAACATTGTGGGCATCTATTAAAGACCTGGCTGACTTTTAGTGGTGAGGCAAAGATAGAACAAATATTAAGATAAGTATGGCTGGCTTTGTATTAGCATTCATAACTGTCAAGAATTGGTTGCTTGATTAAGAGTTTCTAATAATTGACCAAGTGTAGCATTAATACATTCATATCATAATAGGTAAATAACAGGTAAAACTATATGGAAATCACAGTATTGCACAAACCTGTAGGAGAATAACAAACCAAGTTGAAATAGTATAACCTTGGAAAAACCCATGTTCTTTAACTTTTGAGAAATCATTTATCAGAACACCAAGAATTCCAAATAATATTCCATAACATGCTGCAAAAAATATTTTCTAATTAACAAACAGATAAATTTCAGGAGCTTGTGCATCCTAGGAAACTGTATCATTGAAAAACCAAAAAAGAAAGGTAGCTGCAAACATTCAGACAGGGTCTAACAGTCTGACATAAACAGATACAGGTGTCTATTCAGTCAGTGCAACTCATCACAATTTTTTTAAATTGTTATTCAAACTTTTATGACAAATCAGTCAACAACATATTAAAGAAAACATGGTAATAATTTTATAAATCTACTACAAAACACAATATTATTTAACAGAACTATTTTGTGCAATGTTTTGAACACAAGCAATGCTTTAACAAGCTTAATTAAAATCAAAGAAAGATTTTGGGTAGTAGAGGAAAGGAAATCAAAGTCATCATCAACTGTCAAGGGTCAGTAAAGTCATCATTACCCAATAAGATAAAACACAAACAAAATCTGTAAGTATCAATATTTTGAAGTGCTAAAGCTTTTCTTTCACATCTTTAACTTTTGGAGATATTGATTATAGAAGTACTTTGTATGATACTGAGTAAGTTCAAACTCATCCTCTATCAAACAACAGATATGAGAGTTCAGTATGATATTCATTTCTCAGTTATTAGAAATGTCCAAAAAAACACTCTTTACCCACCAAGCAAAATGTTTCTCATCCATAATGAAACTGTGCTGCCTTTTAGCAGCTTCTCAAAATAAACGCCTGCAAATCCACTAGAAAAACATGCAGTTAAAACAGCTATCAATCCCATTAATTGAGTGGACATGCTTCTCTCCTTCTTTGAAGCTTCATTTTTGCTGCCACTGGGCATCTGCAAGTCAGAATAGTGTTTTCAAAACATTGAACTGCTAAACGTTTTACTGTGCAGTTGTGCTATTCTTCTGCCTCCAAATATAAATTAAATGTGAAGGAGATAATTGCCAAATATTTATCGCATACGGGAAGCAATGTTCTTGTCAGATGCACTGTTAATGTACCAAAAGATTTTGAATGAGAGAGAGAATGCCACTCCAGAGCACATTAACATTGGAACAGGCCAAGTATTTTAGAAAGAATGAAAGTTTGATTGAATTTCCTATAAGCTTTCACATTTTTAAATTTAAGAATGTAGTTTCATAAGATCCCAACCCTGTTGCGAAATCCAACCCCTAAGCCACATCACTCACCAACACACACCTCTTTTTAGCTTCTGGTAACATATTTGAAATTATCAATTTTGGTATTAGGGGGAAAGCACTACAGTCCCTTAATTGGAAATAGTTTTTCATTTCATTTCATATTTTGATCAGCCCACAGAGTCAAATATTTGTCCATCACATCTGTCAATTTTTTGCCGTTTTATCTATTTGGAAAAAACTGGTAATTTTTTTTGTTTCTAAATTGCAAGTTAATAAAATAATGCATATATCAGTTAGAAAAACCATTACAACTTTTACACACCTGCACAAGAGCTACACCAAGCATTAGAATGACCAATGATATCCATTTGAGACGAGTCAAGTTTCTACCTAACATTACAACTGAGAACATTGCAGTTGTTAATATTTTGAGCTGATATGTGACCTGTAACAAAGTAAATCATGAAATTGGGCATTTGTTCAGAGGCCTATTGAAAATAAAATGCGAAAAAAGAATAAAATATTGGCAATAACACTTAGCAAATCAGAGACAACTTTTTTAATTGCGGTAACCAACCATAACCATGGTACACAATAAATATAGATATTAAAAGAATTTGTGGTATGTTGGTAATCAAGGAGCATACAGGCGGAAGAAAAAATTCGACGAATTCGCAATCTACTCCCGACGTTTACCTGATAGGTTGCTGCATCTAAACATGATAAAGCCAAAAACAGGAGATTGTTTTGAACTGTGTACAAGATCGCTGGAACCGTCAACTTTACACTATCACTCCACTTGTCAAAAATCTGGTCTTTAAGTTCTCTTGATAACCGGTTTACATCATTCTGAGCATGGCGAAAGAGAACTGCAAGGCATGTTATCATCTTTATTGCCTCCGATAAAACAACTGCTGTGGAAGAAAGATACATATGTCCACTGCTCGACGCATGTTTCCTGGAGTACCGTAGTGTTAGCACCATTGTCGATGTCTGAATCACCAAAACAAACAGGCAAAGGTACTTGAGGGGAATAGTGATGCTACGTGTCACTAGAACAAAATAAACAAATTTTGTTGAGAAGAGCATTAAAATCTAATTTAACAAAAATGCAATGAATTTCCAAAGTTGTGAGATTGGGTTATTTGCCCCTGAGATGAAACGGGACTATTCAACAAACAGGGAGACGCGCTCATTGCAGTGGTAATGAATAAGAATAAAAACTTACCCCTGAAAGAGGGCACAGCTCCTTTATCGTCTCCTATAGTTGTCATGTCCTTGGTTAGAACTGTCAATCCCTGTTCGTCAGTTTAAGGGATCTTGTTCTGTATCTCACTTTCCACAGCCAACAACACTCTACCTGGAAACTGAATTGATTTTCCCAATGCAATTCAATCCACAACAAATGTTGTGTTTGCGGCCAGAATTCTATGGAGTCATGTACTGGACATAATGGGTACCTTTGTTTCGTCGAGGCGATTGTCTGATCGTCGAGGCGGGTTTCTCTTCGTCGAGCCGGGTTTCACTTCGTCGAGCCGGTCCTGTATCGTGAAAGATGTCGTTTCGTTGAGGCGGGTTGCTCTTCGTCGAGGCAGGATTGATTAATCGTGACAGGTCTCGCTTCGTCAAGGCACATGTCACTTCGTCGAGGCATTGAATTGAATTGATCACTTTCATGTAGTCGAGTCGTGTTCCAGGGGGTAGTGGTTTATAGCAAGGAGCGAAAAGAGGCGGGGAGAGGAGGAGAAGTGTCTTGAAATTATTTTTGATGAGCAGCTTGATGCCTATCTTGCAAGAAACGTCGTGTATTTTGATGACAGATACTTCCTATTGTAAGCCGGGACACAGATTACATACTGACTGATAAATATTTGGTCCTCAATTTGCTTTTATCAAGTTGGTTACAATTTCCGTTAGGTAGTTTCGTTTTTATTAAAAGTACCTAGTAGTCGGCCTAAGTAAGCTGTAAAATAGCCATATTCGTTTTTAGTAAGCTGTAAATAAAGAAATAATTACGAGATGGTGATACACCCTTTTTTAATGAGAATGTTATAAAATATTTCCAGCTTCAATATTCTTATGATATTTTTGTTTTGACCCTGAATATATTCTGTCGGTATTCTTATTTTTTAAATCTGAATATAAACGCTTTTTCAAAACGCTCACTGGGGCCCCCCTCACTCTATAAAAAACCACGCTTTTTGAAAAACGAGATATAGATAGGTCAGTTCTACGATTCAATGCTATGAAAATCTCAAAACAGGCAAATGCTGAAAAATTAGGCATAAATATGCTGAGACTGAGCAATATTCTTAGAATATTCCTATAAATTGGATGATTCTGAGTTTGAATATTTTTACGAACAATGTTCTTGAAAAAGAAAGTGTTGTGGAGGGTGAGTCAGTGGCATAACACAGTTTAGGGCCGCCGATTCTAAAACGAGGAACAAGCTGAACAACCCAGTAACAAGCGGATCAACTCTCAATTTCACCTCATTCTTGTAAACTTTTTATAAATTGCGTCAACTGAAGCTTCTTTTTCTCAAGCTCCAAACTCAAATTCATTTAATATTCAGCAACCATTTTACAAAATTAGAAGTCAATAAAGTGTCGATTAAGATAATTAACAATTTTAACAGCAATTAACATGTTAACAAAAAAGTTGCCTAGGATGTTGGGAGGAACCGAAACGGTGTTCGAGCCCAAGCCCTAAATTTCAGTGAATACAGTAACATGATTATAGTAAAAGTGAAAATGATTTATAATGACAATGTTCTAGGTATTAAACATTACAACTTGTAATACAAGATGATATGAATTCGAGTTTTACATTTCAAACAGTAACAGAAAAGGGCCGGCGAAACGTATTTGAAAGTGGAGGGGCCAAAAAATCAAGGTTATGAAAGGTTTTAGGAAAGGCCACCATGGTTGGCGGCAAGAAAAAATTTAGAAATATGATATTTAAGGTATGGCCAGAAACAGTATCTAAAAATGGATTATGACTGAAGGAAAATCCGAGGAAATATTTTCAAGCTTTCTTTTATCAATGTGTCGCATAATTTCGACTATTGTAATGTTGACATGTAACAGGAAAGTTTTTGCAAATTTTTGGAGTAACCTTTTAATTGTAGCTCGTAATCAAGCTTTTTAGATCTAAAAAGGGCCCAAAAAGGGGCCACGATTAAATGAAGGAGAAAAAAAGGAATCAAGCTTTAACAAAACCATCAACATTGAAATATCAAAAGAATCTATGTCAACTCAAAATTAAAGATTATGCAACAAAAATTCTTCATTTCTCGTATTCTCAAAAATTTTCTTTCCAGCAGTTTCTTTCCTTCTACAGTTTTTGAGAAATTTCCTGCCAACAAATAGACCTTAGGAGCGAAGTTTAGGCTACCACTGGGACAATGACCGACTTTTTCTACCAAATTCCCATTTTCAATTTTCTTTTTGTCCTCTTTGGTAAATACATAGTTACCAAGCTTAATCTAAGGTCATTTTAAAAATATTACCAAGTATACTTCAGGCACCGTGGAGCGCTGAGAAAAGTGGGGGTCTAAAAAGTGTGGGGTAAAAACAGTATAAAAAGAGGCTTTACTGGTAGTTTGTTACTTAAAATTTGGCATTTTTTGCAAGAAGCTAAAGCCCCCCCCCCAGCCCCCTGCTTCGCGGTGCCTGCACCTACTTACAGAATGGTATACTAGATTTCTTTCCACTTTACCTCAGAAAAAATTATTCTACTCAGCAGAAAGGTGAAGGGGCCATGGCCCCCGGCCCCCCTGTTTCACCGGCCCTGCAGAACAATTATATAATGATAAAGATAAAAATTACGACAAAATAAAATGAGGAATGGGGTGTAAAATAAAGAGAAAAGAAAGAAAAATGGGGAAGGGGGACTCTTTAGATTAGTAATGAAGAAATCGAATATAGATTTTTTAGGTTCACATTTCATTATATATTTGTAAAAGCCAGTTGCGAAGCTATTTCTGAAATGATATCTTGCTTGACTTAGTACGAAGTTCCAATGAAATCTCGTTCCATATTTTGATTTTATAAAATATAATGTTAAGCCAATACGTTTGCACTACTTTTTTGACAAATTAAGAACAATCCAGGCCTAAAAGTTGGGAAAAAATTAAAGAAAGCCTGTCTAAATTTGAATTTACTTGTTCTTTAAAAAAGAGTGTGATTGGGATATTTGTGAAAAAATTATTCGAAAGCTCCTGGGACTCTTTAGAAAATCTTGAGCTGGGCCCCTTTGAACAAACTTCATGCTTCTTCGAAATATTCTTTCGTGTTTAGAAGGACGTAAACGCCACTTCCCCATGGCTTCCAGCTGCTCAGATGGGCATCCAGTTGCTTAGCAAAAACAGTTTCAAGACACTTCTCCTCCTCTCCCCGCCTCTTTCCGCTCCTTGCTATAAACCACTACCCCCTGGAACACGACTCGACTACATGAAAGTGATCAATTCAATTCAATGCCTCGACGAAGTGACATTTGCCTTGACGAAGCGAGACCTGTCACGATTAATCAATCCTGCCTCGACGAAGAGCAACCCGCCTCAACGAAACGACATCTTTCACGATACAGGACCGGCTCGACGAAGAGAAACCCGCCTCGACGATCAGACAATCGCCTCGACGAAACAAACGTACCCATTATGTCCAGTACATGACTCCATAGAATTCAAAGGCTCGTGGCCGTAAGCTTCTCCCCATGAATCTCGACCCGCGCGAGGTCAATGACAAATCAGGTTCTCTTCACTGCCAAATCTCTATTTCCCACGGGTTAAAAGCTGCTTTTAAATGGGCATCGGAACTGGGGTTACCAAGGATATGTGCCTTGAAATTTAGGGATAATGTCGCTTTTTTAGCACTATTATGTTCACAGCATTTTGATCTTCGAGTCGTCCTTTTTAATCGCCCCTTGTCCCTTTCCAGTCGATTTTTAAAATGACAACGCTTGTGAATGGATCCCTGATTTGAGTATACAATTCTTTATAGTTTTAAAGTATCATATGGATGCATATTGTTGTCTATTGAATAATTTTTTTCTTAATCTTTCATTCGTTTCTGAAATTAGAAAGCTGAACGTATTACACTCTCTCTCGTCAAAAATTTCCTTGTCTCTTTGACTTCTTCTTACATCATGGCCCTCAAGATTTTGCCAAAACAATAATAAATTGGTGGGGGCGGCGAAGATTTTATCTTTGTTTGATGATTCTGCTGCTTGAGGAAAGATTGGGAAGAAACGAAGCTTATATATTTTTACATATATATTTTACAACCTAGTATGAGCCAGGAGCTGAGCTTCTGTCAGTGCTGCCTGGCCCTGCTGTCTATAAATAGAGCCATAAAGCTCAACGAAGCCAGTTTTATCGACAGATTTGATAAGGCAATGGCCAGGGCCGTCGAGAGCTAGGACAGGCCCCTGGACAACTAAAAGAAACGGGCCCCTTTTAAACTTTTTTAATTTTCAAACAAGATATTTTTGATCATTTCAAGTAGATTATCAAAAACGGAAAAATTTGCCATTGACTAAGCTGAGAAGTTCTAAAATGTCTTACACACTAAAATACATAACTTTGAGTCTTCGCTTTAATATCATTACAAAATATAACAGAATAAAACAGGTTCAATTTTTTACGGGCCCCCAAAAAGGCCTGGGCCCCGGGGCAGTTGCCTCGGCTATCCCCCCCTCCCCCCTCCCCCCCCCTCTTGGTAGTACTGGCAATGGCAAACAAGTATAAGTTGGTCAAATTTTCGCTAGTTATTAATCTGTGTTTCATACAATGTTCTGTTATATTTTGAATGTTGTGTCTTGTTGTTATCTGCAGTGTACAACAAGTAATCTATCTACTTCGTGTCAATAGAAAGCTGGCTTCAAAAGAATGGCATTATTGGGTATCTAAAGGCCTTTCACGGTTTACGATCACTGAGGCTCTGGTACTTGGTACCTAGGGTAGTAGGTTCCTAACCGGCTAGCCTGCCCTTGTTTTCCCAGGACCCTCAGATTTCTGGTAGCGCAAATGGACAACGTTTTTGAATTGAACTATAGGCTATCAACCCTTAGCTGCAATTGCTAATAAAAATTTATCTTATTTCAAAAAAGAGACACTGTGGTACGTAACATAACTTGATGCTGCTTTGCTTTAGCCCCCCACTTTTTGCAAGCAGTGCCAAATATTAAGTATCAAACTACCAGAAAAGCCTCTTTTTATACGGTGTTAGCACCCCTCGCCCCCACTTTTTTTAGACCCCCCCCCCACTTTTCTCAACGCTCCGCGGTGCCTTCCTTCTTGGGAATTTTTACAGTACCTGCCTTTCAACTTCGTCGGAAAAACTCTGTCAATTGCTCCGATACATTCATCTTCTTACATGGATAATATAACCTACCAACAGAGAGGGAATCTGTAGAAAATGGCAAAAATCAACCAATTCAAGTAGAATTATTCGTCCATATTTCAACAACCAGGGACGGCAGAGTAAATAACAGATCGAGGAGTGACCAACCAAATAATTATTTTCGGGGGGGGGGGGGTTGAGGAGCTAAACAAGCGAGGTACAGTGTTGAAACAAGCTGCAACCACGCGCAAGGATGTTTTTGTACGGATTTAGGTACGTTTTGAAATTTATTGCGGGCTAAGCCCCTCAGCCCCACGCACATGCGGTCCCTGTTTCAAAACACATTGAACAAAAGGGTTTGGTTTCATAAGGGTAAATGAAAATTCTTTAAACCTATTATTATTTTCATTTGAATGGATAGACCTTGTTACAGATTAAAAAGCTACATAATGGTTAAATTAAGACAAAAAAGGAAAATAACTTACAACTAAAGAAGAAACGGAGACGGACAAAGCTAGTTTCCAGACCTCTATCCCTCACTTATGGAAAGTGGTTCAAGGCGGGATTTTGGAGATTTTAGCTGCTGCATTTCACAGAAATGTCTGGAAAGCTTAAAGTTTCTGATGGCGACTGGGTGTGTGGAAACGGAGAGTAAGTTTGCTTTGAGGTTTTCTTCCATATTCTCCTTATCCATTTTAGTAAACATGTTACCTCAGTTACATTTTAAAGTGACCGGGTAAATTGCCTAGGCCTTATAAGGCCCATCAACAGCAATCCAATAGACAAAGACAATGAGGACAGAACGGACTTTATTAAGTGTCCTGCTCGCACGATTTGAGAGAAAATAATTTATATTGTAAAAAAATCTTTTGGGAGCTCGGGAGATGGTTTCTGATACATACGTTTATGTAGTTTTTTAATAGAAACGCGGGGAATGGGATGCAATTTGGTAAAAAGAACTATAAATAAACTAGAGGCTGGGCATGGGCAAATAGTGAAACTCAAAGCCACAAAGTTAGAGAAAATGTTGGAATTATTATAAACATTAATTATTATCCTTCAAGTATATCAATCTAAAACTTAAAGTTGGAAATTTTTGGAAAGAATTCAGTATGCAACAGTTTGAGTTTATATAGTATTTAACCTGAAGTATATCATGAATTGAAGGGAGTATAGGGGCAAGGGATAAATTTGCTGCCTCTGATTTGGCTTTGTCCTGCTCACAAGTGTGAAAAGGAAACTTTCCAACCTCTTAAGTATCTGTGAGATGCCATGCTCTGCTTTTCTTCTTTTTTTAGGTGTGGCAATTTGAACTTTGCAAGAAGATCAGAATGCAACAAGTGTGGAGCAGGTAATTAAGTCATTTCTCTTCAAAGTATATATACACTCATTTTTTTTATAAGAAACTGGCTATAAGAAACAAGTATTGGACAGTCAGAAAAAATTAAGAAGCTTCAGTACTCGAAGCAAAAAATTGAGAAACTATTAAATCAAGATAAAACTGAGAACAAGGAAATTTTGTGAAATCAAAGAACATGATTCCCACAATGGCTTAGAAATTAAGACACAAGGGATAAAAATGTACTGCCCACATCTAAAAACAGTGTCGGAATGGAAGCAAATCTCTTGGCGTGAAAAAAAAGTCACAAACATTTCATAACATCATTCATGACATCATTAGTAAGAAACTCTTAAGAAACTGCGAATATTGAAATTTCCAGAACATTAAGAAACTGGAGTACTCAACATCGACCTTTGTTTCTTATAAAAAAATGAGTGTATATATTTACAGTCCTGGTAATATTAGGTGTGCGATCGCGTGCTATGCCTCCACAGGCACCTAAAACTCTCGAGGCATGCTTTCCATTGCACGCGCAGTTCCAAGTTTTGAATTACTATCCTTTTCTCTTTTGTTTCTTTTAATTTCTTGCTTAATTTCTCTAAAGTAATTTTTTAATTTCTTTTGTGTGAGTTATATTTGTGTGAGTTGAATTACTCTGTTATTCCTTTACCCCGTTATGGTCTCCATTCTCTCTCTACAATCTTTTTGTATTTTGTTGAACACATTACCCCGGGCCACTCTTTTTTGGTCAAAACGGTAACATAGGTGTTTCCATTACTCCATATTTATTCATTCTCATATCCTTTGCTTGAGCTTTTTTTTAAACTGACCTTTTCCAATGCCTCTGTCTTCACAGTTCCCAATAAAACGATGTGTATTCAAATTATTCGTTTTTGGATGACTCTACTTTGAACAGTATTTTTGAATAACTTTAATTTGGAATTAAATGACCTTTTGGTTTTACAAAAACCTATTATACGCTTTTTCAAACAGTGATACACAACACACCTTCTAATACAGAGATGACATCAGGCCTTCATGAAAATCGTAAGGTTGCCAGTTTATGGTCTGCATCTCATCACATGCCTTGGCGTGTGTTTACCAGCACGCCACCAAATTTCATATTTCCAGGACTGTATTTATATTTTTGCAATTATAACAGGATTTCTAATAATTGGTGTATAGTGGGAAACTCTGAGAAACAATAAAGAATTTATATAACCTTTGTTTTTGTCTCAATAAATGTATATATATTATACTTATCAGATATTACCCAAGATTTAAATCACAGGCTAATATGGAAAAATATATATAATCAAGTTTTAGATTCCATTTAAACCGTATAAGCCCCCAAAATCATTCTCATTAATCATTTTATAGTTGAATCCTCCCAGCCAATGTGATTACATATGCTCACTAAGTCCAAATATAAACACTTCCAAATAGTTTCAAACCTTTTTCACCTATTTCCAAATTACCACTATATCTAACCTTAACAGAACCAATATATATTGCTGGAATCTCTATGACTATTAGAATTTTGACATTCAATAAAGGTTACACATGTATTTATACATAATTGAAATAATTTTTTAAACTTTCTGTTGGATATGTTGTTTGATAATTTTTGCTCAATAAATGGGTAGATGTTTATATGCAGAATTTTATAAGAGATGTTAATACAGCTTGAATTACATTTCAGCAAAAAGCAATGCCTCCCAAGTTATTAAGCAGTCTGGTTCTGAAATAGGAAAGAATTTTGCCTCAAAAAGTAAAGGACTGTTCAGTGCTGAGGACTGGCAGTGCAGCAAGTATGATTTCCTTTTGCTTGGGATTTGTTATTTTGTTTCAATGATGGTAAACTGTAAATAAACGAAACCTTTGATTGGTATGTTAATGTTAAAAATGTTCACCGTATGAAACACTGATACTGAATACAGTCTGTCCAACAGGACTGCAGCTAGACTTTCTAATGCAATTTTTGTTGGTGCACTCTATTTACATGTGGACTATTGGACTAAAGCTTGCTTTCTGTGCCAAAAACCTCATTGGTGCTCTTGTTAATGATTTTCTGTTTTTACTTTCTTTCAAGATGTAGCAACATCAACTGGGCTAGGCGAATGACATGCAACCTTTGCAATGCGCCAAAGCTGAAAACTCAAGAAAGCAGAACAGGTTTGCATCCTACTTGATAATGTTTTGTCCTTTTATCTGTTGAGACAACTTCAATTTCACACAAGCTTAGGCCCAATCTGCACAAATACAGATCTTTATGAATCCGCAAATTTTTCTTTGTGGATTGGGCTTCCATCCACAAGTTTTCAAAAAATTTGTTATCACCAGGCTTGGTCATTTGAGGAGAACCATAGCTCCTGCTCACCTCCTAGCTCTCCTCAGATGCTGGATAGGAGCTACAGGTTGTTCTCCTAAATTGCTTTAAAGAGCAAATTGCTCTCCTTGAAATCAATTTTCCCTTGTTTCTATTCTTATTAACCTATAAATTGCTCCCCTGGAATTAACCTTCAAATAGCTCTCCTGGAAATTACTAAAAATGCTGTTTACTGCTCCCCGGCTAAACATCTTATTGCCAGGCCTGCTATTTGCAGAGTGGAAATTTTTGAATGTGCTTTGAATCTGATAACATGGATGCTTCAATCTGGAAATTTTCTAATATGATGGTGCATGCTCTGCAGGCCTTCCTGGAAAAAGATGGAGTATTGAAAAGCTTTTTCAACCCACTAACAACTGCCAAGCGGGAAGTGTGTCCACCATAAATTCTAATCTTTGGGCTTGCTTGCCTAAGGCTTGACAAGGGTTATCCCAGTCAAAGATACCCTAATTCAATTTAAAACACACCTTGATAAGTTTCCAATTTTTTTATTCAAACACTTTTCTAAAGAAATGATTAATAACATGACGTTATCAACTACTGGACACATCTTTCTAACACACACTACTTTCAATATTACCTCTGGCTTACCTTGCTTTAGTTAAAACCACATATTTTTTTGTTAAAATTGTGGGAGAACTGATGAAATGAGTTGAGAAATGAGGTTTTATCGCTTTATATACTATGCAACTGAGCTTTTTTAGAAATCAGGCAAAACATCAAAAGCACTCCATCACACTCCTACCACAGTCTAGGAGTGCAAAATGCCACACTTGTGCCAATTTACTCCCAGGATGGCCTGCTCTGAAAGAAATATTCACAAAGGAGCTGTGAAAACAACAGTGAATCTGGATAACTGAATTCTATTTGAACACACCATGTGTAGACATGAAAATTTTTTAATCTGCCAAGAAAAATTAAAGAATTCAAAAACATCTACATACATGTGGACGGGGCCTTACACAGAAATGGAGCAAGCGAGTTTCAACGATTGGTTTCTAATTTGTCCATGCCTAAATGATATATATAGAATTCTAAATGTCTTGTAGTTTACTAGGGATGCACTTATGTTTCTTGGGTTGCTTTTTGTATTGTTTTTTCCTTTCTGTTCTATGCAGGTATAGGTGGAGGCTTTATGGAGCGTGACAATGTGGAATACATAGAAAGAGAAGAGTCTGATGATGAATATGATGAGGTGTGGAAATAACATTTTTAACTTTAAGGCATATACTTTCATTTCGTTTTCTGTCATTTTCAACACAAATGCTTTTGAAGATTTATATTGTAGATCTGACGAGGTTTTGTCAGTTCTAAATATAAATGATTTTTAATGGACTCTTGGTTGGGTAAAAAACACAAGGAATTTTCCAACCATAGGCTAGTCAAGATAGACCAATTATTACCCAGAAATGGGCAAAGGTACCGTTTATGCAGTAGCTAGTCTTGCAAAAACCAACTACAAAGAAGCTAAGCAATGGATGATGTTAAGCGCACTTTGCTGTAATCTACTAACCTTCCCTTTTTATGGAGGCTTGCTATAATTTAGGTCATATTATGGTGTCTACCCCCTTCCAATTGGGTTTCTCCACAGCTCCTTTACTTTTTGTATCCTTGTTTAGTGAGGATCTCTCAGTTTATATTTACACAGCTAGGAACACAAGCCTGAAGTCTATCCAATCTTTCAAAATATTGTTTAAATTAATGACTTCCTTTTTATCAATAAGTGCAAAAAAACTGGTCTTGCTAACATAAATCTACACTGCGTAGATCAGCATACAATAATTATGCGACACCAATTTAATTCACTTTCTTGGTGAACCAGCATATGAGTGACAGTGCAAAAATCTGTAATCATTTTGGCCAATAGCTGTGCCACAGACCATCACACTGGCGAAGTTATCTGCAAACTTGTCCACAGTATTCTTGTGTAGGATGAAAGATGATTCACCGCCGTCTAGAAGAGATCATCTTGGAACCCTGCTAGCAACAGACTGCTCAGGGGTTTTGGCATTCCATTTACAAGCTGTTTGGTTGGCATCTGAATATCATTGGTTTTTTTGCTGCTGGTACCACAAGTGACGTCATAGTTAATTTCACTGTCTTTTCTCATTGGCACACATCACCTTTTTTTATCGTGAAACATTTTGTTTCTTATCAGTTTGGGCGTAGAAAAAGGAAGTTTCGTGGACAAGTTCCGGCACCTCAGCAGAAGGTGGGTAGATAATGTTGATGTTTTTGTAATCGAGTTGTAGAACCTTATTGTCTTAGTGGTTGCTCCTATCCTTGCTCCTCATTCTCCATTTTTTCACCAAAACCATAACGATTAATAAGTGTTATCTAAATCTGAATTGCTCGACCCTTTTACCGCTCGTAATATGATTTATTTCCATTTTTGTCCCTGGGCGAGAGATCGCAATTTTCCAACTAGTACTCAGGCTCAAGAGGAGGCTTCCATCCAGATTTCACTTGCTTTAGATGATAGCCTTTTGTCTAATATGTCGATTAATTGTTCCCTGAGTCGTAGACTTTTTGTTCTAAGCAGTTACCTTTCCTCCTTTGTGTGAACAGGACGTTGGAGGTGACTCTAAAGACAACGAGGTTAAGGTGAAAGAGGAAGAGGAAGATGATGATGATGATGATGATGAAGATTTCGATGCCTCCAAATACGACCTCAGTGCCTCTGACGTAAGTTAACCTAAGGCGTATTGACAAAATTGAAACTTGAGGACTAAGGTTCTCTATTTGCAGTATTTTACTTGGTTTTAATTGCTGAGTTACTTAATTGTGTCGGCCTTTGACTATTGTTTTTATCTTTTGTTTTTTTTTCAGGATGACGACGGAGATTCTAAAGACACGAGGTAAGTCAGCTGCATTCCTGAAATTGTGTCACCTTCTTCGCAGTATTTACCGCCATAAATGTCCAGCCGACAGTATCTCCCACAACACAAGCCCCAATTCAGGATTAGATCTTCCACACGCCTTGTTCTGTACATCTCTCAGTCTTCCTTTCGTCCTTCAATGACCTTCAATGTTGGCTTCAAAATTGTTGATACAACCCCGTTGATGTTGGAATCTGTATGCCTTAACAATTACAGCATTCGACATCTCCATTAATCTCATTGTTATAGTTTTTCCCCACTTTAAATAACCCTCTGCTGAATAAGCACCCAATGGAAAACATTTCCTGCATAATAGCAACCATGGGGCTATTCAATGATTAGTCTTCTATTTATGCTTTGGAGGGCAATTAATAGTTATGCGAGTAAGATGTGCTCTTTAATGATCTTTAGCTTTAGTTTGTTGCCAATGACATCATTATTTGCCATTTTCATTATTATTCAATTAACTTATAAGTTAGGAGAAATGTTTGTAGGTTCTTTATAGATCTTTATACAGTTACTCAGGTTGAATACCAGAAATAGAACATAAATGCAAGTTCGCGAGTTGGTAGTTTCGATACAGGTTCAAACGAAAACATCTTTTTGACGAAAAATTTATCTGTTTTTTCAAGTGTTGGGACACCTAATCTGTTTAACTCTGTAGAACTGCGGTTCTGTTACCAAGTCTGAACTTTAAATTTTAAAATCTTAGTTTTTTACCAGTTATCTATTTTTACAAGTTGGGTGTTATCAATTCAGGGGTAATCGAAATTAGTTAGTGATAATAAGAATGTATGAATTTTATTTTTTTTCAGCAAATCAGACGAGCGGAAAAGGTATGAAAAAATAAAAATTAATTTTTTACTTATTATTTTTATTTATTTAGCAGGCTAAAATTTGCAGCTTTATTGTTATTTAAATTATACATGTAAATAATGATAGGGGATTCACATTTAAGGAGGGCGAAGATTTGAGAGTGCTACTGAGTGAAGTAATATCTGGAAAGAAGGGGAACGCAAGTTAGTTTTCTGCGAAAAATTTATGAGACCACTAAGCGTTGCATGAACAAATAGCAAAGCTAGTATGAGAAACCCGACACCTGACGTCATGTTTCATACACACTTAAATAACCTTGTTTGGCTCAAGCCCCATCATGGAACATCTCCAGTTATCCATATTTTCTTCGCGTCTGTTAAAGGGGCACTGTGACAGCGCTTGGGTTATGGTTTGCTTCAATGCTGTTAATGAACGAAAGTATTATGTTGAGTTTGGAGGAGACAAGTAAGACAAGTGTTAAAGTAACTTTGTCGTCGTTAAAGTGATCAATTTGAAATTCGTTCTGCAGACGCCATTCATCCTCGAGCTCAAGCAGATCCTCTTCATCGTCATCCAGCTCGTCATCAAGATCAAGGTGCGTTGTGTAATTTACGTTTCACCTGAACAGCATACTAATTTTAGAATCTGTTGTATTTGCTATATAAATCTGCTTTCAGTTTGCCTTCTTCTTCACTTCTTCTTCACTTCTTCTTTTTCACTTCTTCTTTTCTTTTTTCTTCTCTTTACTACTCTTTTTTGCTTATAAATCTTCTTCAGCGTCAGTATCCTCATCATCACCATCATTTTTTCTTCCTCTTTCCTATTCTTCCTTCCTTTGCAGCTTCTACTTACCATTCTCTTATTCAAAATTTTCAGTATTCATTCTACCCTTTCCATTCTGAGGCTTTCAAACCAACATTTTCATTCCTTGTCCTCTGTTTTCTTCATTTTTTGTTTTCGCGTCTTTCTTTCTCTCTTGTCCCAATTTCTTTCCTTTAGATCTTTGCACTTAATCTTAGAATTTGCAAGAACTCTGAAACGTTGAAAAAAAACCTTATTAGATTTGAATTTTTTCTGAATGGCCTATACGAATCTGCAAGCAAAGCCCATGTATTTGTTTCTGCCTTAGGCTAAGATAAAGTCTATTCCATAACTTTAAACCGGCCTGGAAGTTTGGCGGAAACGCTCGTTTTCTTACTCTGGCATTTCCCCAAACTTAAAATGGCGATTACGATCAATAAATGCATTTTCGGTATTTTCAATGTTTTCTTTGTTTCATGGGTCTATTTTCTGAATTTTCTGATTTCGATCGCCCATGCAATAACTTTCTAATGTTCGATCAACTTCAAGGTATACAACACACCTACGGGCTTCACTACAATCATTAACTTATTTACAAATTTCAAAATAACCATAAGTTTTCATCGTTTCCGACATTAAAGCATCGTTTCTGCAACTCGAAATGACGGAACAAAACATCGTTCCGTCGTTTCTGCAACTTTTCAGTCAGGTTAAAGTCTGCTAGCTCTTTTCCCTAAATGCTGAAAATTTCCATGCCTGGGACATGGTGTTAAGTTCTTTGACAAAGCTGTAAACCTTTGATTACATATAGAATTATGGTTTCCATATTGAAGTTTGTATCCACATTTTTAGGAGCCGGTCCCGTTCAAGCTCGAGGTCGTCAAGGTCTCGCTCCCGATCTGGATCTAGATCGAGGTCACCAAAACGAAGCAGACGCTGAATGATTGAGTGAAGACATCACGTGGATGGTCGTGTAAGAATCAGGGGGCACAAGCCATTGAATTCCCAAGCATCGGGATATTTCAATATTCTGCTGTATCGTTCAGTTGAAAAGCATCTAGGTCTTTCGGTATTAGGTATTAGGTACGTTTGGCCATTGCTCCAGTCGGAATATAAGTATGTCAGTGACTGGAACAACAAAATACCTGGAATTTTATCCAATGGGGGTATTTAAAGAAGTCACGATCATTCAATTAGGTTTTTGTAAAAAGCAAACTTGTTTAACGAAAGCTTGATCGCTAGTTAACCAGCCCCCGTTTTAGACAATTTTCGAAAACAATATATCTTGTCAAAAATTTTTCAACCGTTTTCCTTTTCGCTGTAGAAAAATTCTTCTCTTCTCCATCTGCAACAAAAGGCGAAATAGTTTACCAAGATGCGGTCTCCTTTGAGAGATTATATTTTACATTTGAGCTTACATATGGAAGATCACTTATGCATATCCATTTTGCTGGCTGAGACTTTGTTTAACTGATTGTATACCTATACCCTTTAATTTTTTTTGTTGCCTAAAATTTATAGATACCTATTGAGAATTCCTGCAAGACATGTTTACTTCATTTTAAAGATTTATTGATTTATTTATTTATTTGTTCAAACTTAAAAACGGATACAATTTCTGTATACAATCCAGTGATTTAGATTTTGAAGGAAAAACAAATTTGATTCAATAATTGAATGCTGGAATTTTGTATAAACCAGAGTATTTCTAGAGAAAGAAATTTTCTTTTAAGTTAGGTATTATTCGTGTCATCAGCCAGATATTTGCTATATTTTTATTTTATCATAAGTGAGCTGCCTTAAAAAGTTTAGTCAAAAGGTCTCTCTAGTAAGATGTTTCTAGAACTAAGTTTAACAAGATTTCAAAAACTGTCTCTTCGGCATTGCATTATATGTTTTAGTGCTTTTTAGCTCTTTCTTTTATTTCATCTAGATTTTTGATTTTAATTGATTTTTTATTTTTTATTCGAGGATGCAAATTTCACTCATGATAGCAATTGCCCCTAATTAATACTGTTCAATTTAACTTCTAGACCGAGATGGATTCTTCCGTAATCTGTGTTCCTCCATGTCGACACAAGAAGAAGAAAAACTATATTTAGATGCTATATTGTCTTGCAAAAAACTGTTTACAAAAAATACTGTTAAAGCTATATTGACACATTATTTCAGTGTTCCACAGTGTTTCTTTTAACACAATGTGATTTCTTTGTTTCCCTTTTGATTATCCTTTGTTATGGCCGAATTTAAGAACTTTTAGCCTTTTTGGCCTGAAAATAGATTTGACCTGAACTTAAAATCTAAAATGTTTGGCTGTTTTTCAAAGCTTGACTGTTTTAAGTTGTATTCTTAGTTCAAATGTTTTCTATTCTTATCAAAATCGTCACTTGAACCTGTTTCAGAAAACACATTTTTTAAATTTTTGTCAATTTTTCAAAGCCTATAGCCTTACCTTTTTATCAAAATTTGACTCCTCAAAAAATCATTGTTTTTTCAAAAAGGCTTTATTCCCAGGAGTAAGTTTAATTTTTGTGTATTCTTATTATCATTTTTTTTCACAGCTCAAACTAAGTTGTTTTTAGAAGAAATTTCCCCAAGCATATAACCTTTCTTCTTTACTTAAAATTGGCCCGTTTAGAAAGACATCAGTTTTTCAAAATAAGATTGTATTCCAAAACTATATTCAAATCTTGTCGATTCTAATTAAAAAAATGTGACTTCATTCTGTTTTAAGAAGAATCATTTTTTAAAATTGCTGACAATATTTCCTAGCCTTCTTTGCCGAAAATTAGCTCGTCTAGAAAAATATCATTTTGTGAAAAAAAATAATTGTATTCCTGAGTTAAGGTCAGCTCTTGTCTATTCTTAAAAAAGAGCGCCACTTTAGTTTGTTATAGAGAAAATTGTTTTGACAATTTTTCTGGGCCAATTCCTTACCATTTTATCAAAATTTCACCCATCAAAAAAGCATAATTTTCTTTAAAAAAGCTTTTTTCCCGGAACTGTGTTCAATTTTTGAGTCTTCTTATCATCAAAGACTAAATTATATTGGTTTAAGAAGAATTTTTTTGACAATTTTAACAGTTTTTCCAAGCCTTACTTTTTTATCGAAGCTCAACCACTACAACAAGTCTTTACTTTTTCAAAAAACGACTTAGATACCCAAACCTAACTCAATTAAAGTTCTTTCTGATCATATCGGTTCTTTCTGATTATAAGTCTGATCATATTCCTTTCTTTTTAAAGAAACCAAACTGTTTCTAGGGTCAAAAAATTCGAAAAAAAATGACCATTTTTCTAAGCCTATAACCTTACTCTTTTATCAAAAATGAACCCCTGCAAAAAGTCCTTGATTTTTTAGAAAAAAACGACTTTAAATCCCCAACTTATTTCAGTTCTAGTTTTTTATGATCATATAGTAGCGAACCAAAGTATTTCTAGAAAAAAAAATTCCAAAAGAGTTGACAATTTTTCTAAGCCTATAACCTTACTTTTTTATCAAAAATGAACCCCTGCAAAAAGTCCTTAATTTTTTAGGAAAAAAACGACTTTAAATCCCAAACTTAATTCAGTTCTAGTTTTTTATGATCATATAGTAGCGAATCAAAGTATTTCTAGAATAAAAATTTTCGAAAAAATTCACCATTTTTCTAAGCCTATAACCTTACTCTTTTATCAAAAATGAACCTCTAAAAAAAGCCCTTCATTTTTTGGAAAAAATGACTTTAATACCCAACCTAATTCAGTTAGAGCTGTTTCTGATCATAAAATAGCAAACCAGACTGTTTCTGGAAAAAAGATTTGCGAAAAAACTCTACCATTTTTCTAAGCCTATAACCTTACTTTTTTATTAAAAATGAACCCCTGCAAAAAGTCCTTAATTTTTTAGGAAAAAAACGACTTTAAATCCCAAACTTAATTCAATTCTAGTTTTTTATGATCATATAGTAGCAAATCAAAGTATTTCTAGAAAAGAAAAATTCCAAAAAAGTTGACAATTTTTCTAAGCCTATAACCTTACTCTTTTATCAAAAATGAACCCCTGCAAAAAGTCCTTAATTTTTTCGGAAAAATACGACTTTAAACCCCAAACTTATTACAGTTCTAGTTTTTTATGATCATATAGTAGCGAACCAAAGTATTTCTAGAAAAGCAAATTCCAAAAATGTTGACAATTTTTCTAAGCCTATAACCTTACTTTTTTATCAAAAATGAACCCCTGCAAAAAGGTCTTAATTTTTTACAAAAAAAACGACTCTAAATCGCAAACTTAATTCAGTTCTAGTTTTTCATGATCATATAGTAGCGAATCAAAGTATTTTTAGAATAAAAATTTTCGAAAAAATTCACCATTTTTCTAAGCCTATAACCTTACTCTTTTATCAAAAATGAACTCCTCAAAAAAGCCCTTCATTTTTTGGAAATAACGACTTTGATACCCAAACCTAATTTAGTTAGAGCTGTTTCTGATCATAAAATAGCAAACCAGACTGTTTCTGGAAAAAAGATTTGCGAAAAAACTCTACCATTTTTCTAAGCCTATAACCTTACTCTTTTATCAAAAAAGGAACCCCTGTATAAAGTCCTTAATTTTTTGAAAAAAAAACGACTTTAAACCCCAAACTTATTACAGTTCTAGTTTTTTATGATCATATAGTAGCGAACCAAAGTATTTCTAGAAAAAAAAAATTCCAAAAATGTTGACAATTTTTCTAAGCCTATAACCTTACTTTTTTATCAAAAATGAACCCCTGCAAAAAGGCCTTAATTTTTTGAAAAAAAAACGACTTTAAACCCCAAACTTATTTCAGTTGTAGTTTTTTATGATCATATATTAGGGAACCAAAGTATTTCTAGAAAAGAAAAATTCCAAAAAAATTGACAATTTTTCTAAGCCTATAACCTTACTCTTTTATCAAAAAAGGAACCCCTGTATAAAGTCCTTAATTTTTTGAAAAAAAAAACGACTTTAAACCCCAAACTTATTTCAGTTGTAGTTTTTTATGATCATATAGTAGCGAACCAAAGTATTTCTAGAAAAGAAAAATTCCAAAAAAATTGACAATTTTTCTAAGCCTATAACCTTACTCTTTTATCAAAAAAGAAACCCCTGTATAAAGTCCTTAATTTTTTGAAAAAAAAACGACTTTAAACCCCAAACTTATTTCAGTTGTAGTTTTTTATGATCATATAGTAGCGAGCCAAAGTATTTCTAGAAAAGAAAAATTCCAAAAAAAGTGACAATTTTTCTAAGCCTATAACCTTACTCTTTTATCAAAAAAGGAACCCCTGTATAAAGTCCTTAATTTTTTGAAAAAAAAACGACTTTAAACCCCAAACTTATTTCAGTTGTAGTTTTTTATGATCATATAGTAGCGAACCAAAGTATTTCTAGAAAAGAAAAATTCCAAAAAAATTGACAATTTTTCTAAGCCTATAACCTTACTCTTTTATCAAAAAAGGAACCCCTGCAAAAAGTCCTTGATTTTTTAGAAAAAAACGACTTTAAATCCCCAACTTATTTCAGTTCTAGTTTTTTATGATCATATAGTAGCGAACCAAAGTATTTCTAGAAAAAAAAATTCCAAAAGAGTTGACAATTTTTCTAAGCCTATAACCTTACTTTTTTATCAAAAATGAACCCCTGCAAAAAGTCCTTAATTTTTTAGGAAAAAAACGACTTTAAATCCCAAACTTAATTCAGTTCTAGTTTTTTATGATCATATAGTAGCGAATCAAAGTATTTCTAGAATAAAAATTTTCGAAAAAATTCACCATTTTTCTAAGCCTATAACCTTACTCTTTTATCAAAAATGAACCTCTAAAAAAAGCCCTTCATTTTTTGGAAAAAATGACTTTAATACCCAACCTAATTCAGTTAGAGCTGTTTCTGATCATAAAATAGCAAACCAGACTGTTTCTGGAAAAAAGATTTGCGAAAAAACTCTACCATTTTTCTAAGCCTATAACCTTACTTTTTTATTAAAAATGAACCCCTGCAAAAAGTCCTTAATTTTTTAGGAAAAAAACGACTTTAAATCCCAAACTTAATTCAATTCTAGTTTTTTATGATCATATAGTAGCAAATCAAAGTATTTCTAGAAAAGAAAAATTCCAAAAAAGTTGACAATTTTTCTAAGCCTATAACCTTACTCTTTTATCAAAAATGAACCCCTGCAAAAAGTCCTTAATTTTTTCGGAAAAATACGACTTTAAACCCCAAACTTATTACAGTTCTAGTTTTTTATGATCATATAGTAGCGAACCAAAGTATTTCTAGAAAAGCAAATTCCAAAAATGTTGACAATTTTTCTAAGCCTATAACCTTACTTTTTTATCAAAAATGAACCCCTGCAAAAAGGTCTTAATTTTTTACAAAAAAAACGACTCTAAATCGCAAACTTAATTCAGTTCTAGTTTTTCATGATCATATAGTAGCGAATCAAAGTATTTTTAGAGTAAAAATTTTCGAAAAAATTCACCATTTTTCTAAGCCTATAACCTTACTCTTTTATCAAAAATGAACTCCTCAAAAAAGCCCTTCATTTTTTGGAAATAACGACTTTGATACCCAAACCTAATTTAGTTAGAGCTGTTTCTGATCATAAAATAGCAAACCAGACTGTTTCTGGAAAAAAGATTTGCGAAAAAACTCTACCATTTTTCTAAGCCTATAACCTTACTCTTTTATCAAAAAAGGAACCCCTGTATAAAGTCCTTAATTTTTTGAAAAAAAAACGACTTTAAACCCCAAACTTATTACAGTTCTAGTTTTTTATGATCATATAGTAGCGAACCAAAGTATTTCTAGAAAAAAAAAATTCCAAAAATGTTGACAATTTTTCTAAGCCTATAACCTTACTTTTTTATCAAAAATGAACCCCTGCAAAAAGGCCTTAATTTTTTGAAAAAAAAACGACTTTAAACCCCAAACTTATTTCAGTTGTAGTTTTTTATGATCATATATTAGGGAACCAAAGTATTTCTAGAAAAGAAAAATTCCAAAAAAATTGACAATTTTTCTAAGCCTATAACCTTACTCTTTTATCAAAAAAGGAACCCCTGTATAAAGTCCTTAATTTTTTGAAAAAAAAAACGACTTTAAACCCCAAACTTATTTCAGTTGTAGTTTTTTATGATCATATAGTAGCGAACCAAAGTATTTCTAGAAAAGAAAAATTCCAAAAAAATTGACAATT